AAAATGATCTTGGAGAAAGGCGAAGACAAGCAGGGTGCCGGCCGCTTTACTGCCCCATCGAGCCTGAACTAATGACTCATGAGTATAACGACCAATCCAATCAAAGCACATAGCAATAAATTACCGAATTAAATTCTCACCGGTCGAACTCGCACTCATATTCCGACCATAGGTAGAGCCCGAGTGTGACATTTTTGCCTTCTTTCAGCTTTCAAATAGCACTTGAGCTGTTTTCGTGAAACTAATTCTGAGTTAAATTTGTCCCAAGATGCAGTTTTGCCTGACAAGGTCGGCGGTCACATATATCGTCATATGCCGCGTGCCACGTTGCCCGAAGGGCCACGAGATCGCAACGCATTCTTGAGCCTGCGCACTAACGTTTTGACTCGCAGCTATGATTCTCGGCTTCCTTAGGGCAGATTCGAGTGCGGCATCTGCAAACCAAACTTGTACAAGTTTCGAAAACTGACATGAGTTCGAGGGCACTTAAGCGTCTCGAGAGACAGCGGGCCATCACCTCTTCCGAAACACATAGCTCAGATGATGAACCCAACTTTGTTTCAAAACCTAAAATGAACGCTTTTGCCCTTTTAAACGACGAGGACGATGATGGGCATGAATCGGAGCCAGAAAAGGATTCGGAAATACATGAAGAACTGGAAGAACTCCCTCGAGCTACCCAGCCATCGAAAAAATCCAAGAAGAAGAAGAAGGGTAAGAAGAAGCCAGTGAAGGTTTCTTCGGATGAAGAAAATATTGACGATGACGATCTCGATAGATTTCTTGAAGACGTGAGGAAGAGAGATCAAAAAGAAGCGAGTGGCTCTTCTGGCTCTTTCGAGGATAAAAATTGCCAAGATTACGAAAAACCTCTTGACGAAGAAGAACCTCCATTCGACTACGCAGACGCCAATTTCTTAAGATTGACGACGTCTCGCTTGAAAGAAAGCATGCACCTTCTATCGGTAGGTTCAGTCAAAAATCTAGATCCAGACACTGAGCTCCAAAATCTCTTCGGTAAGTTGTCATTCGAAACAATCGAAGACGCTAACAGCACGACTTCTTTAGCTGCTTCCCCAGACGTCTTGGCTCAATTCAAGAGTTTGGCCAGGATAACGCGTGGATGGGGTGGCAAAGATCACAAGAATGTACCAGGGACTACCCGAAAATTGCTTCTTACGAGAATTAGAGATGACTGGCTTCCTACTACTCAAAAGCCGCTTTCCATGGACGAATTGAAGGCTGAAGAGGTCGTGAAAACTAAAGTTTACAAGGAAGAAGACAATGTGGAACATGCAACAAAAATAATTGAGCTGAAAATTGCAAATGAAGACAGGCTTGGTATAAAGTATTTCTGTTTCAAAAAGTTGAACAGTATAAGAGACCGCGTGGCCAACTCTCGATTTTTTGCTTCGGTGGTGATGACTCCCGACCCAGAATCCTTGATGCAACTTCTTCAACAGAGTCCATATCACATGGAAACTCTCCTTCAAGTGTCTATGGTCATGTTGAGAGAGGGAAACAACAAGGCGACAAGCAATGCTTTGATTGAGAAAAGTTTGTTTGTTTTCGATAGATCTTTGAACAAGCACTTCCATGAACTATTACAAGCTGGAAACACCGAACTTATCAGACTTCCGTATGAGTCGTTTGCGAATCGTCAATTCTACCTTACGTTGTTTCGTGTGATTGTGGGCCTTGGGGAGCGATCCACATTCTACACGGCTCTTAATTTCTGCAAATTTCTTCTTGCCTTGTCGCCTGCTGAAGATCCCCTTGGAGTAAGATATTTTTTGGATCACTACGCTATATTGTCTGAGAACTATGAGTATCTTGCTGAATTTGTCGGATCTGCTCTTTCACAGACTTACACTCAATGGTTCACACCTGGTTTAGCATTTTCCAGAGTTTTGGCTTTCTTGCATCTAGGGAAAACCCAAGAAGCAAAGAAAGCACTTGCTGACGCCTTTTCAGTACATCCCTTATGTGCTTATGAATTACTTAAGAACATTGGTTTGAGTGGTCATGTTGCAACTAAGCCAAGTGATATACAAACGAATAGTTTTGCTGAGCTAGCAAATGAAACATACCTTGTGAGAGCACACATTCTTTGGAAGGAACAGACACACAGACAATTTCTTCACGATGAACTCATGTCTCTTTTTGACAGGACTAGCGTTCACAATAGCAGATCTTGGTTGAGTAAGTGGTTTGGCGGAGAAAAGAAGGAGGAGAACGCTACAATTCCGGTGAATTTGATTCGTTTTGTGGTGTTGTCAGGGGAAAACAAAGTGCTTGCTAAAGTCCCCGAAAAAGTTTTTGAGAGGGACGACATGCTTGAATATGATGTCATCCCACCCAAGGACGAAAATGCATACCCTGAGGGTGAAAACAAAGCAACGGACCTGATGTTTGATTATCTAGACCACAACATCATAAGCGCCATAGTGCAAAACCGGAGTGCGGCCGAATTTGAAGATTTCCTAGGGCTTGATGAGCCCGTGGAAGAGGCCGAACAGGAACAGGCATGAACGCAATACGCATTTAAGCTCGTCTCAATAATATCTATTTAATTGCCAAAATGACACGAATGTCCTCTTCTCTTTTTATATAGCTATCACGTAACATCTGTATTTTTACAACACATCATACTTCTCCAGCTTCTTCAGTTGACGACTGTCGTCCTAAATAGCGGAAGCCATGATCGCGACGCAGATCGCGAGGCTGGTGCAGCAGCGTTTCGGCTTTCTCACTGAGCGCTGACGATATATCTCAAACCTCGGCATATACAAAGTACTTCCTCTCCACAGCTGTACAATTGCCATGATTGCAATCAACCTTGACTTTGCAGATCTTCAATGGCAGTATCAAATTTCAACCACGTTTTTCATTTGCGTGATCGTTCCGTTGATGTATTATACGCATGAGAAATACATGACTTCCAGACCAAACAAGTATAACAAGCTTGAAGCGCCAAAAAAATTAGACTACGTCATTCCTGATGAGGCCAAACGCCACTGGAAAGGAAAGCGACTTTATCCACCAAGCCTCGGCATAAAAGTGCCAGGTGAGAGCGATAAAATTCAAAGCTATTGTCCGGCCACAGGCCAATACTTGGGCTCATTTCCTTGTATATCCAGAAAAGAAATGGACCAACAAATCAGTGCAGCAGCAGCAGCTCAAAAATCATGGGGTGATTCTTCATTTGCAACAAGAAAGCAATTGATGAGAACACTTAATCAGTTCATCATGGACAACCAGGAGAACATTGCTCGGGTGGCTTGCAGAGATAGCGGCAAGACCAAGTTGGATGCTTCCATGGGCGAAATTATGGTCACCCTTGAAAAAATCAGCTGGATAATTGCTCATGGTGAAAAAGCCTTGCGCTCTTCGGCAAGACCAGGGTCATCGTCGTTGCTCATGGGGCTCATGAAAAACGCAGAGGTGCGCTACGAGCCCCTCGGTGTCGTTTCGGCTATCATATCTTGGAACTACCCCCTTCATAATCTCATTGGACCCGTTGTGGCTGCTCTTTTCTGCGGCAATGCAATTGTCATAAAATGTTCCGAACAGGTCGTGTGGTCATCTTCGTGGTTCGTTGGTATGATCCGTGTCGCGCTTCGCCTGCTTAACATCAACGAGGACTTAATTCAATTATGCTACTGTTTCCCAGAAGATGCGGACTACTTTACGTCGCATCCGGGCTTGAAACATATCACGTTTATTGGATCTAAGCAAGTGGCACATAAAGTGTTGCAGAGCGCCTCAAAGGAGTTGACTCCATGCGTCATTGAGTTGGGCGGAAAAGATTCTGTTTTAGTCATGGATGATGTTCCTGACATCAAGGCCTTGTCCTCAGTGATCATGAGAGGTACATTTCAAAGCGCTGGTCAAAATTGCATTGGTATAGAGAGGGTCATCTGTTTACCTCACATCTATGATGAGCTTGTGGCCATCTTGAACGAGAGAGTAGCTACCCTTCGACTTGGCTCAGATATTGACCAGTTGGACGAAATTGATATGGGAGCTATGATATCAGACAACCGATTTCAGCAAATCGAAGATTTAATTCAAGACGCTGTGGATAAGGGTGCTCGCTTGTTGCATGGTGGAAAACGCTACCACCATCCAAACTACCCTCAAGGACACTACTTTGCCCCCACTCTTCTAGTGGATGTAGACACGTCCATGAAGATTGCAAATGAAGAGGTGTTCGGTCCTGTTTTGACGATGATGAAAGCACGAGATGTCGAGGATGCCATCGCCATATCAAATAGCTCGGAGTATGGATTGGGTAACTCTGTCTTTGGAAAAAGCTTCGAGGCGTGCGATGCCGTGGCCAAGAAGTTAGAAAGTGGCAATGTGGCTATCAATGATTTTGCCACCTTCTACGTCTGCCAATTACCGTTCGGTGGAATCAAAAAGTCCGGATTCGGCAAGTTTGGTGGAGAAGAAGGGTTGACTGGTCTTTGCAATGCCAAAGCTGTTGTCACAGACAAACCACTTCTTCGAGCTTTAGGAGTCAAGACTGCTATTCCACCTCCAATTGATTATCCAATCGCAGACGACAAAAAAGCATGGAGGTTTGTGAGTAGTCTAAACATTGCCAGCTACGACACCCGGTTCTGGAGAGTGGTGAATGCGCTCAAAAAGTTGGCCAAAGGTGGTGCTTGATAGAAAAGCTTTACTTAGAAACAATATAAAAGAGCTTATCAAGGTGCCAGTGCACACGGAGTTATTTGTGGAAGGTCTACGAAGCAAGCAAGCTAGCAGACGCATCTGCTGGTTTAAAATATCACCTGTATATATAAATCTTATGTCTGGTTAAACTGGGATTGCCAGAAAATTAGGAATTCAGCATGACGAATCTAAGCGTTGATGTGCAATTCTGGCGTGGGCTTTGTGGCGGCCTCGACCAACAATTTGATGACAGCATCCTTCTTTTCCGCGTACTTCTGCTGGATGTCGGCCAAATCCTTCTCAACAACAGCCTCAGCCTCTTTTTCCACGTTGCTGTTCAAACCAGCGTGGTCACTTTCGTACTTCTTCAACTCATTTTCCTTCTGGGCCTTGTACTCGTTAATCTCCTTCTGAGCGTCCGCCTTTGCAGACTTCAACCGCTCGGTTCTGTACTTTCTAGCCTCACTGACTATGGCAGCAGCTTCCTTCTCGGTTTTTAAAAGGGATTGGATGCTAGAGGACATGGTGGCCGGGGTAGTTATGGGGGCTTTCACTGTGAGCTCCCGCCTTTATCTTTGGTGCTCGATAAATTGGATACGGGTGTGCATACTACTTCGAGCGGGCGCAGTCACGTGATCGCGCCAATCTACGTGTGCGTCGCTTGTAACACTGGTTTGTGAAGAGGTCAGGTTGGAAAAAAAATCAGGAGATGCAGAAAAGAAGAATTTGTAGATATAGACTAATTCCACCTGAACATATGAGAAATTAAAATAAATTTGTAACGACTCAAATACAGTTTTATTTTTTCTCTGACACCACTGCCAGAGAGTGCCTTACAGTGGGACATGTCATGTAACTGTATCTCTTATTTCTAGAAAATATGTGTTATTCTATTCGTCTCGCATAGACGTACTAATCATACCTTAGCTTTTGCATTGGCCACTTTGCAGTGTCTTCAAATTGTGTTAGTTCTTTGGCGAGCTTCAAGTTTAGTCCCTTACTCAACGTAGTAGCCATCCGCGATACAACGGAGCATATACTCGTCAATATGTCCCACTCCTTCTTCGTAGTCATCATCAACAACTTCTGAGTCTTCGGGAACAGTTCCTGGTGCAGGTGTTCCCTGTTTACTTTCCTCAGTGAAATCCTCATCATCGACTGCGACTTCTTTCATTGCTTCCTTCGCTGCATTTCTATCGGCTTCATCTTCTGCCTGAGCCAACAATTCCATATTGGTATTTTCGCCAATTGGCTTGTCGGGTAGTTCGCTTATTATGCTGGTATCATTGACCAAGTCGCGGACGGAAAACTTCCCAAGATAATCTGTAGTAAAATCACCTTCCTGAATCACGACATTATCCAATTGTCTCTTCTGATTTGCCTTTTTCAAAATGTTCGACTCGATGGTGTACTCGGACACAAATCGGTATATGTGTACATCCCGCAGCTGACCAATTCTATGGCAACGATCCTGGCATTGTTTATCCATGGCAGGGTTCCAATCAGAATCATAGAAAATGACCGTATCCGCACCAGTTAAATTGATACCTAGACCACCTGATCTTGTGGATAATATGAAAACTGGAATTTTTGGATCGCGATTAAACTTTTCTGTGAGCAATTGTCTATCCTCAATCTTTGTGGCTCCGTCCAATCTCATATATCTATAGCCATGAATATTGAGGAACTGTTCGAGAATGTCCAAAACCTTTGTCATTTGCGTGAAAATAAGGGCGCGGTGGCCATTTGGAACAAGGTCTTGCAATAAAGTCGCTAGCTTCTGAAGTTTACCACAGTCATATTGAAGTAGCTGTTTATCCGGGAACGCAATTGAAAGCTTCACCTGCGCTTGGTGAAAGGGATTATCGATCTGCTTTTGCTGCACTGCATCACGCACTTTATACTGCGTGTCGATGGGTATAATTTGATCTTTCATATCCAAAGCGACAACAGTTGGTGTGATGACAGCGTATTTGTTAACAGTATCTTGCATATGCGCCTGACGCTTTGGAATGTCCAAAATCATATTATCCAAAGTTTCACATCGTAATGGTCTCTCACTAGCTTTTTTTACAAAATCTAGAAGTGAATGTCCATAAAGAGGTCTCCTTTGGCATCTCAAAGTATTAAGATAAATACTTTGCTTTAACCGTTCGCGAAGTTGCAGCTGTTTTTCAAGCTTTAACAATCTATTCACCTGGACAATATCGGCTAAAGCTTGGCTGTCTGACTCAGATTTCCCGTTTTTTCCCTTTTCAATGATTTCATCCAAAATCTGAATCTGACTCTCTAATTCTTTGTTAGACATCAATCTGCTGGTAGCTTCAGACGCAAAATAGTTCATATCTTCCATATTTGTGATATCAGCGTTGATGACCGGTAAAGGGACAGTAGGGTTTTCGTCTTTCGTGAGAAGTTTGGCGATAACGTCTTTAGTCGCATTGTAGCCTCTCGTAACAGTGTTCGGCATAGCAAATGATGTAACAATTGGACGTACCTCAAATAAATCAGGATGATTGCAAACTTTCCTCAACTGCATCAAGCAGTTGATAATCGACAAAAAGTTTCCTGAGGCCAAAGTTTCTTTGGTCTTGGCTCGTGACATAAAGTCATCATAAAGATACCTTTGCCTTTTTGATAAACGGCAGTAGATGATGTGCTCATACTTGCCTGGCATTTGTTTTTCAACATCCTTTTTGAGTCTTCGAAGCAAATATGGGCGTAAAACTTGATGCAAGCGAGAAACTGTATCCTTTGTTTCTTTGTCGAGTTTGCTCGTAACGTTCTCATCAATAACATCTCCTGTAGCAGTCTTTTCTAAGATTTTATCAACAGGTTTTCCAAACCACTGTTGGAAATCTTCGAAATTAGCGAAACCTTCGGGCATCATTTGCTCAACTTTCGAAGAAGGCATAAGAAAGTACAACAAGGACCACAACTCCATGAGATTGTTCTGCAAAGGCGTACCTGTGAGTAAAAGACGATTTTCAGTGTTAAAGTTCAACAAAGCCTTCCATCTAGTAGATCTGAAATTTTTGATATTATGAGCTTCATCCAAAATCATGTACCTCCATCTTTTTCTCTTGAAAGATGAGTGATCATGCACAACCAACTGATAAGATGTTATGCAAACATGAAAGGCATCTTGCTTATTCCACCCTTTTCTTTTCCTCGCTCTTTCTTGGGGGGAACCATAGTATGTAAGCACTTTGAATCCGGGAGCAAACTTTTTGAACTCCATCTCCCAATTAAGCATCACAGATGTTGGTACGATGATAAGATGAGGACCCCAAATGTGGTGCTCGCAAGCAAGGTATGACAAGAGCGAAATTGTCTGAATTGTTTTACCCAAACCCATTTCATCTGCAAGGATACCATTGGTGTTATTATTGTATAAGCTGGCAAGCCAGTTCAAGCCTTGTTTCTGATATGGCCTTAATACTCCACGCAACAACGATGGGATTGGAACATCCTTCACCTTGAATCCATTAATTTCCTCCACATTCTCATCATCATCGACATTATGGTCCTTGGAGGTGTCAGTACAAAGTTCAGGCTGTGCTTCGAAGCTTTCCGAGGTCTTATTACCGAGATCTGTTTCATCGGTTTTATGATGGGTCGCGTTTTCATCATCACAGTCAGCGCGCTCTTCATTTTCACTTTCCGAACCTTCGTCCGAGGAACTCATGTCGTCTTCTTCCATAGAGTCGCTGAAATCATCGGAGTCAAGAACCTCGTTTTCGGTCTTCCCAGACAAAGACTTGATCAATTTAATTTGGTCTTCATTGTACTCCGTTGTGAGATTGTCAGTACTGACCATATGATTATTCCCGTAAAGAGACGCAAGTCCACCGTCTCCTTCATTTGCCGAGTCAGAGTCCGAATCAGAGTCTTCATTACCGTGTGTATGGTCAGAAGGGGTCACGGGAGAATCTTCCATGTTTGAATACTTCTTGCGTAATTCAGCAACGCTCAATTCACTATCGAGCTTTTCTTGCTTATTGACTGCAACATCCCCATCATCATCATTTTCAGAGTCTGAAGATGAAAGCTGATCAGAGCCGGTAGAGCTCGAACTCTCACTGTTAGATTCCACATTTGATGTATCCGGTTCGGTGTTTTCTCTGGAAGACCTGTTTAACTGAGCCTCTAGAAGCTGCGTCGAATGCTCTAGCATCTTACTCAAGTGTTCGCGGCCCTCGATCTGCTTAAGTTCTTCCTCCTTTTCGTGTTGTAGGAAGCGGTAGACTCTGTTAGCTTGGGACCATCTTTTTCTCACAGATTGGATGGCAAGTCTGCTCAAGCGCTTTAGGTTTTGTTCCCTCTCGCGGGCCAACCGTTCTTTCTCACCAGCCTTTTTCCTGAAATGCTGTTCTACTATTTGCGCGATTCTTCTTGTTCTTGCTTGATGTTGTTTTCTCATGCCTTGGCGGATTTTGGAGTACGCCATGCCCTGGGCAACAAGGTGGTCATGGAATGTTTGGTCATTGGCTGCGCCCTGTATTTTAGGGACGATGGAGCCGGTGTCCCTGAAAAAGTCCAGGGTGTGCTTTGCTGAACTGGTAGGAAGCATGATTTTGCGGCGTTCCACCTTGTCTCCATTGAGTTCGAACCTTTCTTCGACCATGACTTTCTCGTACAAACGTTTGAGTAGATGAGTCTGCTGTTTCAAGGTGGCTTCGTATTCCGCGGGCGTGTTGGCCACCTCCACGCCACCATCATCAATGAGCGCGGCTTTGTACTTTGTCTGGAGGAATTTGGAGATTTTGGACTCGATCTGGGGCATGTGTAGCGTCCAGTCCTTGGTTGACAACACCTGAAGCGGGTCGGGGTGGTATGCGAGTATCGGATCCGAGTCCAGACCAGAGGCCCTGAGACCCGCGTCGCCTTGAAGCGGGCGCCATGAGGGAATATGCGAAGGGTGGGTGACCACTGGAGGAGGAATCGAGTACTTGACGGAGCGCAACTTGTAGTTGGTGTCTATGTTGGAGAAGTCGTAGTCCAGGAACTCGTCCTTGACATCCAGGTCACTCTGGCCCAGAGCCTGCGGCGATGGTGTTTCTGCGGGCTGTGGCTTGGGATGCGAGCGAGAGACTGGGCGCTGGCGTGCTGATCTAGCAGATAAAGTGCCGTTGGGCCTCGGTTCTGGCTTTGTCTTCCCAGCTCGCGGGGCCGGCAAAGGCAGGCGGGCATGAGGGATTTTCTGAGCAGCGAGGAGCTCGGACTCCCGCTGCATGCTGCGTCGGAGCACGTCGTCCATGAAAGGATACTTCTTTCGGAGCATGACCTCGCGTTCCTGAAGCCTCTTTTTTTGCAAGCGGAGGGGGAGGTCGCCCATGTTCTCCAACAGGTGCTCGTCCCACACTAGCAGGTAGCGGTTGGCCCTGACAAAGAAGTCGAAGATCTCGGGCACATCGGAGCCGTCGGCACGCGAGAAGTCCATGGGGGCCCATTCCACAAGGGAGGCGTACTCCTTCAACTGGAACAACTCGTTGACGGCAATGCTGAAGTCCGAGATCACGTGCACGAGGCTGTCCTCCTGGCTGGCCGGGCGAAGGCGTGGGTCTTGCGGAGGGCCGTTGGGCTCGGGTTTGGCTCGTTTACTGGAGGGCTCATCACCGGCATTCAGCGGGCGGCGGCGGCTGGCCAGCGAGGCCCGCGGGCGTCGTCCCAGAGCCGCGGCGCCAGACTGGGCGGGCGTGCCGTTCAGGCCAGCAGGTGCTAGCATTGTGTGCTGGGGCGGGAGGAGTGGGCTGTTGTTTCTTAGTTGTGGAGAAAACGCCGTTATGGCCCGGCCTGCCTGGGGCCGCGCGCGCGGGCGAGTGAAAGATTGGGGCCACTGGTCTGCAGGCGCTGGGCCCGGCGCGAGCCAGGGCCAGCGAATGAGGCCAGGGCCAGGCAGCGAGGCCCGGCGCAAAGAAGTGTGGGCAGAGCCGCAAAAAGTGTGGGCAGAGCCGCCAAGAATTCTTCCAGCGAGACACGTGGTGCCGGGCGCCGACTTATTATTAGGTCCAACTGGGTGGGGTGCCAGGAACGGCCCCAGACTGGCACCTGTAGAGCGTGCCATGGTACCATGCGAGGGCAGGTCAGGTGACCCGGCACCAGGGCCAGTCGCACGGCCCTGCACAACGGCGCCACAGCAAGCTGGGACGTCGGACATCCCACGTCTTTCGTGCATGCACAGTTTGGGAAAAGCTGGCAAGTGAATGTTCGTAAAGAGCTGGCAAGTTCTGTGGATAGCCTGCGGGTGATGAAACAACTGGCGGGTACCAGTTCAAAGCAGCGGGCAAGTACCAGTCTATAAACAGCAGGCAAGTCTTAGTTCATAATTAGTACCAGTTCCTAATTAGTACCACTTCATAAACAGCTGGCAAGTATTAGTTTGTAAATAGCTGGAAGTATTAGTTCAAAATAGCTGCCAAGTACCAATTCATATATAGGACCAGTTCATAAACAGTACCAGTTCATAAATAGCTGGCAAGTATCAGTCCATAAACAGTACCAGTTCAACACAGCCCGCAAAAATTAGTTCCTAAACAGCTGGCAAGCACCACTTAATAAACAGTGCCTGTTCATGAACAACTGACAAGTACTACTTCATAAACAGCTGGCAAGTATTAGTTTATAAATAGCTGCCAAGTACTAGTTCATAATTAGTACCACTTCATAATTAGTACCACTTCATAATTAGTACCACTTCATAATTAGTACCACTTCAAAATCAGTACCACTTCATAAACAGAGGCAAGTATTAGTTCATATACAACCGGCAAGTCTCCATCAGCGCTCGCCCCGCTCGCTCAAGCCGGCCCCTCGAGCGCGGTCTACAGGGAACAGTCTGAACCGTCAGTATCAAATCATGCATGGGCCTAGCTACAAGCTACTTACGCCCGGAAAAAGTCCGGGTACGCCTTTTTGTACGCCTCCTCCTGCGAGGCCACGCTGACGTCGTCCGCCAAAATGCCGGCCGCCGCCGCGGTCTCATCGGGCCTCACCCGGTAGAAGTAGTCCGTAGCCTCGCCGCCCGAGCCCAAGGACTTGGCCAAGCCGTTGTACGGGTAAGAGCGGGGCATGGCGGGCTTTTCGGGGTTGAGTTCCCAGAACGCAATGAACGCGCCGAACCCGAAGAAGAGCGAGAAGAAAATGGCGTTGTGCTTCAACGCCGTCTTGTCGTCCACGGTCTGGAAGTAGTCGGGCGACCACATGTCGTACAAGTCGTCGTCGAGCGTCAACGGGTCGTTCTTGTTTCTCCTCAACTGCTGGAAGTCGTATGTGGCGTATGGGTCTCTCTGCAGCGCAAACACGGGCTCCACCTTCGGGTAGTCTGCGTACAGAGGATTCTGCGGATCGGTCAACCTGATCGTTTCGCCGGTGGATTGGTCGGTGATGGTGGTGCGCGTGGTCAAGGTCATCGACCGCGACGCGAAGCGGGAAGCACCCTGCGTGGCCCTCAAGCCCAATCTGGTCAACATGGTGTGGTGGTTTGTGAGGTGCTGGGCCAGGTGCTTTCTTGCCCAATCGTAGCGTGCCAAACGTTTGCGCGGCGCACGACCGCGCACCAGGCTGCCCGCGCGAAGCCGGCCAGCGAAGACGGCCTTGGGGACACCAATTAAAACCAATAACGACAGCGGCCAGAATTAATTCGACAGCGGCCAGAAATAAATCGACAGCGGTCAGAACTAAATCGATAGCGGCCAGAAATAATTCTACAGCGGCCAGAATTATTACGACAGCAGCCAGAATTAAATCGACACGAGAAGTAACAGCCAGTAGAAGCTCTTGTAGATGCCCGGCGCGGTGCCTCCGCCACGGCCACCATGCACCAGCCAACCTCGAGACGCGGCGTCCCGCGGGCGGTCTACTGTGTGTTGTTGGCACATGTGAATGCCAGGATCTCCGGGATTCTCTATTCCTATGAACGTATGTAATGCATGTCTCACTTCTTCTGGGCCTCGCCGAACTTGAGCTCCTTCATGGGAGACTGCTCCGAGTCGGCAAAGTCCAACAAGGCTTCGAAGCCGCCTGCGTTTTCTCCAGCGTACTTGCCCAAGTAGCCCGCGCCAAGGAAGACGGGGACAAATGCAATGAGAACAGAAAAGTTGCGGGCGTTCCAGTACGCGTGCACGGGGGGCGGGTTTATGTTGAAGTTGTACTTGTTGTTGAAGGGAGCAGGCTTGGCCTCCGCCTGGGCAGCGTGAGACTGGAACCTTCTGGCCACACGGCCGGCACGGCTGCTGATTCTGGAGAACATGGATGCTGGTGCTGTGGCTGACTGGAGGTGAGAGTTAATGCTCACTTTTCTATTGGAGCGGTCGGTGTGCAGGACGCGCCGTTTCATGGCAGCGGCCCTGGCACATCCTAAAGGGGCCGTCCGAATGGCGTTCTCTTTCTGCGGGCACGTGACGACGGTCTTCTGCAGAAATGGTCCCTGCCTCCAGGAAGCCAGGTGTTTATGTTTTCCGCTTTCTGGCTCTTCTCGCTGTTCGGTCTCGAATCGTCCGCAGCGCATCTCACACTGCCCGGAGTCACCATAGCAGCGAGGGTCGGAACCACCATGATACAGCGTGCTTTCAATCAACGTAGCCGGGCCGACAAACCCACCAAGTTCCCCAGGCGTGTCTTTTGTCACAACCACGGGAGCCCGTGCTCCCCATGGTGCTGTGTGCAGTAGCGGCCGGTCAGTGGGAACTGCCCTTGTATTCCGCTGCAATGTCCCATTCTTCCCTTTCCTGCCGCCAGCTCAGAAACCCTTTTGTACTCGCTGCGGGAGGGCGTGTTCATTGTAATTTGGGTACATTGGAACTATTGCGGTAGGACTCTTCGCAGCCACGCAACTGCATGCTCACATAGCACGCGCATCGCTGCTCCTCCATGCTGAGCCCAGAGAACCAGATCCTTCGAGCACCGAAAGATACACGGGACAGAATATACCCTGATATGTCACAATACCAGGGCAGCTCATACCGACCAGGAGGCGACCTGTACCGCCCAAACAACCGACAGCACTACGATGGCAATGCGGGTTATGGCCAGCCCAGGCCTGGCGACCGAGGCCGCATGTCTGGGTCTCATGGTCGGAACAGACTGCCACAAACAGGCTCTGGGCACCGGGGATACGGCTCGGGCGACCGCGGGCTCCAAAACGCCCTGAACCACTCGTCACGTGCCCCTGCTAATGTGCCCAGCCTGGGTTATCACAACCAGCGAATGCCACGCAACGATGGTGCGCCGGCTCTGAACGGGGCGCCGCCCTTCAACAGATCAGGCTCCCATGTGTACGGCGGGCACAGCAGCTATGGAAACACCAGACCCAATCACAACAATGGGGCCCACAGCAGACAGCACCACAGCGCACAAAACAACTATAGAAGCCTGCACGGCGTCAGCCACCAGAGCGGGCCTAGACCCTTTAACCAAAAGCGGCCCGCGGATGCCTATCATCTGGCGTATCAGCAAACCCAGGTAGAGTGCCAGCTCTGGATGGGGGACCTAGATCCGAGATGGACAGAAAACGATATCATGGGTATATGGACCGAGGTGGGTGAGGCGCCCTCCAGCGTCAAGATAATGAGGGACAAACAGGGCAAGCCCCAGTACAGCTTCGTCACTTTCGAGAATCTGGAGGCTGTCGCCAGCGCCTTGCAGAAGAACCGCTCCCAAGTCCCGGGCTCGCCGAGGTTTTTCAAGTTGAACTGGGCATCCGGCAGCTCGCATGGCGACCTTAGAGCCCCTCCAAATCGAGCCAAAAACAGCCTGGATGTGGGCAGGGGCCACTCTGACTACTCGCTATTCGTTGGAGACTTGGCCACGGAGGTCACCGAGCCTGAGCTCTTTGCCAGATTCAGCCAAGACTATCCCGGTGAGGTGAAGCAAGTCAAAATCATGCTGGACCCCAACACCGGCGCCTCGAAGGGGTTTGGATTTGTTCGGTTTCTTTCTGTGGACGCTCAGCAAAAAGCTTTGAAAACAATGAACGGAGTTGTGCTTGGCCAAAGGCCTATTCGCCTCGGGCTTGCGAATGGAGGCTCGCTGGATCCCTCCACATCCGGGGCAAAGAAAACAAGCGAATCCGTGCCGGTTACTGCTCACATTGCTCAAGCCCAGCCCGCGTTGTCGCCATTCACAGACCCTTATAACACCGCTTTGACTATAAAAGGCGTTATATCTGCAATCACTCGTGACGAACTTGTGGCTCATTTCCTACCGTTCGGTCATATGATCTACTGCGAGATTGACTACAACAGCAACGTTGCGTACATCAAATATCTACTTCGTACTTCTGCTGAGAGAGCCCTTCTATTCATGCATGGTATGGTAGTGAATGGTTCGCGCTTGGTGTTAAGATGGGGCCGCAGTAAAATAAGCACAGAAGGGATTACTAGATCCACTCCAAGTCCTAAGGGCGGTGTCTACACAGCTGCAGAAAAGCCGCCCACTATCTATCACCCGTTGTCTTCACACGTGGTATTTGAGGATCTTGACCGGGAGCAAATTGATGAGCTCAATTTTTTTGCAGATCTGCAGTTGATGTCCGTCAAAGACCTCAATGATGCTGATATAAAGCGATTGCAAGAACGAGAAAAATATCTAGATAATGCATTTTAATACATTCTATTAGCCGGACTCAAAGAATAGTTTCTCATGCTAAAGCTGATGAAGTTGCTCGGTTTCACCTGGACAGTTTGAACTCAAGTCCTCCTCATCATCAAATTTGGTTCCACAGTATGGACAGTAGTAGAAGTTGACACGAGTGTATTGTAGCAATTGCATCAATTGCCCCTCAGTCGCTTGGGATGTGTCGACATCTTTTATGCTACTGGGCGAGTTCGGCTCTGAGGCCGAGGAGCGTGCTCGGAAAGACTCACCAAATAGTTTTGTTCTACAGCTTGGTGTGGAATTTCGTATCGCAAGATCTTTCCATAAAGGGTTAACATCTTCTGGAAATAGCGTACCATCTTCAAGCTTCATATCTTCCCCCGAGTAGGCATAACAAAACTTCTGTAGTTTCAAAATCATAGCCTTGTTGGATCTTTCTATATGTTTGTTTTTACTGGCTGTTTGAAGGGCAGATTTAGACTCGGGGGAAAGATCAGCAGCTCTTTTCGGGGTAAAAGTGGAGACTCCAAGGCCCGCACGAGATAACTTCGACTTGATGGCTAATGGCTCTTTTAAAGCATTGGGATTATTTGTCATTCCAATTGCTTGACCTTGTTTATACCCCATTTTTTCCATGATTTGGTAGCCGATGGAAGTCTTATCAATAATGGAGTGATCAAGACTCGCTTTTTGGTTGTAAGGAGTGGCTTTCAGTTGAAATCCTAATCCTGGGCGGGACAGGCCAAGCTCCTGATCAATATTATCAAAGTCTGAGTCCGAACCCAAATCAGAAGGGTCCGACACCTTTTTAACTGAGACACTGTCACTTGCATTTTCTTCATCAATTGATTGACCTTTCGTGGCTCCAATTAATCCAGATTCGTTGCAAAGAATGTTTTGCGTAGGGGGCCTGAACTTTTTCGGCGGTGGCGCCAAAAGTTCAGGTTCAGAGTCAGATGAGTCACCAAAGACATTTTTCATCCAGAAAGAAAGTGCTGTTGGTGTATCGGAAATGCGAGTAGCGGTGATGCTATGGAACCATTCCAGCGCCAGGACAAGCGAGCGCGGCCCAAAAGGTGGAAGTGGCCCCAAACTGGATAAGCCCCAGAAAATAGCCAAGCTAGGCCAGGAAGAAAAATCAAGAGCTACAAACACAATAGTTAAAATGTTATTATGAAGACATGTTATTTATTCCGGGTCACGTTTCTTACTTGTGAAACCATTGGGACTCTGTCAAATTGGACCGGCATGCATGGGGCCCTAGGTTCGTTCTTCTGGCAGGGCCAAGCCGTTCGCGCACTAACAAAGGCGCCTCATTGACTGACTTGGAGCTTCTTACAAGGCCATCATGTTCCCCCACAAAAGAGATCAGTCGTTCATTTCAACGCCTGTGTCGCGTGTGGGATCTTCAGCGAGACTAAACCAACTATCAGGCCAAACTGGATCTCGCCCGTCTTCTCGACCAGCTACGCCTGGTGCGTACGTGACAAGCTCACTTAACCCAGCCAGAAATGTTCCCGTGACGTCCAACAACTCCCGGCTGCAACTGGCAGGCCTCGAAAACTTGCAAATCGAACAAGTCCCGGTTGTCGAGAATCTCCGGAGATTCGAAGCGTCATTCAACCAGCTATCCCAATTAATCACTTCCTTTAAAGAAACTGGGTTGGTGTCCGAGGTAAATAACCTAATAGAGATTGAACGGGAGATATCAGAAGGCCTTTGTGCCCTAGAGCCCCATCACAACTTGGGTGTGGAAATACAGGCCCTTACGAAAGTCAACAAAGAGTTGGATACACATTCCAAGGGCATTTTGAAAGAGCTAATATCCTGCAGATCCAAACTCCAGAAACTACCTAAACTACCTGCTGCGCAAGGAAACGCCCAGAAACTAAATGACGTGGACGTGCAGACCGTTCTTGACTATGCGATGAAGCTAGCAAAATTTTCAAAGGCCCCTGCCACCGTGCTGTCGCAGTTCATACACCCTAATAATTACATTTGGCCTGCGGAGGACGCGTTGAGAAGAGGAATGTTAGCCATGGCATCTATCAAACCAGAAGAGCTTATCCAGGCCGAGATAGGACATCAGTCCCAGCCTGAACGTGTTCCTCTGCATTATTCGTCTGATCTGGATGTGGCGATGGAGGATGTGGATGTGGCGACCGAAAAGGAACTTTCAAATAAAAAAGAGGTCCCCCCGAAGCCAATTGGCGCTTCATCTGTAGATGCAAGCGAACAAGTGAGAAAGCCTGCGACAGCCACACTTGATCTAGACCTTTTTGATCCTGAGGATGATGACGATGACTCAGATTAGCTCTAAACTAAATACCGAATACAATACAATTGCTCAGAAGTACGCATTGAGCAGCCAGAACATCACAGTTGTGTTGATTAGTTCTTCTTGGCATCTTTCGAATGGTCACCAAACAACTCTCTGGGGTGAGAGAATGTCTTGGAGGTCCATTGCTTGCTTAATTCCCAGTCCAATTCCAATTGTTTTGAGTAAAGCTGGCCTGACTCAAGGTGGTTCTTCACCAAGTCAGCCAACCCAGAAATAAACTCCTCATTGTCGTTCAAGGAGGCCGCTCTCTTGATCATGTCTGGATTTTTGACTTCCTCCTGTAATTCGATGTCCAATTCATGCAAGGTTTCAATATGGTCAGAAGTGAATGCGATTGGCACCAACACAATTCCCTTGATGTTCTCGCTCAACTCCAATTTCATCACCACCTTGTCTGTCTGAGCACCCAACCATGGCTTCGGGCCAACCTTGGACTGCCATACCAATCTGTATGGATTGCTGAAGTTCAACTTTTCCATCACGGCGTACACAGAGGCTGCAACCTCGGCTGGGTACGAGTCACCACGATTCACGATCTGCATTGGCAATGAATGAGCAGAAAACAAAATGACTACCTTCTCTCTATCCTCGGCTGGGAATTCGTTGATTTTTTCCTGAATGAGCTTGGCGAATGGGTTCACTAGGCACTTGTCCTTGGGCCACCTGTCAATCATCGACCATTTGATGGATCTCTCTGGGTCCACAATCTGTGTCTGGCGCCACAACTCGTGCATGGAAGAAGACGACGTAGAGGCTGACCATTGGGGATACTGAGAGAACGCAACGGCACGGGTGACGCCGTCTTTTTTCATCTGCTCCAACATGTCTTCCGTCAATGGTTTGGCATATCTGAAAGCGACGTAAGGTTTGTGTGGGGCTGTCTCGGGGCTGATCTCGTCCAACCTCTTGCAAACTTTTTCCGACTGGTACTCAGACCAATACCTGATGGGGGACCCACCACCGATCTCGTCATATTTCTCAGCCACGGACCCGGTTCTTTGGCGAGCAATAAACTTGGCTGTGAAGGTTTGGAAGGGGCCCAACGGAATCAAGTCTTTATCAGAAAAAAGCCTGTTAAGGAAGTCATAGGTTTCTGAGCTTTTATTGGGCCCACCCATATTCATGAACACCACTCCAGTGGGAGATTTGCTTGCTTCAGTAGAGTAGCATTTCAGAAGCACGCGGTCCATGCGGGCCACTCTCATGGTCAGAGAATTTATAGCACGAATCATCATCTAGATTGTTGAGTTACAAAAATGATATTATCAATAAGCATACATCGATTGTGGAAGATGCGAGCTACATATATAGACCTGAGACGCGCGAGCTGCAGCGTGGCGAAAGCAAGGTTTGTGACGCATGGATCGCTTTACTCATGGAAGCATGCGCCACAAGTTGAACACATTATGCAAAAAGTGCACCTAAGACGTCGGATGTCTTTGAGGACGCTGTTGCTGATGTAGACGAATACACAAGAGAAACAGGGAAATATACGGGAGGCCAACAACTTTCTTGTATTCCAAAAGCCACTGTGATGGTGAGTCTACGCGTGTGGCGTCATAACTCCGGTGCCGGATCTAGCCCAGAGAGCGGGCCGTATTCGATGATGTAAGCATATCTGCAAAATCACCGCGCAGAAACTTCATCACCAAGAAACCATATTCAGATAGGATATTAGGAGTCCTGATTTCTGAGCGGACACGAACTGAACCGTTGAGCTCAGGATAGTGCAAGTAAGCAATTTAATCCAGCTTTTGTTTGTTGTCGTGAAACTCTGCTTTTTTAGTTTGGAGAATCTCGTTGATTTCATCGGTAAAATTGGTGTATGCATCTTTCAAGCCATCCATGTCATCGCTGAACGAGCCTCTACGACCACGGAATGATTGCCAAGCATCTGACATCTCTTTGACTTCCTCTTGGAAATCCTCCTTGGTTGCTCCCTCTAATACGTCTATTGGAGGCACTCCAAAAACAACAGAATCGTATCTTTCCGACAATGCTTTTTCCACAGCCTGTGCCACCCTTTGAGACTCTTGTCTATTCAAGTTGGGCATAGTGGTAGCGGGCTGTAGTTGCGGTGCTTTCGAGCGACAAAAAGCCTCGGCTTTTTGTTTATAAGGGCCCTTGAAAACAACCAAAGAAAGAAAAATTCCAACAGGAATGTAAAAATACACTGTCCACCAACAGTATAACGACTTTTGGAAGTCCAAAATAACAAATGGCTGGCACACAAATCCAAATGTCAACTGAGTCACGACGTAGCACACGAAATCGTAAATCTTCTTGGATGACTTGGGCGTTTTGCCGTCTGCTTCCATAAAAATCGGGCGGAAGTTCCGGCGGAAAATCTTTCCAATTGTTTGAATGAAAGCTCCAAGGACAAAGGTTAAATAATAGCCAGGCCTCGTTCCATGCCAAAAAGCACTAGTTGCAAAAGTGAATAGCGTGCTTTTGAAACCCGGTTTTTTCCCCGGCCTAGCAATTCTTGTGTAAACGTAGTGTTTCAACCATTTGTTTGTGTTCATATTCCATACTTCAAGACATCTGTAAACATTTTGTCCAGTCTCGAAGCTCCAGGGGTCAATATTCTGAACTCTGTTCCATTTGAAAGTCTTTGTTTTTTCATCGTATCCATTATAGCCAATTCCACATAAGATACACGCGCCTTCTGCAATCTGCCAGATAGTGTAGTATTTGAGTCTATGTGAAATCCCAAGCACCCACAAATAAAAAATTCTGTAAATGAAGCCATGCTCTGTTATGAATTCCTGACTGAAAACATGTTCCAATGTGACCCATTTGGGTGCTTGTAAATATAACACAGCCCAGAAAAAACCTTGCATTGTTTTACTGAGAGCCTGGAGGCCGCTTCTGGGAATTCTTCTCTTCAGTTTTCCTGGGCGCTTTTGCTCTGGAACATCATCAAACAAAGAGCCGTGTATAAATTTGTCATAGTCAATGTAATCAAAAGCAGGTCCGGTCAACAAAGACGGGTAGAAAAACACATACCCGAAATATGGGAGAAGGTTCGGGTGTTTCTTGATTGCCCTCGATTGAGTATACGCAGAAGGAGCTTTCTTCTGCTTTCCGTCATGAACATTCCAGCCAAACGCAGACAATTTCATCACCATGACCATCTGAGCCCCGGTTATATCAATCACAGTGCTGTCATAAGACCTAAAGAATTGCGTACTAAAGTGGCTATACGCCAAGTGGGACATCAAGAATAGGAAATTTATCCATGGCATCAGGTTTGTTCTCATATACCGGGTGATGAAGTAGCAAACTGAACTGGAAAGCAAAAGCGTGTATATTCCCGAACGAAGATCAAGAATTCCGAAGATGTAGAAAGAGGACACACCGATCACGTACGAGTTCTTTAATGTGTAGCGGTGGTCAGGTAATCTTTTGAATACCCAGCTGAACGGGAAAGATAAAAGAGTACACAAAAGCACTTTGAAACTCGCTTCGTCCATTCCAGCAGCCGCCAGAATGGCAGAGATCCCCTCTTGCAATTTGTGGATCATGCTTAGAAAGCGAATAAGGTTGAGAACCTTTATTTCCCCACGATTATGGAGAAAATTGATCTTCGCGCATCAGCTCCGTCTAATATGTATGCATGTTTAGCAAACGACGAGGGCAAACAAATAAAGGTTTTCTTTCTGCTTTCTTGCTTGCTAGAATTTTCCAGCTAGAGAATTTTTCCGTATTTATTCTTATATTGATTTTTTACGAATGACTCAAATACTTCCTCGGAATTAACTTCTACTCAGAACTAGCTTGAAACCTTCTTCTAAGGCTTGGGTAATACTTTCATTCTTGAAAGGTATGGTAGTCAAAACGTAGGCAACGTCGTTCCATTCAGTTTCAGACTGGCACTTAGTCAATCTCACAAGAAGCTTGTCGGCTAATTGCTTTTGGTGTCTCTCTTTCTCAATAAATCCAACCAAGAATTTGATGATCCTTTTCATGGGCTCCTTTTCAAGCGTTAGGTCATTCGAGAGGCCACTAAAAATGTCAATAAAACCATTATAAATGGCATTGTCTTTCGTGGCCAATTCCGTAAAGAAAAGCTTGCACATATCACTAATACCCTGATCTGGATTCTCTAGGCATTTAGCCATAGAAGAAAGTTGGCCTTTAACTTTTACCTGACCCGCCAAAATCAAAAATGTAACGGTCATGAGGCATGTTCTCTGTACCATTATGTTCTCATCCGTAAGACGACCGTAGAGAAAATCGGTGTTTTCGTCTACAAGATTATTGAAGCAAACTGCCATATCTCCAAGACCCAAGACACAGTTCGACCTAATGATTGGATCGGGGGACTTCTCCATGATTGTGATGAGAAGCGGCAAGTTCTCCTCGCAGAATTTTGAGGACACGCACATGAGCTTTGCCAAACAAAGAACGGCCGATCTTTGAAGGCCCTCGTCAGGATACGCTTGATTGTTAGAACAAATTTCTTGTGCTAGCAAGCCAAACCGTTTCAAAATTGATCGGTCATCATAAAGTAGCTCTGCCTCCTTGATAAAAGAAACAGCATCAGTAAAGTCATCTTCTGACGAAGCCCCAATCATTTCTAGTTCATTTTTATTTTCTTCTTCATTGTCCCCCGTCTTCTTTCCTTCTGATTCATGTTTCAATTTTTTGAATTGTGTTTCAAGTTTTTCGAGATGCTCGATGGTTTTAATTGCCACATGTCCCACGAGAAAGAGTAATTGCGAAAGAGCAATCGTCTGCGGCATACCAGGCGAAAGGTCTTGGAATACTTGTTTGGCTTTTGAGTTAAGTGCTGCAGAGCATACCTCCTCAGGGTTAGGCGAAATCTTGAAGATTGCGGTCAATGATTGCTCTGCAACCCCATACCATTCTGTTTTCTCTGTAAAGAGTAATAAGACCTCAGCTAAGCCGTTAAGAACTTCTTCTTCTTCGGGAAAGTCACATGTTTCACCTAGCTTTTGTTTCAGAGAGATAATCTTCAGAATAGTTGCACAAGTATACTTACAAAGAAGCATATCGTTTTTTCCAATCTCACCCAAACCTACACGAATGAGTGACTCCATGCCCATTTGAACAATTTTGGAGTTTGCTGCCGCTAACATTCCAAGAATTTGAATTGATCCGTGTGTGAGCTCTTGAGGGTAATCTTCGTCATTTTTGCCGGCTTTACTGTAGATGAGCCATAATACTTTCACGATCTCAGGATTGATTAATTTTGCGGCGTACATGAGGCACAAAAGCTTTTCCAAGGACGCCAAATCTGCAACAGAGGCAGAAACGGTTAAACTGATCAAATTTTTAGCAAAAAGAACTGCAGTTTGAGATGCAGTAGCATTCTGTGGTGCCGTTAAAAAAAGCTCTTTATAACAGTCAACAAGATGTGATGAAATTGATTTGCCCTCATCTGATGAACCTTTCATCCATACAAGATGTAGCATTCTGCGGATTCCTTGGGGTGCATTTTTCACGCCATATGCATCAGCAAGAACTAAGAAGTCCATTGATTCTAAGACCTCGTTTCGATTCCTTGAAAAAAGTAAATTTGAAGCAATCGATGTTCCATTTTGTACAGCTCGGATAAATTCCAAAGCATCTTCATAGTATTGAACAGTAAGTTTAGCTTTGATTATCACGGCTGGTTCAGGAAGCAGATCTGCTTCCTCTCTGATGGAGTTGTTGAACTCTTCTGGATCGATCTCTGAACCGGAATCTGAGCCTAAGTCATCAAGCGGTTTCTCCAGTTCTTCCTTCTCTTCCAGGTCGATGTCCATATCGTTTTCATTCAGAGTGTCTAGAACATTTGGTACACTTGGCTTTTGTTTCCCAGAAAGGTGTGGTATGAGCTTCTGAAGCTCTAATTCTGAATCCTTGAGTCTTGTTTCCCAAACATCATAATCCAATTGAGTGCCATGAACTGCCGAGAATGGATGAGACAGAAGTAATTTATACATCAATTTTATTGCATTTCGACGAACCAAGGTACTTTTGTCTCCCAATGACCGGACGGCAATTAACATAACAGAATGTCTTCTTTTCGGAATCTTTATCGGCAATGAACAAACTTTACGCATGGCTTGGATTGCCTTCGTTCTAACATAGGGATTCTGATCGAGGAATCTTTCTTCAAGCAAATTTAAAAGCCCATTGATCTGCAGGGCACTGTTTGCCGAGAGATCATCAGTTGTCTCTAAAGCTTCTGTTTCTGACTTTAGTATATCAACAACAATGTTGCCACATGTCTCCACAACAGAGCATCTGAGTGACTGATTGCTGTTGTCGAGCAACTGAGAAGTAGAGGACATTTGTTTGAGAATCAATCGCGGGCTTAATTCGGAGAGTTTGATGAGGAACTCAGATATCGATTTGGGCCCGTTAGAGTCATTCGAATTGAACTCAAGCAGACTGATTTCTCTCAATAAATCTTCTGTGAGAGCCATATGCTCAAATTTAGTGTTGAGAAAATGCAAGAGCTCAGCCATATAGGTTGACAAGTGGACGTAATAATTCAATGACTGTAAAATAGAGTTTTGAATTACAGAACTCAACGAATGGTTCACCACGGCCATGCTTATGTTTTTGAACATTAAGATTTTGATTGATGCAACCTTCATGCGGTCAGGGTGCTCCATTAGATGAAAAATGGGTCGCATGAACATCTCAAGAAATTGGGATCTCTCGGGTGTGGTCACAAAAATCTTGGATAGCGGTATTTGTAAAACAGGTGTAATAGCTTCCAAGATGTCTTCAACTTGTTGGCAGTTGGAAATCCATTTTTCCAGTGTTTGTCTTTGCTTAAGAGAGCCAGTACTGCTGGGAAAGTCTTCCTTACCGAGGAAACTGATTAAAACGAAAACCAAATAACCATATCTCTCTAACTCGGCTTTGAGCTGGTCCACGCTGTCTGTGAAATCAGCTTGCTCTAGAAGATTCTTTCCTTGATGACTGGCAGAGACGAAAGACGAACAGATCAAGTACAAGAGCTGACGTCTATGTGGGTTAGATAAGTGGAGATAGCCATGTGCCATTTCTATTAGGTCTTCAAGAAGTTCCGGGTTGGTACATATGGTCTCTGACGAATGCGCCAAAGAGGTGGTCACAGAAGTGAGTTTTGATTCGAACCCCAGAGTTTCAAATGAGTAGTCATTTTCGACATCAAAGGCGTTGTAGAAAGTTGAAAGGTTAAAGTCCATTGTCGGGGGAAAAAATGGTAGAGATCACGCTTCTCTTCCTTTCAATGGATTGTGGCTGGTTTACTATGATTATATATCACGAGTATCGGAATCAGAAACAAACAGCAGATCCATGCAGTATAATAAAGTTGTTCTTTTTTTTGTCTTTTTTCACTTGGCGTGCTGAAATAGTCGGCAGGTTTTATTTGGCAGGGTTTCGAAAGATCACTGAGGGTCAGTGGTGTTGTGTAAACAAAGCCCATCAGACCGCGACACTGCCAAAATGTCTCCACACGAATCGGGAAATAAGCAAGTTCCAACTTACTGAGCTGGAAGGGTTAAATTGAAAGCTGTAAAAGAATGAGTGGTCGAAAAATCTGAATATATAAATCCTGATGAAAATTAGTCTTTCAACCTTGCATAGCCTTTCACAACTGCTTTGGCCGTGCCTACGCGCTCGTCCTCGAGGACTCCAAGAAGATCCTTAGACGAGATCATGTTGCCCGTACGAATCTCTCTGAAGCGCAAGCCGTTGTCTCCTCTAGAAGCTATGAGCGAGCTCTGCTTCGAGTTTGAGTCCTTAGCGCCGCTATTCTTACTCTCTTCACTTGAGTTACCTGCAGCAGATGTCATCCAGGAGTACTTCTTCCGCGACAGGTTCATGGTCATCATTGCAGCGGTGGCGTTTGCTGCTCTGTGTAAGGTTTCTTCGGCGCCCGCCTTATTGGCCGAGTCGGGTGCTACGTCATCGCTTTTTTCGAGCCCCAAAAGAGCTCTTTTCGCCACCCTGCGCTCCTCCAAATCTTTTTGCTTGAGTGCTAAGTTCCTGAGCTCTTTCGATACTTCAGACCGCTGAGAAGGCGGGCTTACTTTTTGCTTGCCTGCCGCTTTGTTTTTGGGATTGAAAGCGGGGATGCCGCGTCTCCGGTGCTTTGCTAGTGCTACAGTTTTTGTCACGATGTCAGAGAGCCACTCCTTACACGCACTGGACATGAACTCCAACATTTCCGGGTCGATCATGAAGTTCTGCATAACACCGTTCTCACGGGCCGTGCGATTCATAAAGAGCGCCACGTGATATGGATGTAGGAAAGCGTTCAACAGGCCATACGTCTGCCGTTGCCGATTCGCCATCTGTTGCTGGTGGAGATTGAGTGCACTTCGATTGTAATTTGTCGATAGCAACTCTTCTTCTCGCTGGATATCCACGCCTGCCGCTGCAAGTGCGTCATTGAGCTTGGTTGGGTCTTCAGGCTTGTCCTTGTCTTGTGCGGTGGGAAGTGGGCCGTAGTTGAGGCCCATGCTTGAGCCTGCCATCGGCACCATGGGCGCCGAGAGCGATGAGTGCATGGGGAAACTTTTCTTGGGATCAAACCGGATCCCGGACTTGAATCCAGACGGCGACGCTATCGAGTTGTTTGCAGGAGGGCGGTACTGGTTGGGGAAGCCTGTGTGTGTTTTCTGGTACGGGTACGTTGACGCGGCGCCAAGTTGAGACTGCGGGTTGTAAAGCGGCGAAGGGCCTGGCGCCCCGTTCATTTGGCCTTGTTCGGGCAATTTACCCGTGGAGTTGACTCGGGACAAGGTCGACGGAGCGGGGGTATATCGTCCGGGGGCTTGGCCTTGGTTCTGTCCATTGTTGATCATGCCTGGTGCGGGCGAGCCCGCGCCCAGCAGCTCATTTGGGGCTGTGCTATAAGGGGCTTTTGACGGGAGGTTAGGGGTGCCTGGCCCTGAACCGACAGGTGGAGCGGAGACTAGCGAGGAGCCAGGGGCTTTCCCTGGTGGAGCTGACTTCTCTGAAAGGAAATCCGGCAAGTCCAAGTCGTTTGCCGATTCAGCGGGGAAATCTTGGCTCGAGAAGCCTTCCTTCATTTCGAACGGAAGCGGCGCAAAGAGATTGTCTAGTGTTGGGTCATCCTGCTGAAATTCGGTCTTGATGCGTTTCTCGTCGTTGTTTGCGGTGGAGGCGTCTTCGAGAGGACGTTTATGCGGGCTCTGTGCGTCTGTGTCTGCTCCCATGCTATATGTTGTAAGCCAGAAGCTGCAATGAAGTTCAAGTTCGGCGGAAGATCGCGGCTTGATAGGAGAGTGAAATGTCTTGCAGAAGTAGCTAGCTTGTGATCACCCAAACCAGGCACTGCAGGGTGCACTGCTGTGTTGAAAGCAGGGGCGTGCGTCACACTACAAGGATGGTCACGTGCTACGGGCCCTCTGGCTGCGCGCGTCGGTATGGCACGATCTGGGTGCTTGGTGATACGCGGCAATTGGCAGAGGCCGGGGTGTGTCTCTGCTCTTTGCCTGATGGAATTCACAAGTTTAGGGTGTGTTCATTGTACATGGCATGATTGAGATTGCTTTGCTCAAATATGACAGTCTTCCACAGGCCAGTTACTACAGCCTGCTCGTACTCATGACAGAATTAAACGTCCAAAACTTGATAGTCTGACATGTACCAAGATCCAACACACGCTCTGGCAATGGACTCCCAGGTCCTCCGCGCTCCATTATCCATTTTTTGACACCATGATCTGCCAAGGCTTCTCTTTTCTGTTGATGTAGTAAATGTATATTAATGCAATTTGGGCAGGCGTATCTATGGGTGCACACAGCTATTTAGACGCACATCCGAACCCTAATTAAATAAGCTGGAAACCGGTCCCTCTATGTTTGAGAAGATGGAATATTCAAATTTGTGTTGCTCGTCAGATAATTCCATGCATTCTCAGTTTCACCTCCCCATTATTCTTGCAACATGCAAGATGGCTCGTCTTGCGTGCAATTTTCTCACTGCTTCATCTCCTACACAGAGCGCCTCGATCGAGCCCGATGCTCATCTCACAAAAAATTACCGAATATCTAGCACCAGTAAGCCATGTCGACAAGTAAACTCATAAATTTCGAGGGTGAAAGAAACTTTCGATTCCGCTTGGTTATTGCGACTTTAGCAGGAACCCATATTCGCATCTCGAAAATCCGCTCGAATGACATGAACCCTGGTCTCAGAGACCATGAAGTCTCGTTCTTACGTCTTTTGGAGGCTGTGACAAACGGCTCACATATCGAGATTTCGTACACGGGTACAACTGTCATATACAGACCAGGAATCATCATTGGTGGTCAGTTGACTCACGCTTGTTCTGGTAACAAGCCCATTGGTTATTTCTTGGAGCCCTTGCTCTATCTTGCGCCATTCCTGAAGAAGAAGTTCTCCGTAATTCTTAAAGGCTTAACTTCTTCCGACAAATCCAAAGATGCTGGAATTGAAGCAATCAAATGGGGACTCATTCCTGTCATGGAGAAGTTTGGTGTACGCGAAGTAGAGTTGCATATATTGAAAAGAGGATGCCCTCCCTTGGGTGGTGGAGAAGTGCACTTCATTTGCAACTCCCTCATTGCTCAACCACTCACCATCCACGCATTGGAAACTCCAAAAATGTCTGCCATTAGAGGCGTTGCATTTTGCGCGAGAGTGTCTCCCTCCATTGTAAACAGAGTGATTGACAGCGCTAGAGCGGTCTTCAAGCCAACGGGAATTGAAGTCAACATCACTGCGGATGTATGGCGTGGTGAAAACTCAGGGAAATCTCCAGGTTTTGGTGTGACTTTGGTGGCCGAATCCAAAAAGGGATGGAGAATCTTTGCCGAGGGAACCGGAACCGCTGGTTCTCTACCCGAAGATTTGGGAGAATTGGTTGCGTACCAACTCCTCGATGAGCTCGTTAAATCAAGCTGTTTCGGAAGAAACCAGCTTAAACTCGCTTTGGCTTATATGGCAATCGGCAAAGAAGATGTTGGAAGAGTTAGAATTCATAAAGCTCAGATAGATGAAGATTTCATTTGGGTGTTAAGAGATATCAAACTGATCTTTGGCACTGAGGCATATTTGAAGGACGATGCGGACGAACTCCAGGAAGACTACATGACAGCCTCCATCAAAGGATCTGGTTTCACCAGTGCCTCTAAGAAAATCGCATAAATTTTGTATATTAACGAACGTAATTACACCATCTTGATTTGATTGGGGAAGGTATTTGATTTGATGGGTCCTACCAGAATGAACACCAGCCGATATAGTGCTGACAGAGATTTTCAACACTGGTCGCTTGCTGTATCAATTTGTCGACTTGAGTAGGTATGTCCAAACCCTTCAAACGTTTGATGTCATTTCCAGTGAGTTTATCTGTGATTCTCTTGAGCACAAGAGCAGCTCTTGCATTTCTCACCTCAAGGGCGTTTTGTTTGTACTGTCTTTGAGCTTCCTCTTCGTCGATTTCACCTTTTTTCAACAATTCGCTCGTATTGTGCTGCTGGATCTTAATTCCGGTTGCTTCTGCAAGCACCTTTGGGGGAAAGTCAAACCCCCAATTGATCAAGGGGTCATAAGCAAAAGCCTCCAAAATTGCCATCAAGGATTCTTTGTTGGCTCTGAGGACTCTCATGACATGCTCACAAGTGATACGGAACGATCCTTCGATACCACTGACTTCCATGGCATAGTTAAGCATTCTTGTGAGTCTGAACGGAACTTTTTCTGGATACTTCTCACGCAAGATCGCTGCCTCGAAACAGTCACCAAAATCGATATGAACAACTTTGCCCGTAAATCGGTCAAGCATCAAATTTGAGGGGTGTCTGTCTCCTAATCCTAAGATGTAGCCCACCATAGACATGACAGCCAATGACCTGGTATAAGTTGTTCTTCTGTCAAGCCAAGCCTCTGAAGACTTGGACTTAAGCCAAAGAACCTTATACAAGTCCTGACCTCTAGTATTATCCAAAGCTCCGGTGAAAACCTCGACCTTTTGTAAGATCGTTAGAATATCATAATCAGGGGCCATTTGAAGCATGATCCTGTGTTCGATGTTGAGCAAAATTTTTCTAGATTCTCTGTACTCTCTTATGAGCACATGAAAAGTATCACTATTCGGAACCCACCCCAATAGACCAACCTTTGGTGAGAGAGGAATTGCCGGGAACTGTTGGATGTCCAAATGACGTTTGAAGCATTCTGTATCATTGACAAGAAGAGTGTTGACCAAGCCAAACAATTGCATAACCAAATTATCCTGCCGGATGTCTTCATGTCCTTTTAACACATACTGGTAGTCTTTGCCATCACTGCCTTTACAGACCAATTTTCTTGGTCTTTGCTTGGAGGAAATCACCGTGAAGGTTGGCTCGAACTTCATGATTCGGATGATGGGTTTGCCAGCATGGTATGTTCCAGGGGCCGCCAATTCCAAATTGTAAGCATCCTCCAATTTTGGAGAAACAAACAGCAAATCCAAGCTTTGAAGTTGTGGTAATTGCCTGCTTATTTTTCGGAAGACGTTGTAATAAACATCCCAAGCCTGGTTCAAATTCGTAATATCTTTAGTGCGACGGTAATTTAAAACCCATTCGTAAGCATCCGCCAACTCCCTTCCAAATGCATTGTTAAAAGACGCCTCCCTCATTGTTTCGGGTCCCTTTTCAAGCATTTTGTGGAGAGGTTCAAGAACCTCGAACATTTTCTCGGTGTTGTGCTCACCAAAAAACAAACGCAGGGCGTCTTCTAGTCCTTCATACCATTGTTCTAGCCACAATACAGCGACACGAATAAGCTCATGACTGACAAGTTCTGACTGCTCCACCAAAGTTGCTGAATGGGCTCTCATTTTGTCGATGATGGAAAGAGCTGCCTTCTTTCTACTCACGGACTCAGATGTGACTGCCACAGCCAACGGGTAAACTAAAGCCTGTGGATGTGCTTTACCAAGGTCGGTAAGTAATCCAAGTAAAGATCTGCTGACAATTTGATTCGGCTGATGAATACGAGAGATCAATTGCGGCACAATTTGCAACCAATTATCAATTTTTACCATGTTGAAGCCGTCTGTCATTGCTTGAGCTGCTTCAGGTATACCTCCAAATTTGAACCATAACGCAAGCAAACGCAATGTATCCTGCAAAGAATTAGAGCTTGATAAAGCAATTGAGTGGAAAAATCCCTGAATAGAAGGAATTACATGTCTCTGTACAACTTCAACAGAGATCATTTGCAGCTGCTGCATCTGGTTGTCCCGAAGATCGCTCTGTTCCAACACATTTGAGGAGTTTGCTCCATTTCCCAGCGAGTACAAAGAAATGACTTCGAAATTTGCCAAAGCCCAATTGTGCCATGCCTTATACCATTTGCTATCAAAATGTGTAGCCAAAAGGAAAGCACCGAGAATAATTTCAGACGTCTCGGTGCGCCAATTGCTATTCAGAACAATTTGCCATTCACCTTGTTTCAAAAAGCATCTTGCAAGAAGTTTGGTGTATTCTTCCACATGTTTTGGAATGCCAGGACCATCAATAGGAACAGGCTGAGTTATTAAATCATTTGGATTCAAGCCAAGATCTTGTGACATGCGCGTTGTAAAATCCACTAGATGCCTCAAAGCCTCCTTCCCCTGTCCTTTGGCCCACATGTATTTCAACTGAGCATAAACCACCTGAGGCGGGGCTCTTGAGGATGTATCTGATGCACCGCCCTCCAATAAATTATTAAGTGAATTTTCGGCAAGATTGAATCTCCCAGACTTGCGACAAAGATTGGCAAACTTGATCCACATTTCCATGTCCTGTTTTGGTTTGATGACAAGGGCTCTAACCTTTAACATTCGTTGCCAAATATCAACATTCCGTTGACAGCCCAAAAGCCGAGTATTCCAGGTTTTGCGCATTAAAGCGCGTTTTTCAGATCCCTGTGGCAAACATTTATATTTAATGATCTCTTCCAACTCAGCCAACATCTGAACTCGTACGACGACGCCGTATGCCCTGTTGTAGCTCTCACTGACTAAAGCTGTGATTTCTGTAACAAGCAAGTCCCGCGCATTAAGAATATGGTTGGATGCTTCCTCAAAATTGTTCCGATGAAGACTCAAAATTGCACTGAAAAAAGCTTTATCTGGTGATTCCAGTTTCATCACCTGAATATAGGCATCCATTCTATCCCATTGTCCTAATCCCCAAGCTGCTGCTGCTGCCAAAGGCGCAACATTACGCTTTATATCGCTTGATGAAGAACTCCACTTGTTCTGAGCCAATTCAGACAATTGTTCCCATTCCCCTAATGCATGCAAGGACCTCATTTTACCCATCACAACTTCAATGTTATCAGGCTCAAGTTTTTCTCTTTCATTGTACGCTTTCAAGGCATCTTCCCATCTTTGTAACTTCTCATGCCATGTTTCCTTGAGCTGGAGGTCATGATGCAATTGAGCATGCTTCAAAATACCAACTGCCGCGTCCGACTGCTGTAATTGGTTATTTATGCTGATCAAGGCTTCAATAGTTGGGGTCGTAGGCTCTTCATAAAATTCCAACTCTTTGTAGTGCAATGCTTTAGCGTACGCATGACATCTCTGTGCATATTGGCCCAAGGTAGTGATGGCAATTGGCAACGACTTGTCATCGTGCTCCATGAATTCTGCTAAATTCAATAAGATTTGATGGATCTCAGGGGGGTTATTTGGTGCCGACAAAGCGATGCATAGAGACTCGATAAGCTCTTCCTGATGTTGTGAGTATAACTCGCTCCAGCAGGATGCAAAACTTGAATTGAATAAGTCTTTAGCAAGCGGATGATAATCAGAGGCAAGACCAGCGCAAGCTCTAATTGCATGTGATGGGCTTTGTTTAAGTAATTCCTTACTCAACCGTGCAATCCACTCCTGCCAATCTTCTCTAGTATTATTTCTTTGAGATGAATCCCAAGCAGCTTTCAAAGCTGTCTGATTGACAGGCAATTTTTTTGAAGGCATATCAATATCTGGAACATCAAAATGGTTTATGTGCATATCGTAGTCATTGTAAATATTGAGATTTGTTGGTGGAGGGTCACCATTCAAAAGTTTCGAAACCAATTGGTCGAATAATGCGGAATGCAACTTTTGTCGAATGAGAACTTTCTTCACCACTGGAATAAAGATGACAAATTCCTGACCCATACTTAAGGCCAAACAACAAAAAGTATTCATAGCAGCATGTGAGAGTTCTTCGTTATCTTGTCTCAACACTCGCAATAAGGGATGAATAATCCTAGATGACATATCGTTTAGCGATATGTTTTTGGCAAGTTTTCCCACTGTTTCAATTGCATATTTTCTCAACAGAACAGGTCCGATTTCAAACATTTTGATTATAGTGGGTACAATCACATGATCATACTCTTCTATGGTATTTCCAAACACAACAAAACTTCTCAAAACATGAATGGATGGTTCTCTTTCGGCAGACTTATCATCTTCGATCAAATCAAGTAAGAGGGGCAATATTTCAGAGAGGTACATCTTGAATTCGCCTTCCAACGCTCTTGATATGGATTCGATCAAATGAGTGATTATGACTTTGATGTTGAGGTGTGTGGAAGTATTGAAAAACTCTTTGATAATTTCGAAAATGCTGGGTAAAAATGGTCGAATGTGTTGTTTGACAATCAAAATAAGAGCACCCAACTGCTGCAAATAGAATTTGAGCATGCTAGGAGGACAACTATGCATTACCTTGATCATACCAGGAATAATCTGTGGAAGGAATGAAACACAACGCAAGCCTAACGTTTGAAAGATGTACATCACCGCTTGAATGACCTTGTTATGATGCGAGCTCAACGACAGGTCCTTGAGTATTTTCATGAGATTGTTGATGGCAACTGTGGGATAATACTCCTCATTGGAAGGAGACATACCTTGCATAAGAAGCGCAATATCAACCGGGGGTGCATTTTGCTCATCAGGAATTTTTTGCGAAGTTTGCTCCACCTCACGATGCTTGTACGGGTCCAATGCACCTAGTATTCCTAATAGTCTGACTGTTTCACGTCTGATATGAGGAGAAGTCTCCAGCTTTAAGATACCAACGAGCATTCCCAATAATTGAGGATAATCGAGAAGAGGCTGTATGACATAACCCAGTGAGCTTGCAATTTGGCCCAATGCCTTTAAAGCTGCGTCGCGCTTGAATGAAGAGCTTTGATCTTGAAAGGTGTCCAAAATTAGTGGCATAAGATCTGGTAAAAATGGCTTCATATCCTCACCTGCCACTATTGCAGCCTCACCTAAACAATTGATTGCACTGGCTGCCACAGACGAGCTAGCATCTTTGGCTTTCGGAAGTAAGGTCTCAACAATAGGTTTAATGTACGGCCGAGATAGTTCCGTTGAATTTCCAATCAATAGAGCGAGAATTGTAGCGGTTTCCTCTTTCTTTCGGCTTGTGTTCGCGTATTGCAATCTCGACAACAATTGTATCAAGGTTTTTCTTAAAGATGGAACAATGTATGCCGGGTTTATTGTGGACAAACGACCCAAAATCTTTATAGCAATTTTTCTTATCTCAAAGTTCTCGTCATTAAGAGCCACAAATAAGTGTTTAACATTTTCAGCTTGGGATAATTGAGGATCAAAATTGCTGGCCTCGCCTAGACTGTTGAGAGACTCGAGGCGAATTTCAGGGACGGGGTCAGTAATGGCAATTGACAAGATCTTGTCCACAACCTCATTGACGGCACTTAATGCATTGACGCTCGTTTGATGACATATCGGATCCTTAGTGAAAATCTTGCATGATGTAGATACTGCAGATTTTCTGACTTTGGGGCTGTTGCTGTCTAAATAAGTGACGATACAATATCTCACAAATTCGTTAAGCTGATAGTTTTCGAACTCGAAAAAAGAAACCATCTTTAAAGCTTGGACAACGATCGCGTCATCGTAACTTGCGTATGACGCAGCGTTGTTCAAGATATTGCTTACGCTGAGACCTGTATCTCTTGAGATCATTATGAGTCGGTAGTCACGCGCAGAAGACTCATTTATCTTTATGGACCCATATGGCGAGCCCGGAGGCTGAAAAGTCTTTCCAGAGAGAACCAAACTCAACAAGTTAAGAAGCTTCATGTTGATAGTTGGAGTGAGCGGAGGAATAGTCTTTATCAAAGTTTGCAAAACATCTTGCATTGCTTTTGAAAGAGAGCAGCTGGTAAACATCATGTCTAAAATGTCTCTTTGTAAGTGTTTTGTTAAAGCCGGCCCCACTGCCATTGAAAGTTTGCCAATGCAGTCAAATATTGCTGGCTCAATATCTTTTCGAATAGCTCTATTCTTAGAAGATATCAGCAGCGATACAGTTTGTGACTTAATACCTGTAGATGACGTATCTCCTGTTGAAATTGCGTTTGCAAGAATTTGTTGGACCCCAGAGTTTGCTGGATGCGCAAGCCCGTCTCTGATATTGTCCAAAATGGCATCAAGATAGGTTGCCATTTGATTGCCAACTTCCAATGCAATCAACCCAATACTTTCTAAGATCGCACTTTTTTCTGCCTTCACAAAATCACTGTTTTGATTCTTGTACTTTTTTAATTGAGACAAGTAAAAGTATAATGTTCGATGCAAATATTTTTCAACAAAGATATCCACATCTACCCTGCATAGCAAGGAGTAAATTGTGGTGAGCTCTTGCCTGATGACTGACAGTTTGTGGTTTTTATAAAGAGAGACATTTTCGTACATCAATTCGAACATGGACTTGATATACGGGTCATCGTGGTATCTGATCAATTCACGATACACCAAGAGGGCACCGTGGATAGACTCATTTGATGGTAAATTTGAGCTCGATGAGAGACTGTAAGACGAAACAGAGCCGTTATTTGTGTCGCGATGGTCTGGCGATGAGGAATTTAGAATTGGCGACGCCAGGTCTAACAAAATACGGATCCATTTACGCCGTGACTCAACTCCGCGTGAGTAAATAATAGACATACATTTCTGTAGCGCGATTGCAGAGTCATTCCTTATGATAAGCTTGTGGTCTCTGAGTGGGATCCAGATATGCTCTAATATCTGTGTGACGTAGCTTTGGAGCAACAAGGGAGCATTATCCGCAAGGGCCGTTATAATTAGAATAGCAGCGTGGCGGCGATTTTCATACTGACGATTATCACTTTGGAGCCACTCGATTGCTTTCTTAGCTTCGAAATCGACAAAATCGCCAGTCAAAGTTCCCCCCGGCGTGGCCAACTTGCCTAGCGTTTTCGTCGCTTGCTTCATTATGTTAATATCGTTTGAAAGAATCAAGGAGCTCAAATAGTTGGAAAATCTCGCTGTTTTCGTTGCGTTTTCTTCGCCCACTCCGCTGTCAAAATCAATCAAGGCATTGAGTGCAGCTATACCGCCCAATGTCTGTACAGTGTCCTTACTTTGCAAAAGATCAAAAATCGTGCGGTTGATCTCGTTGTTGTATCGGTTGAACTGCTCTGGCGTGAGATCCCTGGCTATGCTGGCCAAGAAGTTTCTAAGCTCAATGGCACATTTGGTCCTTTCGTCCTCCATGGTCAGCTTAAGCCCTATGAAGATGTGGCTCAACGCCACACCATCTACAATCTGCAGCTGCGAAGATGTCATGGACAGGTTGTTTTCCGATGCTGATTTTCAAAGTGTTTGATATAGTTTAACCTTCACGTATACTGAACCAGTATGCTGTTGGTGGGCGGAGATAAGCCTTCAGTTCGGATGTACGGATGTATTTCTCGAGAAAGCCTATTCTACGGTTGGATGTGTCGTCTGGGGTCCCCACTCTTGGATTAATACTTAGCACTGTTGCCTTATGATTAATTCATACGTGATTTCTTTCTCAAATTTGATGGTTATGTTTTTTGTATGTAAAATGCCTCAGAAATTATGGCACAGAAAAAAGAGAGAAGTTTCTGACAATGCTTGGACCGTACTCATCGTAGTCTTGCTTAGTGTAGCAGTAGCTCTTGAACTCTGCAGTCTGTGCAAGCAAAGAGCCACCGAACCAAACCGCATTTCTTTGTCTTTTGTGTGAAATCACCTGGACGTCCACACCTGTGCTCTTCACACCGCTCAACTTCTCGCTTATCTCAATTCTGTCATTGACAAGCGTCTTGATGTCTCTCTGCAACCTTCTTCCGAAATCCTTAAACATCGTGGAGCCTCCGGACAAGACAATGTTCTTGTACAATTTCTTACGCACATCGATAGGCGTTGCCTGCACGACCTGATCCACCACTGTGGGCAAAGGTGTCAAATAATCAGAAGAGCATATTTCTGGGTTGAAGAAGATTTCCGGGGCCAAGAAACGCTCGTAACCCACGTCAACAGACTTCTTTTTGTCCACAGTCTCGACTATGTATTGCGCAAACTTCTCCTGAGGATACTGGTCAAACTTCTTGAATTCTTTGACCATGTCTGGACACACGTAACAGAACTGCTGCTTGATCTTTTCTGCAGTTTGCAACGAAGTATCCGCTTCACCCCGGTCTCTCAACATAGACTGGATAAAGTGTGTGATATCCCTGCCGGCCAAAGGAATGTTCTTGATGGCGCCTCCAATGACATATCCCTCAGCAACAGGGATCACGTGTGTGACACCGTCACCAGAATCGATCACAGTTCCGGTCAAAGATCTATCCTGAACCTTGGAAGAAGTCCAGGACGCAGCCAACGCCAACACGGCCTGCACGGCAATGTACAATCCACTACAGTTGAAAGACTCAAACATAATCTCGGCCGTACTTTCTCTGTTTTCCGGGGGGTTCAAAGGCGGCTCAGTCAACAAGAAGTAATGGTCCTCAGGCTCGCACCTGAGGTATTTGAAGATGGAGTTTTCCCAGAATCTCTCCATGTGGTCCCAATTTTCGATCTGGCCGTGTCTTATTGGATACGACAACGAATAGTTTGGCCCCGAGGCGGCGGAAAGCGCCTCGTCGCCAATGTAGAAATCCAAGTCTTCCAATCCACGTTTATTGCTCAAGAAAGAGTTGGAAGACCCCGAGCTTTTCCCGCCCTTTCCGGTGCTGGTGGAAGTAGCAATGGCAGTGGGGAAGACAAATGAAGGAGAGTCGTTCCCGGCAAAACCTAGTTTGGTCAAGCCGGTACCGTTGTCCATAACCACAGCGGGTGTGCCCATAGACGCCATGTTCAATTAATATAAGACTGTTATATGTGAGTCAATCGTGACAGTTAACATTACGGTTTATCTCATGGGGGATTTGAGTAGCGCTCACCGCGTGGCTGTGTGCACTACCTTTGCTGGTGGCCGTCGCCCTCCACATATCTGCTGCGGTCGGCGAGGCGTGCCGGTAGATGGCTTCTCAACCAAGCACTGGGCTCCATGGACGGTTTTTCGTGACTTCAAAAATCGGATCAAACAAGAAGACCCGAACAAAAGCTAAAGAGGAAAGCTCTCTCAACCAAATTTTTTTCCACAATATCTCTACAATTAGAAATATGTATACGATCTCAAAAAGCCCACCACTGTACACTAGTATTCGTCCTTACCACTGATGATCACATCGTTGATCTTCAAAATCATTCTCGTCAACTGCGTAGCCAACAACAACTGTTGCTTCTTGCCAATCAACGGATCGATGATGAAAAGCTCTTTCATGTCGGTTGTACCCTTGCCCAAGCAGTCGACACCCAAGTGCGACGACTTCTCAAGGACTTGCTTCGATTTAAGAGTCGAAAGAGTCTCAATTGGGTCCAAGCCAGAGTTTTCCGCAAGAATCATAGGAACCTGGTCCAAAGCAGCAGCAAAAGCTCTGAAGGCGTACTGGTCAATGCCCTTTTGTTTGTCTGCGGCCGCACTAACGGCAATCGAACTGGCCAACTCAGCGGCACCACCACCGTAGACGACCCTGTTGTCTCTGATCAAGTTACGAACAACGCAAATCGAGTCATGCAAGGCGCGAATGCCCTCGGCGACAATCATTTCGTTAGAGCCTCTGATGAAACAGGTGACAGCTTTGGTGTTCGAGCACTCCTCAACCACAAGCATGCGGTCTCTTGTCGTACCGAACTCAAGCTCTCTGATCACGCCAGCCTTTCCTAGCTTTTCGGCAGACAAGTCTTCAAATCTTGGGACAATGTTACCGTTGGTGGCGATGGCCAAGAGCTCCAACTCAGACCCGCCAATCCATCTGATGGCATTCAAGTTGTTGGACAATAATAAATGGTTGGCTTCATCGTCAAACCCCCACTGACAGGCGACAACATTGGCGCCGGAGTCCTTCACCTGCTGAATCATGTCTTGGAACTTCTTCTGTTCGTATTCTTGTAGGACTTTAAATTCCTCGACGGTCGAGATGTCCAACTTATGCTTTGTTTTTGGCTTTGGTGGCTCAAATGGGCAAGTCAAGATTGCAATCTTGCAGTCTCTTACCTCCTTGATCATTTGCGGGTGTGAAAATTCTTTATCTAAGAGAACACCCTTGATAAGAGTCGAGTCTTCGATTCCACCCCCCACTTTGCTCTCCATCTTGATCAATTCGAAGTCAACATCTTTACGCTCGAGATCGGCTACCGCCAATACAGAGTCGACAGCCATCTGGGCAAAATGGTTGTGCGCTTTTGATACAATTTTGGATCCCAAAGAGGTCTTTGCCGCTTTCAATAAGTTGGAGTCGGTAGACTCATGAGAAATGTTGATCTCATCCGCCACAGCATTCAACTCGTCAATAGCAATTTTGCACGCTTCATCGAAACCGTTGGCAATCTTGATGGGGTGAATGCCCTTTTCGATGAGTTCAAGCGCCTGGTCCAACAAGGCACTAGCCAAGACGACCACGCCCGTGGTGCCGTCTCCAATTTCGTCATCCTGAGATTTGGACAACTCAACCAATAGCTTGGCGATTTCGTTATCCAAGTCCATCTGCGACAAAATGGTGGCTCCGTCATTGGTGATGGTGATGTCTCCGTCCTGACTGACGAGAATTTTATCTAACCCACGAGGACCCAAAGACGTCTTGACAATCGAGGCCACAGCTCTGGCAGCCAAGATGTGAGATTTGGTGGCCTCGACACCGTGTTTCCGCTGTTTTTTGCCCTGGTCTCTGACGATGATGAAAGGTCTCCCCATCTCATCCTGCGCCATTATGGCATTTGACAAATCAGGCATAGCTTGGGCCATTTTGAGTGAGACTTGTCTGGGTACTAGGTATGGTGTCGTTTCCCGTACTCTCAAATTTTTCCGGGATTTTCTGTGCGCACTGATCCATACTCGTGGCGCGCGACTGTGCTGGCGTGTTCCATTCAAACGCCAAATTAGATGCTTTCCTGTTACGCTAAATTAGTGGAATTCAATGATTTTATGTGCGTTTCCAGAATTTGTCATTAATTGTACTCGTAAAGACTTATGGTTTTGGAAATAAACCAAGTTCCATGCTCCGAAAATCAGTTCATAAAGTTTTGCTTTAAAATGCAGGCAAAGAAAGTCGATAGGGTGTTGAATCAAAATACTTGCTGCATCTGCAAGTACATCTGTTAATTTTTGTCTTAGGTTGATGGATTGATATTTTTCTAAATGAGGTCTTCGGAGTATTTTTGTGCAAACAGATTTCAGGTTTTTGCAACCCATTTCGATTCTCCCAAATTGCGAATTCTGCGCTACTTCACTGGGTATTTGGAAAACCACAGCGTTAGGTACACAACGGACAATGATTGTTATCAAGTGATTAATTTTTATTTAGGTGGGGGTCATGCTTTTAGATTCGTACTTAAATGTATAAAACAAAAATCCACTGACTAGACAAATAATCTTTCGCGTTGAAAGTGTATACCCTGGTGTATATCCAGCTTCACTTCAAGCATCTATTTAGGGGTGAAAACGCTTAGTAAGTTTTCAGCAGCTGTCGACAAAATATAATAAAAATCGGGGGAAATAGAAAAAAGACGCTAATAGGTTTCTCAACAACTAGATTATTAATCTTTTTGTTTAATATTCTCCAAGCTTTAGAATATTTATGTTTACCATTTACTTTAGGTGTGTCTATGATTCTATTTTCTTCTCTTCAACCGGTTTACACGGTATTCGGGACCGTTGTTATAACGTTAATCTTTTTTTGAGTACATTATTCCAAGGCAGATGAACAAATTAGAACAGTGACGCAAGTATCAAGAATTTCATTATTAACCGGGAGTCACTGGGCGAGAAAATGGATGTGAAGCCCCGGCCTACACAATTATGCCCGAACCTCGGGCCATGTTATGCAAAGTTAGGACACAATAATGTTTTCGTTAGGTTCTTAAGGTTTTGATTTACATTCACTTATATCCAGGGGCCAACATAGATATGAGTAGCGATTCAAGACCGTCCGAAGCATGCCATCGAGGTCATCTCAGTGCGCCCAGGCATTTCTTTTTGCCTTCGCTGCGGACTGATGAAAAAAGATAAAGAGAGCGCATTAGGCCTTGGCAAAGAGAAAAAAGATCGAGGAAAAATTCAGTATATAGATTAACATCTTCCACGCACCAGCTGAAAATGAGTGAAATCGACGTGGACTCTGCAACCATCGACCAGTTGAGAGATGTTTTGTGTAACAAATCTGGAGACGTGGCCTTGGCCAACAGATTCAGAGCCTTGTTCAACTTGAAGTGTCTTGGTGCAGACTCTGAGGACGAAGAGACCGTCCACAAGGCCATCGACTACATTGCTGAATGTTTCGCCGACAGCTACGAATTATTGAAGCACGAGGTGGCCTATGTCTTGGGCCAAATACACAATGTGTATGCGAACAAGCATTTGAAGAATGTATTGGCAGACACCAATCAGCAGGTCATGGTCAGACACGAGGCTGCCGAGGCCATGGGAGCTATCGGTGACTCTGAGTGCTTGGAAATGTTGGAGGACTACTTCAAAAATGATCCATCGATTGAGATCAGACAAACATGTGAGTTGGCTATCGAGAGAATTAATTGGGAGAAGTCCGCGGCTGCGAAGACGGAAACCTTGGAGAAGTCTGCGTTCACTTCGATCGACCCTGCTCCTCCTATGGCCACCGACAAGGAATCGAAAGTAGACAAATTGCAAAAGATTTTGAACGACCAGGAAGTGCCTTTGTTTGAGAGATACCGGGCTATGTTCAGACTAAGGGATTTGGCCACGGACGAGGCCTGCCTTGCCTTGGCCACAGGTTTGGATGATCCATCTGCTTTGTTCAAGCATGAAATTGCTTATGTTTTTGGTCAGTTGTGTAATCCAGTGACCGTCCCCTCTTTGATCAAAATCTTGAAAGACGACAGAGAAGCCGGTATGGTGAGACACGAGGCAGCTGAAGCCTTGGGCTCTATTGCCACAGATGAGTGTTTGCCAGTCTTGAAGTCCTTCTTGAACGATGAGGAGGAAGTTGTGAGAGATAGCGCGATTGTTGCTTTGGACATGTACGAGTACGAAAATTCCAACGAGTTGGAATACGCCACGGTCAAGACTCAGTAAGGAAACTGAGAATAGTTGCGAACATATATGATAATGGAATTATTTGTAGCAAAACTGGCAATTTAATGTGGGTATGCGAGAAACGCGATTGAACGCTTGACAAGATTCGGTCGGGAATGGTAGGCTCCTCCAGTGGACCAGGGAATGATTCCCCTTACCAGCCCCACATTCTACGGGCAAATATGACCAAAGCATGCGATTTTTCTATAATACATAAGTGCAGAAGGGAGTCTCTAGTTATTGGTTCTGAAACGATAGCCACAGCTGGTACAGGTGTAGAAAACAGTGGCACCTTCATCGGCCGATCTCAATTGTAAGGTATGGTATTGCATCTCGTCGTTTCCACACTTAGGACATTTCTCCTTGATCGTGGCGCCCTCTTCTATTTCATCAGTTTTCAATGTAGTCTTCACCACAGATTGCTTCAATTTCAATGCCGATGGAAAAGCGTCCTCGGAGGACTCAGTGACAACCTTCAAGTCTGCGAACTGCAGACTCGCGTATGTTTTCTTGCACACCTGACAGTCCAATGTGGGCTTAGAGCTCACGGAATCGAGCAAGTTTCCACATCCCGTGCAGAAAATGAGCGATCCAACGGCTGACATAGCTTGGTTATGTGTGTGTATTTGCGAAGCTTGGATTGTGCCCGAAGACCTCTTTCCACTATCTGCCTAACTCGCGAAGAGATGGTGAGCTCATGGCCTGCGTGAAGATAAATGAGGAATGATTTTTTTTTCCACCCGACCCCCGGTTCTGCCGGCCCTCGGATCTAGCTCAGAACCATCTCATCGAATACTTTTTCTCGAAAGCACGTTGAGTGTTGCAAACGAAAATGAGACAAAAGCGTGCCAAGTCCTACAAGAAACAAATCAATCTATATTTACATGCATTTAAGTTCAGGGAGCCTTTCCAAACAATCATCGATGACGAAATAATACTCAATTGTGTGAAGGCATCGTTTAACTTGGTGAAGGGCCTTGATCGGACTATCCAGGCAGACACTAAGCCCATGATTACACAATGTTGCATGCAAGCTCTATACCAAAGCAACGACCAGATCGCCATAGATTTGGCCAAATCTTTTGAAAGAAGAAGATGCAACCACTCGATAAAGGAACCCAAGCCTCCGGCTGATTGCATAAGGTCCATTGTAGATGTCGATGGCAAGAATAAACACAGATATATCGTGGCCAGCCAGTCCACGAGCTTGAGGAGAAAACTCCGCGGTGTTCCTGGAGTGCCTCTTGTTTTCATGAATAGGTCCGTTATGGTGATGGAGCCGGCTTCTGATGCTACAAAGCGCGCCGCGGAGTTGTGTGAAAATGCTAAGTTGAAGGCTGGCTTGAACGACTCCAAGGTTGGATACATTGAGAAAGATAAACCTAAAGAGATTACGGAGGAAAAACCAACGCGGAAGAGGAAGGAACCAAGCGAGCCAAACCCCTTGAGTGTCAAAAAGAAGAAGGCTGATCGCAAAGAGGACACGCACCCAGATCAGCCAAAGAAAAAGAGAGCCAGACGACACAAGAGAGCGAGCGAGCAAAATGAGGATGCAATCGCTGAGAAAGCTGAAAGTGAAAAGGCTCCGGAAGCTAAGAGCTCAGGTGAAGACAACGAATAGTCATTGAGGTATAAAGCACGCGTTCTCAGAACATATTCGTAATTTTCTGAATAATTCGTAATTTTCTGAATATATAATAAATACGTGTCACGACCAATTAGCGTAAATAATGCTTCGAAGAGTGACTCAGCTGGCAGTTTCTTCCAAAACGGAAAACTTGTTATTCTTCCGTTGATCCGGTTCCGATGTTTCCAAACTTTTCACCACATTTCTTGAGTCTGTCTTCAAAACAAGTGTCACGCCGTCGTCAACCATGCACATCTTACAGTCAAACGCAATATACTTCTCTCTCAAAACGTTTTTGAACGACTTCAGGAGAGAGTATAGTTTGTCTTCTTTCTCCTTATCCATAGTCTTGAAATTATCGCAGGAGAATGCAAAAGTTGAGTCTTTAATCCAGTGAATCAGAGGGTTTTCAATTTCCGGATGTGATTGAAGAATTTGTTTCACATTGCTCTCCACATCATCCTTGGAAACACCAAAAAATACATCTCGAATCAAAATGGAATTGAAAAAGCTTTCCTCAATTTGGGTTTGCTGGAGATTCTCCAAAAACAATTTCTTTTTTTCTATCTCATCCTCTGCTGCAACCGTCTGTTTAAGCGTCAAAGGGGGAACAGCCGTAGAATCTGTGATGCAAATAAACACAGATTTCAAAGGCTCTTTATCCTGCGATTCAGAGTAGAGCTTGAATGCTTCTGCAATCTGATGAATAAACTTTCGCTGAGGAGTGTTCATGGGAGGGAGATGTAAAGATTTCTTTGCTTTTATTCCGGCGGCAACGTAGTCCTGGTAATCACTAATGAAATCCCTAATCTGGTTTTCATACTTTGAACACCAGTTTGTCTGGCGACGGTAAACCTTGACTGCATCCTCAGGATATGATGATGTTGCTGGTTTCACGCCCATATTAAATGCAACACGCAACTCTTCTTCACGCTTGGCGAAAGCACAGTCATCATCACACCCAATGAATGTCCCAATCTTACTTTCCGTAGTCACGGAGGCTCCGCAAGGAACTTTCTTTGAAATCCTGCCACAAAGACAGCTGTTTGAAACGAGATCGGCACACTTGGAAAGATCGCAAGGTTTTTTGCCCCAATCATGACATTTTGCCGTACACATATGCGGGCAACTGTTCTTGATCTTCCGGCAAAAAAATTGACAAGAAGCCGGAGATGCATGATTACCTTTCGTGCAATCCTTTGAACAAGGCCTGTTGCAAGGATGTCCACAATCTTTTTTAACTTTGCAGATCTTACCGCAAGAGACATTCTCGACGGAGCACAATACATTTGGGATGATCTTGGAGCCGCAGTTGCATGATTTTGGAACAGGCTTCGTACAATTTGGACACTGTTTATCATCGTCATGGCATTTATGAAGTTCTTGTTCATGACCACATGCTTTTGGACGTGAACACGGTTCTTGACAGTTGAGAATGGTTCCACATCTCACTGGTGCTGGAACGACAGTTTTACCACAATTGCAGACTAAGTCCTCGTTTGATGCTTCTAGACACACCCCACACTTCCCACTGTGACAGAGTGCTTCACATCGGTGTAATCCGCACAGTTTCATCTGATTACACGTCTTGGTACATATGTGCGGTGTTTCCATAGTGAACATTTGGTCGTCAAAGTTTGTTCTGATTCTGTTTCTGCTGAGTTTTTTCGTTTCACGCTCTCTTTTGAGTGCAACTTGTTCATACTCGCAGCATTTTTCCCTGTGCCAATGCCTTCTGCAACTGAGCATGGCAGTACATTTGCGATGACACTTTGGCACGAAACCCTGTTGAATAGCTTTACAAGGCACCAAGAAGGTACAATATCCGCACGAGCAGCTGGTTTCCAAGATGTTGAAGCATTCACATGGTCCCTCATGACATTTAGCTAGGCACTCACACCCACAATCAAGCGTTTTTCCACATTGACGGTCACATTCTGGCATTGGGTCAGTACATATTTTTCTGTGTAGGTCTTGAGTCGGCAGTTTTCCGCAATAGCAAGATTTCACGATGTCAGGCGAAAACTTGCAATGTTGCTCTTCTTTAGCAAGCGGCTGGCAACTGAGATCTTCAAAATGAACTTTACAGTCAAAATAGCGCACGGTGATATCGCCACAAGAAGTTGCGCCCAAAAAGGAGACCCCATCTCTTAGACAGGGCTTGGGTTCTAACTGAGAGCATTTTGTTGGTATGATATGACTCCCACAATAGCAGGGCACATCGACTATCTGTTCGCAAGGTCCACAAAATCCAGAGTGACAGTTTCCCTTTGAACATAAATGGTCCATTGCACAAACAGTAACGCCACATGGAGAATCACACTGCCATCCCTGCTCGTATGGAGTGGCCAAGCACGGAAGTTGCTGCAGATGCTTACCACAGTGGCATTTCATGACGGGGCCCAAAGCACCACATTGTGGATGTTCTCCTGGATGGCATACTGAAGAACATGAATGAACGCAATCGGTATACTTGGCATCGCAAGGATTTCCACATGAAAATGGTACTAAAGTGTCTGGCTTGGGGTTTTTTATGCGCCCACACCAACATGTGAACTTGTTCGGTAGCGTCGAATGCTCAAAATTACATGATGGACATCGCCATTCTCGGTTGCCGGTGGTGGAAGAGCCCCGTACTGCCCAATCTTTTATACACTCTAAGTCATACACCCGAAAACATTCCTGGCAACTCCAGATCTCGGATTGGCGGTCAATTTCACAAGTACAAACCAAACAGATGTATGTACCTTCATCAATCTCCTGGACGATAGTTGTCGCTATCGCTTCCGAATTCTCTTCATAATCGGACTCCGAGTCCGAGTTCGAACTGGAAGCTGTTTCTGAGTCATCATCAGAGTCCAGAACCTGTGGGACGAGGTTTGAAAATTCGCCGCCATCTCGTGAATTTAGGGAGATTTGTGAATCATGCTTGGCCTGATTGTCAGGGGATGCTTCAGAGGAATTTGCCACCATTACGGAAAAGAATCGTACTACGTGGGTTCAGAAAATTTATGCAGAATCGAGATTGACAGAAAGTGCGATATATTTGCTGCCTGATTTTTTATAATGTCATCAAGTAATATTTTTAGCCGGGAATTACAGTCACTATATAGAGTTGAAGGCATCAACTTGTACGTATCGTTTGAATCTTTAATATTGATTTCATTAAACATTATTCATTTCGTTACAATTATCATGTTGTTGAGATGAAGGCATCTCGCTGCACATTGATCATACAGATCAACCAATCCTCACACTTTTACGCTTAAAAAAGTTCATCACTTTACGAGCTGCACTCGCCTCTCTGCCATTAACAAAGGTGCTCGTGTTAGTGCTTGCAGTACTTGTCGAAGTTCGTTTTGTCAGCGATGCATTAACGGAGGTTGATGACTCCGCGACTTTCTGATCCTTTTGACCCGAAGAAAGAGACAAATTGGCTTCATTCGAAGGTTCAAGGACCTTTTTAGCGGATGAAGAGATGGTGTTGGATGATGCGTTTGAAGTGCTGTAAAAAGACAAGATGCTAAACCTGTTTTTCTTTTTGTTTCTCCTGACTTCTCTATTCTCTTTGTCACGATCTCTGCGTTGTATGACCTCTGATTTTCGACTTTCTTTTTGGGGAGCTTCCGAGTCTTCGATGCCTTTTTCGGACAAGTTCTCTCGTTTAGGACTAGATTCACACAATTTAAGTAGCTCCGCAATCGGCGATTCAGTAGAGCCAGGAACTCTTGACAGTTTAATTTCTGGATTCTCGTGAACCGAAGATACTGCCCCTGGTTTTTGAAGCTCCGATGCTTTGGACATTTCCCAATCCTGGACTGATACACGGACAGGACTGTGCAGCTCAGTAAGTTCCAAGGTATCCATTTTATCCTCGAGATAGCTCAAGACCAAATTTCGTTTGTTTTCTTGCGAATGGATGTCTGATGATAGCACACCATTCACATTTATAGGGGTCACAACCGAGTCTCTTCGTGTAGAATTCCGAGTTGGAATGGTAGACAGCGAACCTGGACTGCTATGTGTCTCGGAATCCACAGCTGAATCCACTTTATGCAAGCTTTTTGTGGGAGACGCTGATCGAAACTGAGGCGCTGATAAATTCATGGGAGGGCTCATCTTTATGTAGTCTAGGACTGCAGCAGAGTGGGTACTGACCAAACTGAGCGAACTGCTCATTGAACCTGGGTGATATGACGTTGGGCGAGGTCTTCTTTGACCATGTGGCAATCTTTCCACCATCGGCACAAAATTCTTTGCCACTCCGTTGACTGTTCTCTCAATCTCGGTCAGAGTAGGGCTTTCGGCAATTGTTGGAATGTTTCCGGTGAAAGTAGACACACGACTCAAATCGACACGAGGCGTGCTCACTGATTGATTCGATTCATTTTCAGTTGGTTTATCATGCTCTGAAACAATCGCCTTGAGAGCAAAGCTCGCGGAAGGATAAGATCCAGACATGGACGTGGACTTCGTGTGCCCACGCGGAAAGGAGGCTTTATCAGATCTGGTTGGTGAAGCTTCGTCGCTTCGTCCACTTTTACCATACGGAGCTTGTGCATTAGAGTTCGACCAGACAGAAGTGGATGAATCCAGTCTGATATCATTTGGCAACGCTACAACATTCGCAAACGAAGACAGTGTCGTCGGGTTTGCGTAAATGATGTTTGAGTTTGACGTGTAGGACCGACCGTGTGGAGTTTTTGCGGAATTATTAAGCATTAAGGCCGAGGAGCTCGTTGTCTCGTTGAACATCGAGTATCTCTTCTGCTTATTTGTGTCCACCAAACGGGAAGCGGCACGTCTCTCCTTGTCCTCGGTTATGATTCTGTCCCACTCCAGTTGTCTGATAGACAACAAGTTTGCATGAGGAGCTAGCCATGGATGACTCCGAATCTCGTCCATTGAAATTCTTTTGGCCGGATTTGGCACAATGATTTTTCTAAGCAAATCTCTCGCCAATGGGGAAATATACTCAGGAAATGTGAGTGGGTTGTTGCATATATAATTGTACAACTTGACGATGTCAGCACCGTCTTCGTTTTCGGCATCATCATCAAAAGGTAAATAACCTGCAAGCATGGCGTAAAGAATTACACCGATTGACCAAATATCCACCTTGCGTCCAGCGTACGGGGATTGAGTCAAGACCAATTCGGGGGCGGCGTAGCAAGGCGAGCCACAAGAAGTCTTCATGAGATCATTTTTGGATTTGTTATACGAGTTCACAAACCCGAAATCTGAGATGACGATGTTCTTGTGTTTGTCCAATAAAAGATTCTCTAGTTTCAAATCCCGGTGGATAAGACCCTTTGAATGCATATAGTCAACACCACTAACTAGCTGGGCAAAAAGCTTTTTAGCCACGTTTTCCTTGAGATACTTTTGTTTCAAAATGAAATCAAATAATTCACCCCCAGAAGCATATTCTAGGACAATGCCGATGTATTTCCCGCTCTTCAAGACCTCAACGAGATTCACAATGTTCGGGTGGTTAAGTAACCTCAAGGAGTTGATTTCACGATAGATTTTAATTTCAGATTCCAGATCCTTCACGATCGTGTCTCGTTTTATAAGTTTGATTGCCACCTGGCTTGGATGTTTGCCATCTTTGCGCCATCCTAGTTTAACTTTCCCAAACTCACCCTCGCCAAGAGTAGAACCAAGTATATAGGCTCCGAAACGGATCTCCCGGTGACTTTTTTTCGGTGTGGCGCTGCTCCTGGAAACAACAGATGACCGGTTATTGCCCGTCTGATCTCCGAGATCTGATACAGAGGTGTCAGCGTTTTGGTGATCGAAGTATGATCTACTGGCAATGCTAGTGGCAGTCGACATGTGAGCTACGTTCGGAAGGTATGAACACGTGACGATGACTTAGGGATTATGTTTCGAGTAAGTAAAAGGGCCGGAATGTGTGCAATGGTCAAAATGGGAACTTGGGGGAATGTGGCGTGTGCGAGGTAAGGGATGAATCTTGATGTGTTTTTGTGGTTTCCTAAAGGCGTGGAACAAAGAAAACCCGATGACAGCTCGCAAAAAAAAGTACTATGGAATCGTAATTTCGCGATTCAAAAAAGCGTAGCTAAGATTTCGTGGAGCTCAATTGAGAATAACAACCTGTGTGAGAACAAATTTTGAGACGAAACAAATAAAGGGTTTGCAGCTGCGTGGGGGTGCAACGATACTGAATGTCTCAGGGATGCTCTACCATATGCTGGTGGTGAAGGAGAAGATTTTGAAATAATTGTAGAAGAGGAGAATAGCGACGTTCAAGTATGGTCACGAGGAGTGCAGTTGCGGATGATGTTTTTCTATTTTTTTTTTCTTGTTTTTGTTGTCTTTTCAAAAAGATGATGTGATACTGTTCATTCCTTCTTTTGATGGAAGCCACATTGCAGCGCCAAATGTTTGTTATTCTTGCCGCTAAAATTGGCAAGACTAATATAGCCACCGCACGTGCCTGCAGGACAAAGGCGCCAAGCAAGGCAAAATCCGGCTCAAACGTACACAAAGGACAGTCGCATTCCTAGCGCTAAATATTTGTTTACATTAAACCAGGCAACGCTCAGGGGAAGGCTGCTCAAAGCAAAATAAGCTCCCAGCCGCGTCTCTAAATGCAGACTATTCCCTTTTAAGACTATGTCAATTTTTTTTTGGATCTGATAGAAAGGCGTGCGGAAACAACACACATGCGCACACCTGATATTCATAAGTACTTCTAGGCGCATCAGTGTCAAAAAGGTCACACTTAAAACTGAGCTAATTATGTAGACTACAAACAGGAACTTTGTTGACTTTACCACACCTTACTGGCGGAAGCCTTTCGCACCCAGATCTCGCGCAAAGTTTGCCTGGTGATGTGGACAATCTGAGGCCATCGAAAAAGAGGAGCGAACAGACAAAAGAAAAGCATGCATCTTGATTGATATGGGAAACTGAGTTTCATTGACCGATGAGACCCACCACAAAAATCTAACGGAGTAAAATCCTGACATGCTCTTGTATCGCAATCTTTCAGGAATACATTCGCTCGATAGTTCGGTCATGGTTTTCAACATTGTCATTCTCGGACTAACTGGCACAGAAAGAGAAGCTCCAGAGATTAGTCTATCGTGTAATTTATCACAATATTTGCAGCATATCAAAGTTTATCGTAACGTCATGCGTCAGAATGTGTCAATCGATGTGATTCGCCTTTTTTGCACTTCCTGTACTGTACGAGAGTTTCCCAGTGGTGTGCTGAGGGTTCTGGGGCCCTCATGCCCTGTTATCGCACGAGGACTTCAGAGAAATCTCTGTTAGACCATTAAATCCAGCACTCTACCGGATCCATTTTTTCCAAAATAAGTGGGACGGAAGCTCTTATCAGTCAAATGGGGCTGGATTTTCAAGCAGGAGGAATATTAAAGCGTAACAAGATTGCAGTTCGTGGGTACCTCAGAGCTACTGCACGCGCGGCGCGCAACGCGTCTTGTACTTGAATTCGGAATTGAGAAAACAGTTATCCAGATCAACGCTCTATCCATCTTCAACAATGGCTCGCAGAGTGAAGCCCAAGGCAGCGCTCGACGCACCAATTATCCCATCACTAGGGAAATCAATTCCCACGAAGGAGCTAATTGCTCGCTTGCTGAAAATTGCAGACGAGCTTTCAGCGGTAGATCAGGAACTGGCGGTGCTTGAAGACTATAAAGATCTCGCCAGAAACCTCGCCAATCCCAAATTGATTAAACACGCAAACGTTGGAGTCAAGGCTTTCACTGCATGTGCTATTGCTGACATTATTCGGTTGTATGCGCCTGATGCGCCGTTCACCGAGGAAGAACTTTCGGATATTTTTAGGGCGTTCTTTGCTCAGTTCTCACACTTGTGGGATGAGGACAACCCTTACTTCTTACAGCAGTCATATATCTTGAAGCGTCTTGTAGAAGTTCGGACAGTTGTTTTGATTGGAGACTTGCCAGATTCACAGGAGCTTGTGTCCTTGTTATTTAATACCATGTACAAGCTCACCACAAAAGACTTCCCTTCCAGGTTAGAACCGCTCGCCTCAGAAATGCTTGCAGAAACCATCTCTGAAATAGACTACATTCCTCAGGGTGTAGTCTCTTTGATTGTTAAACATCTTACAGTTGCTACAGATTGTCAACTTATGAGCAGGTCCTCAAATATTTCGAATACCGCATTCATCTTTTCGTTGGCTATATGTGAAGCAAATTCAGATAAAATGGCTCGCCTGGTGGCCCATCTTTTTTCTGAAATGCTCGATGAAAGCGCCAAATCAAGCGAAAAAGACCGGCATGCCCCATTTGAGGCCTTGGAGAAAATACATCTCTCCTCAGTGCACATATGGGCTCATGTCCCAGACCTTCTTGCATCTGTGATGGGCCTCATTAGTGATGAACTAAACTCAGACGATGAAGGTATAAGGATGCTCGCCACTAAAACCATCGGCAGTATGTTATCATCTTCTTCGTTGTCAAAAAACGGCAATTCAGCTGTGACTTTTGTTAGTTATCATAGAGACACGTGGACAAACTGGTTGAAGAAATCTTCTGACACGTCTCCTTCGGTGAGAGCTGTTTGGATAGAACAAGCCCCCGTCATTCTCTCTCTTGAAACCACATCGGAAATAAACTCCGAGTTGAGTCTTGGTTTTTCAAAGTGCTTGACTGACTCTAGTGAAAAGGTAAGATTTAGCGCTTGCTGTTCTCTTGAGTCTCTTTCTTTCTCCGTGATCATGAAAAAAGTCTGCAATGAATCCATTTTGAAGACCCTATTTCAACTCATTCGAGAGAAGCACGTTCAAACGAGAAACACAGCCATCAACGTATTGGCTCACTTGTACAATGATTGCATGGTATCACTAGCTAATAATGAAGTCGTTGATTTAGGGTCTTCGAACTCTGAAGACCATGAAAATGTGATACATTGCGTTGTGAATGGTGTACCAAATAATCTTCTCCAGCTCAACTACATCAACGATAAGTCGATTACAACAGCAGTTGATATATGTCTTTTCGAAAAATTACTTCCCTTTGATGATTCTGCAGAAATAAGGGTATTCCGCTTATGCCAATTTCTTAAAGAGTTGAGAGAAAAAGGCAGTCTAGCTTTCAGAGCCATCACAAAGCGTCAGCAAAAAAACGCTGAAGTGCTCCTGAAGTTTCTAGATTTAGCAGAAGAGTACATTTGCAATTCATCAATGGAAATTGAAAACAAGGAAAATGAATCCAATGAAAAGATATTAATCAAGGTCGAAAAAGTTATTAAGTGGTTGGAATCTCAGGTCCCTGAAGGCCTCAATTCTTACGAAAGCTTGAACACATTTTTCAGGCTTAAAAACCCAAGATTCGTTAATTTATTGAGAAATTGCATAGACATGGATCTGGATTACAAAACAGTTAAAAACTCGGCGAAAGAGCTTCTCACAAAATTGAGTGATGTGAAAAACATAAAGTATGGAAAAGGAAAACCCCACTCTACAACCGCGGAAATGGTTTCAAACATGAAAATATTACTATACCGCTCCTCCGTGATATTTTACAACAAGTCCAATATCGGCGAATTAATTAAGGTCTCGCAAGAGAGCGGGTCTGACAATTATAAGGCTGCAAATGAGCTCATGTCTATGATAACGACAGATTGTCCAAATGTTTGCAAAAATCACGTCACCGCTTTAGTCAAAATGGTAGAGTCAGATGACATAAAGGATATTCCAGTGCGCCTCTTGCAATCACTATACCATGTGTTGCGAAAACTACCTGAGAGATTCCCAGAGGAAGAATCCTTCTATAAACGAATGCATGTACTTGCAACTAATGGGTGTTACCTACAGGCGAAATATTGTGTGAAAATTATTGGGTGTTCCCCATCAAAAGAAGCACGTGTCTTCAAAATATTGGGAAGCATCATGCCTTTGAGCCCGAAAGACCAAAACTTTAAAGCGCATCTCTCTATTGTGGCTGAAGTATATCTAGTTGACCCACTCTCCCTAACATCTTTTTCCTCCGGCATCAACACCGTCATCATTGAAGAGATTCTCAAGAAGAACAGATTGCAGTCTCTGGAATTGGATTCAATAGCTAAGTTGAAGTGGATTGACAATGAAAATTTATTCAAACACGAGATGCTTATCGAGAAACTCATAGCCGTTCGTCTTATCGCCAACAAATTGAGACACATTGCCTCGAGTGATTCAACGGATAAGGCTACGTTGAACGCAGCAGAAAAGCCCATCAATCTCCTTGCAAATATCATTTTTAATAATGGTGAACTTGTAAAGCTTTCAACGGATGTGAATACAATCGCTACTCCTTACTGTTATCGACTGAAACTCAAACTTTATCTGGGGTTAATGCTTTTGAAACTTGCAAAGCTTCCACGGTTGAACTCCTTGATCAGTCTTGATGTCATCAAAAAAATGACGCGCCTTCTTCTTGATGAAGAAATGTCTGTTCGTGAGATATTCCTTAGGTCTTTGAGAAAGAAACTACAGGAGAAAGCCATTTCGGAAAGGTTTTTACATCTCGTATTTTTCATGGGACATGAGCCTGATCCGAATTTGCGAAGCTACATCAGCACTTGGATAGTTTCACAGCATCAACGTGTGAATACTAAACAGGAGATGCTGTATGAGCGAACTTCTGTGAGACTCATCCATGCTTTAGCACACGATGATCGGTTCGACAAACTAATGTGCGACGAGAGCAAAGCCTTGACAGAAAGACAACTAGATGCATATATATATGCACTGGGAATTGCTTCCATGTTTATTGGCACAATTGCGAATGAGTCCAACATAAATTTACTCTACTATCTTGCAAGCCGGGTGAAGCAGTATCGAGATAACTCGATAGAGTCTTCATTCTATGGAATGGAGGATCTACCAAATGAGGTTTTGAATTTGTATCGGGTTGCTGAATTATTTCAATTGATGTTGAAAGAATTGGCTGATTCCAAATCTTGGAATTTACAAACCTGGCCTGGAAAGATCAATTTACCATCAGATTTGTTTCTGCCTATGGAAGACTACCAACAGGCACACGACTTCATTTCTCGTGTCTACATTCCTGATCTGATACAAATAGAATTACGGGAAAGCTTTTCAAACAAAACTCTAAGTACGGGGAAAAAAAGATCTCACTCTACTAACAAGCCTCAAAACGTGAAGCGAGGAAAAGGATCAGCCCGATCAAAAATGTCGACCCCGGTGCGATCAAGATCTCACCAAAACATCAGAAATGTTTCGACAGCTGTCTCAAAGCCTGCTGTGATCAGGAGGAGTACGAGGACATCTTCGAAAGTGTTTTATGGAGAGTCTGACGACAACGCGGGGGTGGATGAACAGACGAATGAGAGTTCTGATGAGTTCGAATCTGAATGATTAGTTAATTTCTTTTAATCAGCTATTAAGGTAAACTATGGCTCCATTTCCTTTAATGTGTTGAAATTATTTTTCGTGAATAGGTCTTCTCCAAGAATCTGTAAACGCGTTGCGGCAGGAAAGGACCTACTTACCCCTAAAGGGACCCAGTCGGTAATGGAAACTGTCAACAACTTTTGTGCTTGCTTGCCGAATGTTTTGAAGAACTTTTCCCCTGCAGCCTCCCACCAATTACACACGGCAACAAAATGGACATCACCAAGTAGCTCTGGTTTTGTATTGAGCAAGCGCGCCAAAAACATCCATTCAGCCTTCATGTTAAACAATAGAAGACTCGTTGTTTGGTTAACCCAACCTATCACTGCCCACACAGATAGAATCCCACCCATGCGCTCTTCATATTTCACTTCAGACTCCCATTTGCCATCGCTCCTACGCCAGCCCATGCGTACTCTTCCTTCCTCAGTGTCTATTGTGCCTGTGTATCCTATCACTAAGCAACATTTCTTAACAAACCGAGCAGATAAGTAAAATTCTAGACCATTAAGATTGCAAAGCAAATTATAAGCCAATCGACCAAGAGGCAATGCAGCGGCTGGCTTGACGGTGACTTCTGTTTCTGCTTGTGAGACAATTGCTTTCAGCACAAAGTTGAGAATCCATTTATATGCTAGCGGCTGTGAAGCAAGGGGCTGTATTAAACTTGTGATCTCTTTAGATACTAGGTCAAGTTGCCTAAGCGAATTTGAAAGCTGCCCGAGCTTCGTGTTGACTTTTCTCTTGATAGCACCAATATATTTTTTCAACTCTTTGTCTTTATCAACTTCCCCAACAATGTTTGTTTTTATATCCTCGATATCTTTTCTGTATTTGAGGAGTGCTTTCTCGATATCAGCAGGGTTTGCGAAAGCAGACGCTTTCTTTGCTGCGGCTTCCTTCTCCGCCCTGGCCTTCAACAATTCTTCTTTCTTTCGTTCTAGTTTTTCGTTTTCTTCTTTTTCTTTTTTAAGTTTATGCTCTTCAGCGAGCCGTTTTTCGTCAGCTAATCTTTTTTCTTCAGCCAATTTCTTCTGATGATCGCGTCGTTTCCTTTCTTCTTCTTCTTCTTCACGTCGTTTGCGATCGGCTTCTTCTTTGATTTTCCTTTGTTTTTCTATTTCCAAATTCATCAAGCGTTTCTTCTCCTCCTCTCGGAGTCGTATTTGCTCATCAATGATTTTCTGTACATCTAATTGCAGTGCTTGGATCTTCTGATTGAATTCGTTATCTATGTATGACAATTTCGAATTAACTGCTATTTTAGATTCATTGATGAATATCTCCCACTTCTGAAACTTCTCATCAATACGGCTTGAGAGATTTCGAATGTGTAATGTGTCTAACTGTATTAGAGACTCATTCAAGATTTGGGATGCGGACTGGGTAGAGGTCATATCAGAGAATGAACTGGATGGTGAAGGCGAGGTAGTCTTTTCAGGGACACTTAGATGCGGTCTCGGTAGAGCAGCCACATCGTGGTCGGCAGGAATTCCAAACCTCATACCCTCGTCGGATCGGATTGGGGTATGGAGTGAGAGCACTAGCGATGTTTATTTCAATAAATCTCCTGGTGCACGGATTTATAAAAGAAATACCCCCGCCGTTGCAAACTATGCAAGGAAGTTAAAATAAACAGAAAAGAAGAGTTCCCAAACAATATTTTATGAGCCGGAGTACACTTTGTATCATAAATCTACTTCTTATTCTCTTTCTTTACTGAAGGTGAGTCATTGAGCCAACGGTTGCACTGCGAAAATGCATCAGAGAACACACTAATCTTCTTTTCAACTGCACACCAAGTAGATTTGAATTTCCTTGTTATCCCACGATCTTTTACCTTTTTTCGAAAAAAGTATATTTTCACCGTGATTTTTGTTGTCTCTTCCCATTTTGCAGATGCCCCCCACCGCTAAGGAAGGCGGCATCCTACATCGGCAAGTGGTTCTTTGCGCGCTAGTATGGGCACCTTTTTTACACGCAGTTCATCAAAATTTTTACTGTAGAAGAAACCTTGAACTCAAAACGCCATGAACAAGCAGTGGGTCCGTCTCTTCTCCAGCACTGGGGCCAAGACAAAGAAGTACTCAACTGTTGAACCGGTCCATCATTTGGTAAAAGTCAGGAAAGCTGCTTTGTCTCCAAGATACCAGCCTTTGTTGATTCCCAAAGATGACATCGAATCAACCGGTTTCAAACCTACGGAGATCGATCAAGACAGACTTGGAGAGCACTACAAGAACACTTTGCAGAGTGACTTAATGTTGCATTTTTTTGATCATGCCAACGAGACTATCGTCGGTGCCAAAAAAAGAGATTGGGGCACTGACTCTCCATACGGATTGTATCGTTCATGGAAGAAACCAAGCGGAACACCTCGGCCTACGAGAGACATCAAGCCCATCACTTACAAAAACGTTCCTGAACTAACGGGAATCGCGATCAACTTGTATTCAAAGGAGGCCTTGGAACACGCGTGGCTCAACATCTCCTCCAAATTGCAGATTGCCCAAATTACCAACGTCAAGCCCAAACAGGCTTACAATAAAGCAAATGTTTTGCAATGGAAGGTTAGAGAGGGTAGACAATGTGGATGTAAGGTTGAGTTGACTGGCAGAGACATGCATCAATTTTTCTCTACTTTAACCGAAATGGTGTTGCCCAGAATTAGATATTACAAAGGTATCAGCAATTCCTCAGGAGATAAGGGTGGCAACATTACATTCGGCTTGGATCCCGAACATGTGAAGTACTTCCCTGAAATCGAAAACTTCCAGGAGTTGTTTCCAAACCTTTTCGGCTTTCACATCACATTCAAGACGTCTGCAAGAACAGACGAGGCAGCTCGTACGTTGTTGAGCTCCATGGGGATTCCATTTTACACTCGTCCACGTAACCTGTAAATAGTTATGATCAAGCGTTTCTGCTTCATTTATCAAACATCTCGTACACGGTACGAAGTGTAGAGTTCAACACCAGAGATATCGACATCAAGCTCTTCTCTAATGCAATCACATTATTACATATGGATTAGATAGCCACAATGATTCAGTACAATGTTAGATTAGTTTGTTGTACTTTTCATTGAATCATTTTGTCTGGCCGAACTGAATCTTTCCTATTTTTTTTTAAGCTTTTGCAGGTGGCATCTGAAAAGCAAAGGATTTAGGCTTAAATCATGGATCTACCAAAATCAGAGGCCGCTTCTGCGGAACACACACCATATTTTAACAATGTGGGTGCCTAGGCGTGTGATATTCCAGGTCCTGTGTTCACTTCATCGCGCTTTCCCCAGATTCCCGCTTAAAATTTGAAACTCATGTCCCTTATCTCCGTCGTCCACGAATTTGCAGTTTTGTATTCTTCGAGGGTTTATCAAAGAGACAAAAAATGGAGTGACGGCCGCCTACGATACTATGAGCTCAACAATAAGCTAGAAGTCTTAAGTGAAGATATGTTATTGGTCGGGAGTGATTTTTATCCGCACCAAGCACGAAAACCGATTGAGAGTGGAGTCTTTTCGGATGGAAGTGAATACACCTTACCTAATGGAAAGCTAATTTTAGAATTCAATGACTATCTTGGAAGCTTTGAGCGTGACTTATCGAACGTTTTTGCAAAGAAAGATACAGCAGTCAAATTGGAGGATGCAGCGATGAAAGACTGCAATAATTCATTAAAAACGAGAGTAAAAGTGGAAAGAAATAGCATGACGCCTCTGATGATTGCACCAATTATAAACGAGCTTTCTGACTCGATTTCACATCCTAGCCCAAAGTTGCAGCCATCCAGACGTCCCCTTGGGAGACCGATTGGATTGAGGAGAAGGACAGGAAAAGCCGCAGAGCAGTTTCGAAGTAATAAAGTAATTGGAACGCATACTAGTAAAGGTCTTGACAGCTTGGAAACTTCTTCTATCAAAGTAGGTCTGAGAATACCGCCGGGCTCGAACAAACTCAGCAAGCGCCTCAAAAACCAAACTGGCTTGAATCTGGCGACAAAAGAGAAAGCTATAAAGGGAGAACGTTTGAAAGCAGATGATCTGATAACAAATCGCGATTCCACAAAGGTTGAAGATGATGAACTTCATGATGTTTTAAGTCTCACACAAAAGTATGGAACCTATTGAAGAGAAACAGTGTCTATATTCTCAGAGAAATCTCAAACTTCAAAAGGAGCTGTGCAATAGTTGATTGGGTAGTGGAGTCATCGAAATTATCATAGCAATAATAAAAGAACTTATTATAAATGTTTCGAAGTGAAACTTTCCAATCCTAGTTTGTGCAAGTGAAGGCAAAACTATTCGGCGACTGTGAAACCATGTTGCGATCTAACTTGTAGCCGTATCCTGGCAGGGTGGTGCTGCTTTTTGCGGTAAAGCATGACAAGCACTATGGCATAAGAACAGAAAGAATCCTTCCTTAATATTGTGCATGTGTGGGGCTATCGAAATTAGACATACACAGAATAATACTTAGCTGTTTTTTAATTTTGTCAAGCTTTCAAGCTCTACTAAAAAGTTGTTGATTATACGTTCTGGTAAGTGCCTGGCAGACAAGAAGTATAGAGCGCATCTCGAAAATGACGTTTATTGAATACCTTCATAGCGTAATTTTCCAGAGTTGTAAACGTTACAGATACTAAAAATAATAGTTGCCTATACTTTATTCTTTAATTGCCAAGACTTTTGAGGTGCAAAGACACCGTTGGAGAATGACCAAGTATATTTCAATGAGTATTCAATAGAATATTCGTGAAAATTTGAAAAAAGCTTCAAGGAGAGAAACGCAATGTTGCTCCTCCACAATAACCACAATCATGTTCGCAAATTGTTTTGAATTCCGGAGGCCATCGCCTGGAAATAGAATGATTGATTAGCCAGATTCGCGCTTTCTGCCAACGTGGGGCCCTCCTAATCATGGACATATGCGCACGTGCGCACAGTAGTGGAACAAAATTTTGAGACGTGCGGCTTTCGAAAGAATAAGGCGGCATTGTTAATATTAGGCCGGGGCTCCGCCCAAAAAGGTCATTAATTCTGCATTTCCAAATCCCAGATTTAACAACACGTTTCACGCTTCTTATGCTATTTGGACCTTTGACCAAACCGTTAGACTTGTCTTTTCTGCTGCATTAATTTTCCCAGAGCTCAATAAAAACTAAAGCCAGTTGGAAAGACGTTCACTTGCTGGTCACCTGATCAACCTCACGGTCTCAAGCACCTCATCCACACACTGCGGTGACAAGTCAGTCAAAAGTTAATTTCACACCACCGAAAATCACTGATTTGGACCAGAGCAACCAAGGACTCAAAATTCCTTGACCACGAACGACCTACTCAAGGCCAGAAATCCGGCAGGTCATCGCTCTCTGCCTCTCGAAAATTTCGTGAACGGAACGTCAATAAAATTCTGTTGGTGAATCCTACTAGATGCCGTTCTCCCATTAACCATGAGCTTGATAATATCACCACATACTTGCTCGATGTCGCCCGCCACTCGACAAAATAGCCCGGTGCAGTCAGGTCATGGGTCCCCAAGGCTAAAGCCTCCAGCAAATCAAAAACATGATCTGGATGCTACAATGACAAGCCAGCAAAGACAAGAGCGCTCTGAAAATTCTCCAGTTATCGAATATGAAGGCCCACCTGTAAAATCACAAGATTTTATTGATCCTTTCCTTTCACAGTACATCAAGCCCACCAGCGATCTTAACCATGAGATATACTTCAGATCGCTCAACAAGCAAGTTTGTATTAAGAGTTTTGACTACTATCAAAAATATCTTAACCACGACAAAGGTACTCCTAACAGAATTACTTCGTTGAAACATGATACTACATTGGCGCAAAAGCCAAAATCGCCATTGCGACAAGAAGTTTCCCCAAAGCTTGAATCGAGGATTGAACAAAAGCCAGATACCCTAGATCAACGGATACCACAACGAAGAAGACAACCTGGTATCGAATCAGGTATCCAGCCAGACTTGAAGAAAACTCAGCATGAACTCATTTCCGAGACTCTTCTGGTACACTTCGAGGAGTGTCCTACCACCGACTTGATTAATTTGATGGCTCGTATGATCCTGTCACTTATCAGTCTAAATGATCGCAGTGTGCCCGCATCTATTTCCAGTCCGCCTGCTTTCAAGTCTCCAGTCGTGGGCTCTGAGCAAAAGAATAAGTTGCTTACGCGATACCACTCGCGTACTCCACCAGCAATATCTATTCACACATATATCAGCAGACTCGCCAAATTTAACAACCTCACGCCGGCAACTTTGCTCACAACGATATATTACATTGATCTACTATCACACAACTTCCAGCCATACTTCACACTCAATTCCTGGACTGTCCATCGGTTTCTATTGGTAGCCACGATGCTTGCACAAAAGTCATTAGAGGACTTTTTCTATACCAATGATCACTATGCACGAGTTGGCGGTGTGGCCTTGACTGAGTTGAATTTTTTAGAGCTTGATTTCTTGAACAGAGTCGATTGGAAAGTCGTTCCTGCAAAGCAAATACTGTCAACACAAACTTCTATCAAACATTCGAAGGAAGTGCTCGATTTATACTACTGGCAGTTGGTTAATCTTATGGGAAAAAACATAACAGAAATGGACAGGGTAACTTACTTCCTATCACGAGGGTCTGACGATTAGATGGCGTTGTTTTTGACGACCATCTTTACTGGAATGGAATATGACTATAATTGTCGTGGTTCCATTATTCTTTAGTTTCATACTGCTGTGTTTTTTTTTTTCAGGTAAACATAAAAAGTTGGAAACTTGATTACACACACACACACACACACAGCTTTTATATGGGTATTTATTTCTGTTACGCAATTTTTAGGCGTACATGAGTGGGATTTTAAAAACATTCTCCAATATATAATAAAAGTTCTTTTTCTTTTCTTATTCCTGAGTAGTATGCAGAAGTTTTTTATGTTCTTTTTCTTTGTCAGTATGAGAGAAGAGAGTTTAATAACTTGAACGGGATATTTTGATATAAAGAGAAAAATCTAGCGGAAGAAAGTAAAAGTGATTTGTGTCTTGGGAGATATTGTCATCATTCTCACACGAAACGAGTGACTTATAGCGTCCAAGGGAAGCTTCTTAGGGCTTAATTAACTCGAAAGAACAGCACAAGCTCTTATCGACGCTCATAATTGCACCATAATTGTTAAAGTCACCGCAGTAATTTGGGGCCAGGAAGACAGTCACCAACTTTCTTTTGTTGAAAAACTCGTATCCGTCTTCTACGACCATGTGACCTCTTACAATCAAGTCCATATTGAACTTTGACAAAAAGTGATCTACGTGCTTCTTCCCGAAACAGTACGAAACACCTCGGTCGTTTTTGGGCCAATTGTTGAGAGAAAATGATCTTACCAGCGCATCGGGGTCCGACCATAGCAAGTCTGCTAAAAGACCACGATCAGGAATATCGGTAGGCCTTTGGATTTGTTCAACCTGTTTCAAACTATGAAGTTCAGGGGATAGTCCTCCATGGATACAAAAAATTTTGTCATTAATTGTGGCGGCAATGGGCAAAGTATTGAAGACATCAACGAAGCTCTTCCACAACTTGTGGCTTCCGGAAATAAGTGGCAAACGCCTCTTACATTCGTCATAGAACCCGTATATCTTTGTAATGTTCGCGGATTCGTGATTTCCTCTAAGCATGAAGAAATTTTCAGGGTACTTTATCTTGTAGCACAACAAGAGAAGAATTACTTCCAACGATTTGTAGCCGCGATCGACGTAATCACCCAAAAAAAGATAATTGGTATACGGGGGATAACCACAAGATTCAAAGATTCTTATCAAATCGAAAAACTGACCATGAATATCGCCAACAATTTTCACCGGAGGGGACAATTTCAATAGCGTGGGCTGGTCCATGAAAATGGAGCGAGACTTTGCCAAAACAGACTTGATCTCCAGTGTTGTTAAGGGCAACTTGTCCTTCAGCTTGCGCGTCTTCAGGCCCTTGTAGAAAACCTTATTGCGACCGATGGTAAGCAATCGATCGATAATACCATCTATGTCAAAGTCAGTTTTCTTAGCCAGCGGAAGAGGCGGTGGTGACACGGAAACAGGCGAAACTGGTTCTTGTTTCACGACCGCAGAACTCAAGAGTTTGGACTTTGATATCGACCGCGGCTTCGAATCGGGTTTTCTGGGCTCCGGGGTAGATTCGATGGAGGTTTCCGCAATGGGATCTAACGAAGACTCCAGCTGCAAGACGAGCAGGGTATCTTTCTTCCCTGCTGTAGGCAGAGTAGACGGTGAGTACAGTGACAGAAGCAGGCTTGCGTCTCTTTCGCTTGCAGTAAACAAAGGCGACACAGAGAGAATGTCGCTCTTCTGGCTTTCTAGAGACGAGCTGTACTCCGGCGCATTTGCTACAGCACGCGTGTTGATGTTCTTCCATTTCGAGGGCGACTGGTTCGACTGCAGCAGGTTGTTCGCCAAAAGAACTGCCATAGAAGCGTCGATGTTCACCTCGAGATCCAAGTCATGCGAGGACTTGCGTCTGGAGTTCTTCCTCGAAGGGATATTTTGCGGCGTGGACTGAATGCTGAGGGACTTTGCATCGTTTGGAGAAAGATGAGATAGACGTTCGGACGAAACGTCACTACCGTTTCCGGTAGGCCGAGATAGCGCTGACGAGGATGATTCCTCGGACTCTACGTCGCCAGCGATCACGTCCGAGGAAGAGCCAACATTTCTGCTGGTTGAGATATTCGGTAGGGGTTCATTTTTGGACGGGGAATTTCCCATAATTGGACACGAGCAACAAGAAACGGCTTTGACGGAGCTGCGAGAATGGAGAGCTTGTGTCTAGAAAGGGACTAAGCGAGAGGCTGGAGGCTGGGGGATCAGGCGTGGTGGATATTACAAATAAGAACAGAGAAAAAACGTCGTGGCATGCGCAATGCGAACCGGAGGACGTGTGCGGCACGGAAGCGTGTCAAATTAGCGCAAGATACTGGGGCTGGTCATGCGGACCCGGCCAGAGCCAAGCAGAAAAATCAAAGGGTGGCCGCCACCACAATTTGGACCGGTGGCCCGGCCAGGCCCCGACAGGCGCGCTTGACGAGCCGACAACGGGACTGGTTCTGGAAATGTATTTGTGCCGAAATTGGAATTAAATTTAGCTTGTGGCTGCGTGCAACCGAGCCAATGGCCATCCTCATTTATTCTGCTTTTTAAATATTGTATTGTTGGTGTGTTTTGTGTGAGTTTCACATGCCACGTTGTTCCCGCTCCGGGGACGGGTCTTGCACTGGTTGATATTCTGTCTATTAGCTCTCGTGCCTCACCTTTTGAGGTCGCGGTGCCCGGCCGTAGCCGAGCGTCTACGCTGCTCTAGTATGGCGCCAAACAAACCCAACACAACTTTCTGGAAGAAGTTTAATATGAGGAGAATCAGTGGTCTCTTTTTCGACTAGGTTGGTGTCTTTCTCACAAATCAAAATGTCTTTTTCTCTAAGTAGTCCATCCCAGGAAGACCAATGTTGACGCAATTGCGGTAAGTTGAGAGTTTTACATTAACATCCAAATTATTCCGCTTGGTCGGGGCTGCAATTGATTTGTTCAAAAAACAACCCTAGATAGATTCAAACGTAAGTTTTTAGAAATGCACAGGGTTTCTTCCCTACGCCCGGCGGTCCGAACGCGGCGAGCAATTATGGCCGCGACTAGGTGGGGCCATAATTTAGCTAACAATTCATGCTTCCTCGTCTTACCGCCATGACTCGCTCCATACGCTCTGCGGGGTGTCTCATCATTGGAGATGAGGTACTAAATGGCAAGATTCTCGATACCAATCTGTTTGAGTTTGCGAAATTTTGCTTCAATGAACTCTCTGTGCCATTGAAGAAGACTATTGTATGCGGCGACGATACGGAAGATATCATCCAGTCTCTCGAGATTTTGAGACAGAACAAGTGCGATTTCATTGTGACAAGTGGAGGCATTGGATCTACGCATGACGACATTACATATGAAGCACTTTCCCTGGCTTTCCACTTGCAGTGTCTGCTAGACTCAGAAACGGTCGATAAAATGCATGCGCTCAGGGGGCCATACTTGCTGCTGTTATCGAAGTCTCAATTGGATTCGTTCTATAGAATGGCTACTTTACCGCAGGCTTCCGATGATGTTTCTGTTCTGAAGCTTTTCACAGATGAAAGTCTATGGGTGCCCATTGTTGGCATCAATGAGCAAGTTTACGTTTTACCGGGAGTACCCCAATTGTTCAAAAAGCTTTTAACGGGATTGGGCGCTTCTTTGAAAGACCGTGTGAAACCAGAGAAATTCACTCGGTTTTTCGTCCAAACTACGACAGGTGAAAGCAGTTTGGCACCATTTTTAAGCGACCTCCAAAATCATTGCAACACTATTCATGGCCCTGGGAAAATTAAATTGGGATCTTACCCACACTTCAATTGGAAAATCAACACAATTAGCATAATCGGTGACAGCTCGGTGTCTTCAGGAGACTTACGCCTTGTGGTAGACAAAGTCATAAAGAATGTTGGGGAGAATGCAAAGGAAATTACTTTGCAGGAAGAAGAGTACATGACCACAAATGAACCACAACCGTAAATTTTCACAGGACCTTTGATTACTTCGGTATAAATATTAGAGTAAAATAAATGCCTACAACTTCTCGGCGAGAAGTTTGGACAAATCTTCCACAGCTTGTGGGATTCCCTCAGGCTTGTCACCCATGCCTTGCACGACATTTCCTTTTCCTCCGGCTTTACCGCCGACATGAGAGCTGACAACACTTGCCAACTCATTGGCATTAAGCCCCTTGGCAATGGCCTCGTCTGAGATATAGCAGCCGTGTGCAACCTTACCTTCGACACCAGTTATCAAATAAAGGCACTTGGTTTTATCTTGCTTCTTAACAAGATTGATAGCCTCGGTGATAGCCTTGGCATTTGCTTCGATTTGAACATGCGCAACGAAAAATGGAGCCTTTGATTTTTCTTCGTCATCGAACCATTGCTTTACGACTTCAAGAGTCTTCTTGGATTCTTCTCTCTGCTTAGCTTTCAAATTGTCCTTAATAGATTTGTCGATTTTGTTGAATTTGTCGTTCAACTTGCTCTTTCCCAAGACGGAGATTGAAAGCTGCTTCAAGCCAACACCTAACTCCTTTGTTCTTTTCTCCTTCTCGGAACCAAATGGAAGCTTGTCCGCAGCTGTTAAAGACTCTTCATAGTCTCTGGCAATTCTTTGCACTTCATGAGCTTCCTGGCCAGTGACGGCTACGATTCTTCTGATACCCTTTGCAATACCAGATTCCTCGATGATGACCAAGTCTTTGATCTCACCAGTCTTAGCCACGTGAGTTCCGCCACAGAATTCGATTGAGAGTCCGTGCCAATCTTCATTCTTTGGATTAGACAACAAATCCTCGACAGAAACACCAATAGACACAACTCTAACGGGGTCAGGGTAAGTTTCTCCGAAAACAGCTCTCAAACCGTTGATCTCCTTTGCAGCAGCCAACGAAACATCCTTGTAAAAGACTTGCTTATTAGCAGCAATGTTCTCATTAGAGATCTTCTCTACTTGTTCGAGCTCTTTTTGAGACAAGGCTTGCTTGTGCGAAAAGTCAAACCTCAATTTCTCAGATGCAACCAAAGAACCCTTCTGGTCAACGCCATCACCTAGAACTTCTCTCAAAGCCAAGTTTAAAACATGTGTACCAGTGTGGTTGTTTCTGATCGGCCATCTTCTTAACTCATCGTAACTAGCGATAATCTCGTCACTCACGTTCAATGTACCTTCGACCAAGAAACCTGTGTGGAGAACGTATCCCGCATATTGCTGCACGTTCCGCACGTTAAACTCTGATACTCCATCGATGACCAAGGAGCCAGTGTCGTACTCTTGACCACCTTGCTCAGCGTAAAATGGAGTCTTGTCCAAGAGGATACCGTATTGTTCACCAGACTCAGAAATACTGTCAATAAATTTAGAGCCATCATACAAAGCAACGATCTTAGACTTGGTGTTGTCCAACCCATATTTGAAGGAGTCGTCAGTCTTTGGCACGGCATCGTTCTTGTCCAACTCGGACAATGCATGGACATCCAATTTGATCATGCTGGATCCTGACTTAGAGTTCAAGCCTTTAGATGCTTCTCTCGAAGCCTCCTTGGCTTGTTCAAAGCCCTCTTCGTCGATCTTCAAGCCAGCCTCTTCGGCCATCAATCGGGTCAAGTCAACTGGGAATCCATACGTGTCGTACAATCTCCAAACAATATTTCCGGGTAAAGTCTGTTCAGGAGTTTTGGAGCAGATGATAGCATATTTCTCGAAAAGCTTTTCACCCCTTTCCAAAGTCTTGGCAAAAGAGACCTCTTCTTCGACCAAGATTTCCTTCAACTCGGTGGAGTTCTTGGCAATCTCAGGAAAAATGGAGGAGTTTTGCTCGATAACAACATCAACCAACTGTTGGAAGAAGGAACCGATAGGGTAGTTCATGTACTTGCGCACGTAACGAGCACCTCTTCTCAAAATTCTTCTCAAAACATAGCCTCTTCCCTCGTTGTTGGGGACACCACCGTCAGAGATGGCGAAAGTCAAGGTTCTCACGTGATCGGCGATGACTCTGTATGCGGTATCAATACCGTCGATATCGTCGTCGCCAAACCTACCGGCATAAGGTCTGACGCCAGTAATCTCCTTGATCTTGTCGAAAATGGGAGTGAAGACATCCGTGTCGTAGTTGGAGGACTTGTCCTGTAAGATAGACACCAATCTCTCGAAACCCATACCAGTGTCGATGTGCTTGTTTGGCAAGGGCCTCAAGGACGAGTCAGGCTCCCTGTTATACTGCATGAACACAACGTTCCAGATCTCCAAAACGTTAGGGTCGTCTTGGTTGACCAACGCAGAGGCGTTTCTGCCGCCGATTCGGTCATAGTGGATCTCGGAACATGGACCACAAGGACCTTGGTCGCCCATTTCCCAGAAGTTGTCAGCAGCATTCCCCGGCAAGATATGGTCCTCAGGAACACCAACGTCTAGCCAGAATTGCTTGGCCTCCAAGTCCGGCTGCAAGCCGTTCTTCTCGTCGCCCTCGAAGTAGGTCACGTACATTCTGTCACCGTCCAAACCGTACACATCGGTCAACAAGCCCCAGGAGTATTGGATGGCCTCTTTCTTGAAGTAGTCACCAAACGACCAGTTACCCAACATCTCGAAAAAGGTGTGGTGGTACGAGTCCTTGCCGACGTCGTCCAAGTCATTGTGCTTGCCTCCAGCTCTGATACACTTCTGCGAGTTTGCGGCAGACTTCAACTTGGCAAAATCGGAGCTAGGGTCAACGGTGCCTAGGAAGATGGGCTTGTACTGGTTCATGCCTGCATTGGCGAAAAGCAAGGTAGGGTCATTGTGGGGCACCACAGACGAGGACGGCACATAAGTGTGGGACCGTTCTTTGAAGTAGTCCAAAAAGGTGCTTCTGACTTTCGCAGCGGACCAGGGATTTGAGGACATGGCGGGCTTACGTGCTATGGTCTTTAGCATGGGGAGCGGCGGGCGAGCCCGCGAGAGTTTTTTTCTGACTTCACGACGCCATGTCCTTCCCGCGCATCCGTACACCCGGGGTAGGGCTGCTTTATCCTGGAGCGGCATAATCATCCTGGGGGCTGCCAGCAGATGCCGGGATCGGATCGCGAGCGTATCGGCAGACAAATCAAGACCCTGTGCATGTCCAATTTGACTACAAAGGCAAAAGTGCTGGCCTTTGACTTCGTAAGTTTCGGGAGCCGGTTTCTGCCCGCGACCTAACAAAGACGTACGTGTTCGTACTGTTGCGAAAAAGGAAGCAGCTTTAAATAGATTTTTGAACGCTCAAAGTTTAGTGTTTTACTTCCCCCACAGATTGCATTGTTTCCCAAATGTTTCTAATTACATTGTCTTTTAAAAATAAGAATGAAGCACCAAATTAAAATTCATACGAATTCACAAGCACCGCAATTGCATGCTGTTTTCAAACCAGCTAAGACCTGTCTCCGCCTTTCCCAGGTTTTTTTGTCGAGTTGAAAAGAGCACCCTGCCAATTATTCGTGCAATGGCTAGCTGTCTTCATTTACGGGAGTCTAGTATCTAGCATAGGTGCGGCGGAATTATTCCCCGGTCGCACCCGTCGCCGATGGCGCGCGATGGCGCTTTCGCGATTCCAGATTGCATCGGAGCCTGCACATAAGCACACAAGCTGCCTAAAAAGATGTGCACCCGTGCACCTCGTCTCTCAACAACGCAGCTGGTTAATTTGCTCATACTATGGGGACGGGCTGCTGATACCTATAAACCACCTTAGATGGCATCATTTGTCCCACGCATACACAAATACCAAGCTTGGCCCAAATGATCCTTATAGATAACGTCAAGTATTCCTGCCTGGAATGCATTCGGGGGCACCGATCCACGCTGTGCCGTCATCACACGCGGCCGTTACTTCAGGTCCGCTCAAAAGGTCGACCAAACTTACTATTTCCCTACGGCAACAAAAATTATAGAATCGCGGTTTTTGCACAAGAAGTCGACGCTGGCGAAAAGACTCAGGCTCAGAACTGCAAAACTACACCGGTTGTCATTTTGAAGGCTTCCAATAAACATGTCATAGACGTGACCAATGGTCAGATCTTGGGTCGCTACGACGATCTGCAGCGAGAAAAAGCTCAAACCCCTGTTATTGGGCCAGAAAACTTCGTCGTATCTAGCTCCTGCTGCTCGGCAGCTGTTTCAAAGGTACGCAAAACTTGTTCGTGTGATCAAAAGAAAGTTCTGCGACTGAAGATTTTGAGATCATACATCACTAAGAAGATGCTTCCAGATATGCATGCATCGCAAATACCGCCTTTGAACTCTTCCAATGAAGCGAACATACCACAGGATGCTCAGAAATTGACAGCAACTCATTCTTGTTCTCCACATCTAGACACTCAGCCCACTTTAAAAATGGAGGAGAAGAACACAGTACCGTACATGCCCAGATCATGTCCCAGCGCAACCACCAACTTTTCGGAAAGAAATTCATCTCGAACAATGGAACAAGAAGTTCAGTATTCTTTCCGCGCCCAAGGGTATGATCTAATGCAACTCCCACAAACGCTTCCAACTTACTTAGGTTCGTCTTCAAATGACGTGTCCAACAAATTACAACCACAAGGTTTGGCAAACGCAAATGGCTCGTCAGACCTGTCGCACTTGCACGATAGAAATGGCATTCTGGGTGAGCCGGGTGTGTTTCAAGTTATAAGTGTCCCGTCGTGTTCTGTTCTTGGATCTTGTGGGTGTTCATCGGACTGCAGCTGTGCGTCGTGCTCGATACACAATCCCGCAGCTAAAACTCAAGACCCGCTTACCTTTCTCAACAACGACTCACAATACGGGTCTAATCTTCTATTGAAACTGGAACCACCAATGGACACCGGCGAGACATACGCCCGCGAGCTCCCGAGAGATCTAGGACAATATTCTTCGTACCTTGCTCAACTATCTGGCTACGACGCCAATCCACCCCCATTTCTTTCAGAGCTACAGATGGAGCTACAAACAGCGCTGCAAGGGGGATCTCAGTACGCACCAAAACAGAGCCTCCAATCTGATTTAAGTCCGTGTTCTTGTCCAGATGATGAGTGTTTCTGTAGGAATTGCGAGAAGCATGGGATAATTGACGGATATAAACTAGATGATATATTCGGCACTGTGTCCAATAGCCATAATGGGGATTGATTCTGATTAGTTTTGTATTATATAGTAAGATGAATGTATATAATGAAGCCCCAGTGGGCTTTGTATTTAAGTTACAATGTTCACTCTTTTTTGGATTGAAGTCCAATTATTCGTGTTACCTGTTAAGATGATCGAATTGATATTCCACATGATACCCGTTTATTTTTCCTGTTAAATCAAAAGTTTACATACTTTATCGTTTTGCCAAATAGCTCACAAATACTCTTTTTAGAAGACTACTATGAAACTGATGCCCCAAACTAGAAGAGAGAATCTGCACCAAAACAGTGCTAATATATCAAGTCTTGTCTCTTTGATTCTCCATGCTCTATGCACACAAGTAGTCCATTAAATTGACAAGTTCGGGTAGACACGTGGAAAAAATCTGGAAGAGCGTCTCAGACATAATTACAATGAACGTTTGAATGGAACAAAAGTATGTCTGAATTTTCTGAGTGTCATCAAGATACTCTGAAGAATTCAAGAAACATACATTTGAGGTGGGATTGAGTAAATCTCGTTTTTTCCCCTTTTCTTGGGGTTCTTTGGTTCATCGGGACATGCAACGATTGAAGGTCTCTGATTTTAAAAAGCCCAAAGAGCACAAACAGCGTTCTTTCTAATGCCTTTCTGCAAGAAATGATACATTTATCATGGAAGATTCTAGAAATCCCTCCAAAATAAGAAATCAGTGCGTAGTAGTTACTTGCACGCACACCTCAGTGCAAATGTTGTTTCCTACACATCTTTATCGCTTTTGCCCGCTCTTCCCGCGTAATCGCGATACACATAAGTCCTCCACGACCAGTGAAAATCTTCACACGGTCATCCCCCAACTTAGGCTGCTATCTAGTTACTTAGATTCTGCACCACCAAATTTTCCATTTATTTTCACCATGTCATTCGCCAGTAAGGAAAATGACAACGATAATGACATACACGTGATTTCGAGAGACACGAACGACTTTGCTCACCCGGAACATATGGACACTCCTAGTTTTATACAATCGCTTGATTTACCTACACCCACAAATAATCTGCTTTTCGATAATTTCAACCCCGATCTCGAGAGCCAACTACACAACGACCAGCTTAGCGCAAATAATGCTCATTCTTTTCAAGATTCACCCTCGCTCGCCCCGTTGACTGATTTTGTTAGTCATGATGTCCAACTGCAAAAAGATTTCCAGCCTGAACACCAAACTTCTTACACAGGTGCTTTGACAAAGCTTGATCATCTGCTCCCCCCGCTTCCTCAGCTTTCTGAACCTGTGATACCTCCTAATCTCCAACTACAAAATCATGCTTCACTTCCAGAGTATCTTCAGGGAAACACGAGCATTTCCAATAGGCCTCAGCCGTTACTTCTAGCAGGTAAAAGGAAGAAGGAGACACAGGTACCAAAAACTCGTCCTGCGTTTGTCATGAAGATATGGTCCATGGTAAATGACCCTAACAATCATGATAATATACGATGGAACGAAGATGGAGAGACATTTCAAGTAGTCCATCGTGAGGAGTTCATGAAGAACATTCTCCCGAAGTACTTCAAGCACAATAATTTTGCATCTTTTGTCCGTCAGCTCAACATGTATGGATGGCACAAGATCCAGGATATAAATAGTGGGTCAATGAAGGACGACAGGAACCAGGAGGAGGTACTTCAGTTCAAGAATCCCTACTTTATAAGGGGAAGAGAAGATCTTCTTGATAACATTGTACGCAACAAGACCGGGGGGAATGAAGATACACTGGATGTCAACCTGCTAAATCTTCAATATGTCATGAATGAGATTGACCTGATTAAGATGAATCAACTTGCTATCTTGGAGGACATGAGGAGAATGCGCAAGGACAACCAAGTCTTATGGAGCGAGAGCTTTACTGCAAGAGATCGCCACCAAAAACAATCGCAAACTTTGGAGAAGATCATGAAGTTCTTGGCTGCTGTGTACGGCAACTCGGCAGGTAAAATATTCGAGGTTGAGGACAATAACTTTAGCAACCAACAAGTGTCTGCTTACAACAATACTACAGCAAAACCAAGCTTTGCATCCCCAGGACCAGCACCCGTCTCAAAGCCTAGATTGATGTTGATGGACCAAGCGTATCGGAGAACGAGTGCTTCCACTTCGAAATCTCCTTCTATGGCTTCAATAGGAAAGGATTCTGTTGAAGAAATCACGCGGAATACGCCCCAGTTTCAAAACACCCCAGAAAGTTCAGCAAACGCAAACAGAATATACCAGCAAATCATGAACCCGGAATCAGCAGGCGTGTCGTCACCTGGCCAATTTTTCCCTGAGTTGAGCGGCTCCTTTCTTAACACCAATCAGCGGCAGCACGAGAATTCGAGTGGAGCACATCATCAACAAGAAGAACAGCTCCAGGGTCTCGAAGACAATATCGTTAAGCAAGGCCAGGCACTACTGCAAGTTCAGGACTGGATCCAGGCCTTAGCAAGTAGACAGCAGCAACAACAGGAACAGATTCACCAGCAACAGCAAAACCAGAGGAGCCCCGGAAATCTGCCTGCAGACGGGAACCTAGATGACTTTGATGTTGATGAGTTTTTGGATAATGGCTCGTTGAATATTCAACATCAAGCCTCGGCTCCACATGGGAACCCAATTGCGCCTGAATATCTGGCGGGCAAGCGTGTCATTGAACAGGTTGAGAATGATAACATCCAGAGATCGAAGAGGAAAAGAATATAGTCGCAAGAAATGATTGAGATAATGAATTTATATGTAGACTGTATTCATAATCAACGAATTTAACGCCTTGGACAGATAAGTTAGTTTTTTCTTGTGAATGAAAAACGAACATCATCATCATCTTCATCATCATCAAGTCTCAGCTCAACGATAGCTTGTCGACCACTAACCGTGATATCATGTAGACTAGTTGGTGAGACATCTTTTGCATCGTCGCGTTTCGACAGAAATTGAAATACTTCATCCGCGATTTCCCTCTCGTTATCGGAAACCTCATTCACGAAAAGTTGTACGGTCTCAGGCTGATACCCCCGCACATCTTCCATTTCTGCCTCGAAATCATTTTCTAGTTTTTCTCGACCGTCCTGCTCTTGTTGGGGCAGATACAGATCTTTGAAATACACATCGTTTCCAGTGTCTACGAGCTCAATAAAGGTTCTTGTGATGCTGTTCTGTTTGCAGCCATTTTTGCGGAACTTTTTGAAATTTTTGCGACCGTGAAATGAGGGTTCATCTAATGACCTGATTCTACTCGGAGCCCTCAATTCGAGATCTTGAATTACCAAAAGCTTTTTCATATCAGCGGCGATGCCCTCATTGAAGGCGAGTTCATGGTTGATGGAGTCGGAAGCTTTTTGCTTGGTAGATTTAATAGCATCTGCCAAGGAAATCTGTGGAACAATCAAGCTTTTTGAATTCTCATTTTTAATTGAAGATTTTAGATTGTCTTCTATGCCCACTTGCTTCATTGATGAGTCCAGTGTAGATTCTGCTGAAGCCGCGACATAGTTTTGACCACTGTAAATATCACTATCCTGACCTTGAGTTGAAAACTCAGTTTTGATCTTTGGTTTGAGTCTCACATTTTCCGAATCTACTTCTTTGCGGGAAGAATTTTCAAGCCCGTTTTGCTTTTGTTGCGAGATTTCCAGCTCGAACTCGACGTCTGACACAGTTGGCTGAACAGTTTGCGAGAATGACGTATATTTGGATTGGATTTCAGTATCAAGTTGTGGTTTCGAAGACAGCAATGGTGTGAACAGAAAGAAGTTTGTATCTTCTACTCTCTCCAACTTTCTTCTTTTTCTTCGTTGACTTAGTGGAATGGGCTCAATTTTCTCCTCCAGTTGCAGGGGCACTGGAATGCTAAGTTGAGGTGATCTTAATCTGGCAGTGTCTGCATCAAGCACGGCACTCCATAAATCATCAGTGGTATTAATTTTGTTAGCGTTCTTCAAGGACTCAATTCCAGCGAATGATTGAACACAGAACATGTAAACTCTATTCTGCGAAAGTTGACCACCCAGATTCAGTTCCCAGTTATCGACTTCTTCAAAGCTTTTAACCAATATTTGCGTACAATTAAGACACTCAACCCATTTTTTTAACTTGAGACATTCTTTTGAGTCCTTATCATCAGATAGTAGCACAGCAATAGAGCCAGATAGGAGCTGTGTTCTCATATGGTTTGGGTTGAGGTCATTGCCTCTGGTATCTAGCAAGTATAGGTCAGAATTAATAGTGAAGAGCCAGCTGTCCACGTCATCGAGGCAGTTTGCCAACATGTCAAACCACTCTTTCGACACGATGGGTAGAGCACGCAGAATCGCAATTTGCATGTTATAGTCAACCTGATCTGTGAGTGAAACATAATGCGTGGCTTCAAAAGGATCATCTGTAATTCTTATATCAGCCCCAGATAACTTTAGATCCTTTAAAAGTTCTGGCAATGGGCTTGGTTGAACCATGCCACCAAACAGAATCTTCTTCAGGAAGGGTAGTACCACCACAGGGATCCATCTCAAATGAAGCTTGATTTTGTCAGACTTATTCACATTGACTTTGAAAAGAAGGTCACGATCATTAAAGCTCTGTTCAAATGGCTCAGCATCTTTCCTGGCAAGCTTGTAGATCACGCCGTTCACGTCTGTCGTGCAAATTGATTCAAAGCGAACAGAAAGGGGCGTCGGCTCAGCCGAAGTTTGAGCTACTTCTTTAACTGATATTGTTATATATGATTTAGGCACTTTAAGGTCGGCAATGTAGACACACTTAGAGTCGTTTTTGTAGGCATGGTTTCTCCCTACTCTAGTACAAGAGTTCACGCGTAGAGCACGATGTGATACTGATAGTTAGATAAGTTTGGTGACAATTATTTTATATATTTGATGTTTTGGCTCCCTAATAACATATTCAAAGGAACACATACTGCTATCATTGTAAATAACACTCAAAATCCACATGGAATATATGGGGCTGAAGGCTATATTCCAAGTGAGTCTAGTGCTCGACCGATGTGAGCGCGAATGGAATGCAGTCGCAGCTGGCAGTTCTAAGATTTGCGATGATAATGTGTCCAATGACCATGGGGCACTGATTACCCAGGAACAATATTATCTACGCTGGATATTCTCGATGTCTTTCGTCTTTCTATTTTTGGACTTTTTATATGTTACACTATGGTTTGGAAACCTTACCCTCGGTCTTCGAGGTCTTTGCCTTGGCATTCTTCTTCTTGTGGGCTTTCATTGTCTTACCCAAGACCTGCTTAACTGTGCTCTCATCTGCCAATTCCAACAAAGCCTTGGTGTACACGTCTTCGGCCTCGGCGTTCTCAACGTCCTTGTCAGCAACATTCTCAAGAACGTCAGCATCATCGTAAATCCTCTCAGCGTAGTAAAGAGGCAATACTGGGGAGCCGGCAGTTTGCAAACCGACAGTTACCAACAGCTCTTGGGGAAATTGTTTTAAAACCTGTTCGATGTTGGAGAGCAACTCTTCTTCAGAGAAATCAGGACCAATAGCACCGATAGTCAATGAGATGTCAGTGCTAACAGGAGGTAAAAATGCGGAGGAAGACAAAACCTTGTTAATTTGGTTGGTGAGTGTTTGATGAGACAATTCCTTGGGGCTTTTCGTGGATGCAACTCTGACGTTGATTGGAAACTTAGTGGTATTTTGGTAGAATGTCTTACCCAAGGTAGAAGGCATGGATGACAAGATTGCGTCATCTACAACGAAGATATCATACTCCTTTTGAAGCTCACGGCGCTTTTCAAAAGTTTTGTAGACAGTCTTCAATTGGGTCAAGGTGAGGATCTTAGCTAACGTGGGGATCTGAGCCTTTTCGATGTTCTCGACTTCCTCATCGCTGGTGATAAATTGGTCCCGCAAAAACAAGCACGTCTTGGTCTTACCATTGATGTTTCTGTAAGGCTTGGACAAAGCGACGAGCTTCGGCTTGAATTCAGCTTTTTTTGTATAAAGTTTTTTCAACTCAAATCTCACCACCAACTGAGTGTTCTCCTCCTTATCATCCTCGTCAGCAAACAAGTCAGATTTTTCTTTTCCTTCCTTGGCCGAAATCTCTTTGGAGCGAGCAATGAATTTTTTCAACTCTTCAAGAGCTTTGGAAGCCTGTGACTTGGAAACGTAACCAAACTCTTTTTGGATGGCAGCCTTTGGCTGCGCTTTCAGGGCTTTTTTTGACTTTGAAACGGCTGTGGACTTCACAGGAGTGCTGTCGACCGAAGTTGGCTTTGTGCTCTTTGCAGGTGTTTTGGGACTCGTGGATGATCTTGTTTTTCTAGCCATTTTGTGGTGTTTTAAATCTCTGAAGGGCAGACCTGATCTTACACTTGAGTACCAATGCTCATCGCGGAAGAAAAAATCGAGCCGGCACTGCAGGTAACCACGATGCTACATGAGTGCGCATCTGCTTCGCAAATGATCTATTCAAGAATTAGTTCTGCAAAGATTGGCAATCAAACATCTGGACTCTCCAAATGGATTGTAGCTCTTGCTTGATTATGTAGAGGCAATATTAAATTTTAATCTTCAATTTTTTTTCTTTTTTTTTCATTCCGTTCATTAAGTGTGATTTCATCCGACGCAAGAAGCTTGGATTGGCAATGTGATGAGCGTCAGTTATCAATTGTTGCCAGGTGCACGGACGACAAAATTAACATCAATAATCATGCTTCTCTGTTAAACAAGCTTATGAGGTACCAAAATGGCAAACTTCAAGTTCCTTGCTTAAGTTCATAAAATGGACAATGTACCGTATATTTTTCAAAAACCTTCCTCCCAGCTTATAGTAAAGGAGGGGGGATAGCTGTTTTCGGAAGCACGCCTGGCCCAGCCTTCTCTTGATTGTTTACTCGATCAATTACGATCGCCGGTGCGCCATTTTCTATATCCTGAAATAGAATCTCAGGTTTATTTTCAAGGTCAAAAACGGTATCCTCACAACCTCTTATCTCGGTGAGATCGCTTTCATGATCGCTCGCGTTCTCGTCGTATTGATACTTACGCACGTGGGAACTTGCAAAACCACCCAACCGGTCCCATAATAAATGCGTTAATTCATTTGGAGAATAGACCGCTTTTTTATTGGGGCCCTCTTCTGCTTTGTCGAAATCGTTCCATTCGCTATGAGGCGATAGTGGGGGCAGAATAAGAAATCTTCTGCTCCCATCCTCCAGAGGCAACTCCAAGAAGTGCACATCATTTGTTTCGACCGCCCACAGACTGTCATCAAGTAATCTCAGGTTATTATCGCGTATGCTAAAAGACATCAGTGCCTTAATTTCTAATTTTTCCGTAAGATAGTCTCGGACAGAGGTGGCGTCAGCCGCAGACATGCAGATGATAATGATCCTGCCGAATCGTGGAAGTGACACAAGTTCCACGTTGAAGTTGCCATATGACAAGTCACGTGCAAGAATTTCTGGGTTTCCTTCTAATGACGCGTCAAGGTTTGTTAGAATTAAAGAATTTGTAGGGGAACGGGGCATTTGTGAGTGAGGTATATTGTGTCTTTCGATTGACCAGGGTGCGGGGCTGTACCATGAAGTGCGGTTGGGCCGCACATCGCAAGAGGCAGTGCCTGTAGGGACAATAAAGCGAAAATAGGACATCATTGTCAACATAAGGGCTATTTTTTTGAACGAGAACCTGTATTGTGACTACACGATTACACAGCTATTTTGAAGCATTGTGTTTTGAAGGATTTCAAATCACAAGATAGAAGCCAGGTATGACCAACTCAATCCATGTGCAATGGGCTTCGCACTAAAAAAGCCTAGACGGCCAATTCGAGAAGTCTCAGATATGAATGCCACACAAACCCATATGGCGGAAGTACGTGTTGTGATTATGGTAGAAGTCGGTAAGCGGTGCAAATGGCAAAGCAAAGTCCCTGGCTATACAAGTGGGATTCTCACCAGAAAAACAGTCCACAACCTCCTCAGGACTCGGGATAACTGTGTCCGCAGTCGCATTAATATAGATTTGATTTTCGAAGGAGCAGTATCTCTCGAATAGTAAACCACTCCGAGGCACCGTAGTCACGATGTCACCCTTCCGTATAACGCGGATGTATTTTCGGGCATATGAATTGTGGGCCACTGGAAAGGAGCTTCCCAAAACTTCGTCGGCCCACGTGGTAAACTCTTTGTTCCCTATGAGGGGCTGTCCCATGGTGACCAAGGTTAAGTTCGAAAACCCCATATCGAGAAAGTGAATGGCAAGTAGCAATGCAACGGAACCTCCAAGAGAATGGCCAATAAAGATAATTTCATAATTCAGAAAGGACATCTCGATCTCCGACTTAAGCTTACTTTCCATCACTTCCAATGTGCTTTTGTAGTATCGCCAGAACCCCTCGTGGACTCGGCAGTCAGGTCCACAAAGCAACAAATTCTGACCTATGTTCTCGTACTTCACCAAATCTACTTTAAGATCTGTGATTGTATCGTGAAGAGATCGCGTTCCTCGAAGAGAGACAATGATTGTTTTTCTATTCACGGAATTTCCTGAGTCATCGTAGTCAAAGATATTCCAAAAAGTCGTAGAGATATATCCACAGACAGAGTCATCAAAATACCATTGACTCACCAATGACATGTTTGATTCGAAAGATCCACAGAGATCGCATTGAAAGGGCTCTTCAATCTGATGATATGTATCTATGCAGTAAGAAATGTCGATAAGAGCAGCATAAGTCCCTAGGTTCTCGTATACTTTCATGTCTATGGGTTGCGGAGTCTCGTATTCTTGAAGAGTTGATGTATCTGCCAACAAAACACTCAAAAATGAATTTCTGAGTACCGGACTCAAGCAATTCTCGAGAGAAGGCCCCACAAATAACAGGCTAGCTCGGAAAAGACATGAAAGAAGCCATGAAAAAATGTCTCTCATCTCATTTCAAAGGTTATAGTGGCTTGAGCTGGGGTCATTTTGTGCGTATGATAGCGCATGATAAGCCAACGCAACAAGAACGCGCAGTCGCGATAGCGGGGTAGATCACAAGACATCTATGCAATGCAATGCTTCATGGGACATGGGTCGACTGAAACTCAACTAAACTAAGTAAACATCGCAAAAATGACAGATCTTGCCAAATATGTTGTGAATGCTCCGAAGAATATTGCACTCATGAAAGCGCCTTGTCCATGCTCCCATCTGAACATGAATTGAAACATACAAATTGCGACAAGAACACAAGAGACAACTTTTGGCGATAACATGACTGAGCTGAGAATAGAGCTCATGTTGATACTCTTTAGATCTTGAACACGCTCGTGTAAGATCACTAGACTAGAGTTTAGATTTAGTGATGCAGCATCCATACTGAAGATAATGTGTCCAATGTTCTGACTTAGAAACATTAATTGGGAAAACGTGCTTTCAAAAGTCGTCTGAAAAACGATAAACAAAGACAATGCTTCATCCTTTAACTCCCGGGTAACATTCGCCACGATTGCTCGAGTCTCTTTTTCAATGTCTTCGAACATATTCTCTACCTGGAGATGCGTATCTTGAAGCAAGTAATTGATTTGTAAGCCTTTATGTAAGTTATCTTCAAGAATGTCTTGAAGCACCAATTGTCCACTTTTTGAATTTTGGTAGAGCATCATCAAGTCGTCAGAAATACTTTGAGATGCCTGGACATGAATTTTTGCTAGATTTTCGTTTGCAGTCAGTATCCTCGCAAATTGTGTATCAACAAAGTCGAAAATGAGCTGTAACTTTTGGTGGGTCTCGCTCAAACTTTGATCAATTTTATTGGTATTCGTGGATATCTCCAGAGACATATAGTCCCAAGCGTCTTCGAAATATCTTGATCTCTCCAACATAGAGTTGTGAAAGTCATCAAAAGTTTTCGCTTCTTCTCTCTTTTGCTCTTCTTGGTGAGTGAATGATTCGTCCATGAGATCAACGATCGCTTGAAACTTGGCCAAGAGTTGCTCTTGTAGGTCTTGAGCTTTGCTGGAAGTCTTCATTGCCGACAGCTGAAAATCTGTATATATTTTGGTGACGTTGAAAAAAAGATCAAGAATATTATGTCTTATGAAAGGCACCGCTTCCTCATAGCATACTGATCTAAGCCTTCTGTAATGACCAGAATAAGTTGTCCAAAGCTGTGGACTTTCCAGAAACTCCTGGACACAAATTTCGAAATCTTCATCACATTCAACATTCTGGCAGCTTTTTGGGTATTCCACATTTGCTTCTTTGAACTCACAAATAGATAACTTGACTGCCAGCTGAATGCGAAGCTTGGGGCTAACACTGTCTGCACCTCTTAGCTGACATTCGTTAATGAACTCGTAGAGAGCATTCTGAGAGCAGAGTAATTGCTGTGACTGATATAGGTCTTTGAACTGAGAGCCTATTTCGCTTGCAAATAAAGAAAGATCATTACCTAACACCACACTTACGCCTTGCAATAGAATTATAGTTTGTAGAGCTAAAACAACTGGGCTTTTTGACATCATTACGTGTAGATGATTCCAGCCTAATCCGAGACTTCATCCTAGAGCTCATCAAATTCTCTCGAAATTCAAACAAGCAAGGTTTTAAATGCATGTTTGTCTGAGTGTTGTTTCAGATTTGTAGGGGGATAGAAACAAAGTTGCGACGATAATTAGCATTCAATGCTCGCTTGACTAAGAACGGGATTAAAGAAGTAATGATCGAGAAGAGTATGCGTAACTAACACATTATGCATCAGTTTTGAGATTTAAGCTTCATGATCTTCCTTGCTGCATTCAACTCTTCGAAAAACAAGGCTACTGAATTAGAACCTGACGTTGTGTCTGGCCTACGTTGAGAATTTTTGAAATTTTTCCCAGAGATCGCTCGCTCAGTTCACAGGTGCGCTCCAACACAAGTGCGAAAAAGCTTCTTCTCTTGACCAGAAACATCCTAAGACTTTCCATGGTGCAGAGTACTCGACTCCTGGTGAGAGTCTATAAAAACTTTGCACGTAAGTTTGGACACTCTGTTATTTCAGCAAAAGACCCTGTATCGTTTTATCCCACAGCGTCATTCTTGGATAATGCAGCGCATGAACAAAGAATGAAAGAGAATGAGGCTGCTGTGCCTACAAGACCATCTCTGCAATCAGTGAAACATATCTACAGAGACATGGTTCTGCCACAAGATGTATGTGACTTGTTGTGGGAACCGAAAACCGAAGATTATGTGATCACTTCCTTAGCGGAAGATTGCGCTTTGAATGGGGATTCACTGCACAAAATTGTTTCCAGATCCCCAGTTTCTGAAACTAAATTGATGTTTGCGAATATTGCTATTTCCTGGTTAGATAAGTTCAAGGCGCAGACACTTCAACTAAGTGAGTTGACAGGGCTTGAGGAACAGTTGCTGTACAACAAGCCGCTGCAGATAATTTCCAGTGACTATACCGAAGACTGTCTTTCCTCTGCCGAAAACCTCAAGGAATTTTGTGATCTGCTGCTTAAAAAGGGCTATTCTTTAGAGTCTATCACACAATTTATTTTATCCAGTCATACAACCTTGGCCCAATACAAGTATATTCTTGGGTATTTATGTGAGAATATGTATGTATTGAATCCGGTGTCCATATCCGAATTCACGGGATACATCATCACTGATGCCTACAAGAGACATACATCAAACGAAAAAGAACTACTGGGATACTCTGAGGCTTTTGACTGCTTTCTTCGAGAGCGCCTACTCCAAGTATACCCCAGTAGTTTGCGCGCAGTGGGTGCGATCACGCTAGACAAATTAGCTTACTTGTCTTCGGTCTCCGAAAACTTTCAAACCGCTATTATGACTTTAACTGATTTGATTCAGCAGCACAAAACAGCGCCTTCAAAAAGCACTTGGGGCACCTTTTTCGCTGCATACAGCAAATATGCTGTTGAACAAGACTTGCTGAAGTCACAAATTCTTGCCCAGATTTCGGCGTTGAAGCCAGTCATCTTCCACCACAGACTCACAGCGCATAATTTTCGCTTTTTGCTCTCTAAAGTTGTTGATAACTCCCATGATTTATCACATCTTGTACAGTTGGTACAAACATCCTCGCCAGATATTCTAGTGGAGTGCGGGGGTCAAGTCATTAAAAAACTACAGCAAATATCTAACGCGAGCAATGCATCTTCAATTGTGAAGGCAGTACAGGCTACACAACTTTCCAAAGCCCTTGAAGCAGCTGGTTTTCAACCAAATTGAATTGAGCCTACAGGTTGTGACCAGATTTCATCATCGTGATAAGAAATGCGCGTGAACATAATTTTAGTATAGTACTAATTACGGCTTAACCCAAGCATCAATATAGTTGCCTATATAGACCGTCAATTTAGGGGCAAGCACTTTGTGCGATTAATTCATGTCAAATGAAATAGTAGGGTTGGATAGGAAATGGAGAATCAAACGGTAGATAAATGCAGATTGATTGAATGCCGGTCACTATTCAGATTATGATGACTGGAAAGCGATTGCGTCTCGGATTCAAAAAGCAACAGCGCCGAAATTTCTTGCTCTTCGTCAACGTGCTCGCTGGTGAAGCCATTGGAATAGATAATCACCCCATCGTCAGAATGCGTATCATCATCCCACTCGACGAATATTGTGTTTTTGCCTCTCATATCGTCGGCAAGATAGACGGAGTCATTAAGATGTCTTCTAGACTGTATTGATCTTTTTAGAAAACAAGAAAAAGATGCGATAATAGCCATGATCAGCACGGGCAACATTTGGATCCAGCCCAAAGGCCCAAGGTTAGGTACAAATAGCACAAAATCAGCTAAGAACGCAAGTAAGCTCAGAAGAAAAGATAAAATGGCAAACAGAAACATTATTGTTAGTTGCCGGTAATTGTGCTTCCTCCCAGGGGTGGTTTTGGATGACACGCGAAGGGAAGAGCTTTGTTTAGATGTAGACCATCGATTTCGAAGCTTCCGCCACCTTTTCAATACTCTAGCCGTAAGCAGATTATTCACTTTCACACTGTCCATCAACAAAAGCGATATTGACTGCAAGGCTAGTAGGCAGGTGAAGCCAAAAGCCACTACATGCAACACCAAAAGCTTTGAAATCAAATAAGTCACATTAGACGGTAACTCAACTTCAGCAAATGATGACAGAGGGTCAAGCTCCTGGAAATTGCCAGGGTACATGATCGGGGTGTCATCCTCATAGCCAATCTTCGGGGAAGAGCATGTGCCTTGTACTGTGTCACATACTCCAAAGACCCCAAAAGAGACGTTGTTATAGTGGGACAAATTTAGGTTGTAATTTGTACTTTTTCCTGTGATGGGCACCGAGATTACCGGTAGGAGCTGTATCCCCCAGCATATAAGCAGAAGTACGCTTATGAATAGTATTCCTGAGTGCATGGGGAATGACTGTGGAGGCGGTGCTTTGCGGGATGGAGACATCGACGTGGCATGCATAGAGGGCAGAGAGCATGGATACCTGCCGGTCAGGTAGGCTAGGGTCGGCAAAATATGTGGAGTGCAAATCACTGAGGTTGGAAATTCAAAGCAAAACGAACCAAATGACAGGAAAGGATGCAGAACAGTATGGCTTTGCCTCTCCCGCTCTCGTATATTTTTCCTTTGCTTGCTCAAATGCCAAGACATTTTGGCGTCGCGATGCATGCATTGCATCTGAGCTTTGCAGCAGACTACATGACTGGAATAGTCATGAAAAGCAAATCGTCATGCACAATCACAGCTTGGGAATGAACTGATTGCAAATTCTTGGTGTTTGGGTCGTTTTGACCTGCTCATGGAAGAATCACTTCTCTTGGACAATAAATTTTGCGTATTGGTTTCAAGACATCAGGTCATTTCCCTTATCTGAAGGCGCATATCCTGTACTTACCTATGGTTGAATACATGAATTCATGTTGTCTCCATGAATGATCAATCAATTGTGATAACAGACCACTGAGGTACATATCGGCCCTTCCAGTTTGAAAAGACACTGTGTCTCGGGAAAAAAAGAAATGCAAAAAAGAAAGCGCACCCAATCTCGCCAACGAACGTAATTTTCCTGTTCACCCATCGTTTAGTGCAAATCGCGAAAGAATTCTTTGATAAACGTTTACTATTTCTTGTTAGTTGCTGTGTTGAATAGTGTTTTCTTCCATTAATTAAAGATGGGGGCCCCTTTCGTACAGTAGGGAGCAAAAGTACTCACATGTCATTTGCCCAATGGACTTGATTTCAATGAAGACATCGTTGCGAAAGCTATTGATCTATTATCATGTCAGCTTCTATTCTCAAGTGTCTTTGCTTTTAATCTTTTAGTCTGGATTCGATGCCCCATCCCAAGTGATACTGGAAATGTAAACGAAACAAGTAGATTGTTGTTAACAAACATTGAAAATCTATATGGAATTACAGAATACTGTTCTGATATCTTCATCGTGGCACCTATGATGCTCACTCCCCTAGCAGAAGGTGGAAACTACAATGCAAATTTCTCTTTGATTTCGACTACTAGTGCACATTAGATCTTAATGAAATGCAATTGTGTTTACGTAATAATGAATTCGCAAAAAAGAGGCCAAATCAAACAGAATTTTCTCCTCTTGTGCTTCCTCGTTTTCGCAACTCGATTCATATCCTTCGTCTCGCCGCCCACGCCGCGCTCTTCGTCATTTATCCTCACGTGCTCGCACGAACACCGTTCAATGACGCCTCTGGAAAGGTACATAACTTTCTTTGCAATTGTGTTGTTCGCCTCGATTTACCCAAGGCTTTTCACTAGAGCGAGACACGTTACCCACCAGACTTTACAAATGTCTCATCCATATGCCAAGGAGTTGGAAGTGGCCACTTTGGCCGTGAAAAGAGCCTCGATCTTGACCAAAAAGCTTAGTGACTCTATCTCCGCAACGCTGAAATCTGGAACACAAATTAAAGATGACAAATCCCCGGTAACTATCGGAGATTATGCCGCACAAGCCATCATCAATCATGCTATCAAGAAAAACTTTCCTCTCGATAACATAGTCGGGGAAGAAGATGCTGATTCTTTGCGTGAGGACAGTGAAGAAGCCAAATCATTGAGCTCGAAGATCCTCGAGATTATTCAAGACGCCCAAAACTCCTCTCTCTCGTCAAAAGAGATTATGGGTTCATTGTCAGATTTGCCCGAAATCTTCGATAGTATTGACGCAGGAAACTACGAGGGTGGAAACAAAGGCAGATTCTGGGCTTTGGATCCAATTGATGGTACCAAAGGTTTCTTGAGAGGCGATCAGTTTGCTGTTTGTCTTGCATTGGTTGAAGATGGAGAAGTTGTTTTGGGTGTTATTGGATGTCCAAATCTTGCTGAAAATATCATCTCCAATGAGGAGCAACATGGCGTGAAGGGAGGCTTGTTTTCTGCAGTGAAGGGGCTCGGCTCATTCTACACTCCACTTTTCAAAAATGACAAATTTGTTCCGATTTCAGACCAGGAAAAGATAAACATGACTCAAGGCACGTCTCCTGTGGACTTGAAGGTGCTTGAAGGTGTTGAAAAGGGCCACTCGTCACACTCAACCCAAAGCCAAATAAAGGCTGCTTTGGGATTCGATGAAAAAACAGTCGCGCAGCAAACAATTAACTTGGACTCTCAAGTAAAATACTGTGTCTTGGCCAAAGGTCAGGCTGATATTTACTTACGCTTGCCAATCAACGACACGTACAGAGAGAAGATATGGGATCACGCTGCAGGCAACATCTTGTTATATGAGAGCGGTGGGCAGGTGGGCGACATTACAGGGGCTAAGCTTGACTTTGGAAAAGGTAGATACTTGCAGTCCAAAGGTGTCATTGCCGCAAACAGTAAGGTCTTTCCTCAGGTCATCGATGCTGTAGTCAAGATACTCAATCAATAGGTTAGCTTATTATTCTATGTACATGTGCATTCAGTGATTGCTTCATTCCAAAATCTCAGTCAAGTAGTACTTCTGTTTTCCGGCTCTTACAAGAAGTAATTTACTGTCGATCAAATGATTATCCTTGTCGAAAAGAACCACATCGTTGGGGTCATCCAATTGGTCTCTATCAATTCCCAAATAAACTCCACCAGCTCTGATTAAATTCTTGGTTTCACTCTTTGACTTACCCAAAATTTTGGACAAGAGGGTGCTCATTTTTATTTCATGTTGATTCTTGAAAGACAGAAGAGAGATTTGCAGCAAAATTCCAGACTTCTTGAATTTCAGAAGAAGTTTATTGGCAGAGATTTCATCGTCGAACGGCTGGTCGGGAGTTGGGAATAGAAAACTCGTAATATACGCCATCTCATCCCCCACACCAACACCATGAATCAAATCAACAACCTCTCTTGCAAGCACTCTTTGCGCGATTCTTAGACCTGGGTCAGCTAAATGTTTTGCCATAACAACATTTTCGATTGAGTCTAGGGGAAGGAGCGTGAACATTTTCAACAACTTTTCAACCATTTCGTCCTGACAATTGATGAAGAATTGGTACAACTGGAATGGAGACGACATAGATTCACTGATGAAGACCGCGTTTCCGGCGGACTTGCCAAACTTTTGGCCACTTGGGGTTGTCAAAAGAGGAACGGTCATTCCATAGGCGGGCTTTTCTTGGGAATTTTTAGTAGTGTCACTGAAATGTTTTTGCACGCGGGAAATCAAGTCGGTACCCGCAGTAATATTTCCCCACTGGTCGTTTCCACCCACTTGGACATTGACCCCGTTGGTCTTAAAAAGATGCCAGAAGTCATACGCCTGCAAAATCTGATAAGTAAACTCGTTAAATCCAAGACCCTGTTGAGAGCTGAGCCTGGACAGAATTGAGTCTCTTGCGAGCATTTGTGTGATACGGATATGTTTCCCGTATGTGGCTAAGAAATCTAGGATTTTAATAGATGCCCACCAATCTGCGTTATTGACTGGGTTGAAAGAGCCCACATCCGACTGGGACTCAGTATTGGGAATTTCTCTTGATTGCGCGTACAACACACCGTTCTCGAAGAATCTTTGCATCTGGCTTTGTATGACCTCCACGTTATCGATTCTCTCCTGGTTTTCCATTTCAGATCTCTCTGTTGTGCGTCCACTGGGGTCACCAACGGCACCTGTGGCACCTCCCACAAGCCCATAAATGTCATGCCCTCTCAAGCGAAAATGTAGTAAAACCATAAGAGGTAGCAAGTTTCCCAAGTGGAGCGATTTTGCCGTTGGGTCGGCACCACAGTACAATTTTAACTTGGACGCTCCGGGCTCTGTCAACTTGTAGAGATCGTCACTTGTCACTGACTCCACCAAGTTTCTATTTTGCAAATAGCCAAGAAGCGATTGTTGGTACTCTGCGTGAAAGAATTCGGCCTTTGTTAGGAAATGCACGGGCGGGACTATGGCAATGGTGTCTGGTGGACTTTCAGCAGTAGGTGCCTTGCCCGTCGATTGGAACCTGGCCCATCTGCGGTAGAGGGGAGGAAATCTTCGAATACTACTACTCATTGAGATAAGAAGACTTTTTTAATACCGTTTTATGGAACTCGCAATTAAGTTGGTCCTCTCAAAGATGCAAGGATAACAGTCCGACGGAGTTGGCGAGTGAGAGCCATGTATTGCATGGAGGTTTGTCGCACCGTGTTCACTTTGGTCCCTGAGGTCTCAAGAACAGAATTCCAGGAGCGGAACCAAGACTTCATAAGATCGACATAACCAACGAACAATTATCTGCGGCCACCTCTGCGGCCAACCCGTTTTTGTGTTAGCTCCTTAAAGTCGGTTTTTTTTCCCACTTGGCCGGGGTTTCTTTAGTCGACGATCGTTAGCTTCGAATAATGAGCAATACGCGATCATCCACGCGCCACCTCTGCCCAGTCTCTGCTGTAGTACATTCTGCGCCTCATCGCAGACAATTTTGAAAATCACCACCGAAATGTCCAATGATCCGGCAAACCACGTCGATGACGGCGTAGGCCAAAAAAAAAGAAAGAGAAAGAGATCTAAAAAATCACAGCCAGAAATTCTTCCCGATCCGGTGGCTACAGACGTCCGTGTTCATAGAACAAATAAAAAGACCAGATTTGCGGAAAGCGATGAGAGGAAAGACGTCCAGCCTGATGCTCAAAATGTACCTGAAGCCCCAGATGCCGAAAATCTTCAATCCACTCATTTTCAGTCTTCCACATCAAACTCGAACGAAACGGGCAAGGGCTTGGCGGTTTCTTCTGTCAAGCATCTGGATTCTTCAGAAGATGGCCTCAAAATAGGCCACCAAAGGCTGCCAGCAGTCCCACAAATAAAACAGCACGCTTCGCTGCAAAAAACAAAGAAAACCAAAAAGAAAACAGTTTTTTTCGACGGGGAAGAGAATGACGAGGATGACGAGGATGACGATGAAGCAAGGGCTTTTCGTATCTCTCAAAGCTTATCTAAGGGTTCTTTGGTAAAGAAGGCACACGACCTTCTTGAAGTCAGGAAAATGTTGCCTATCTTCCAGCATAAAGAGAAAATTCTTGATTATGTCACTCGCAACCAAGTCACTGTGATCATCGGAGAAACAGGTTCCGGTAAGTCTACTCAGATTCCACAATTTCTTATGCCGCTCAACAAAAAGAGAATTGCAGTCACTCAACCTCGTAGAGTTGCCGCAGCATCTCTAGCGACCAGAGTGAGTGAGGAATATGGCTGTGCCATTGGCCAAGACGTTGGATACCAAGTTCGTTTCTCTAATGTCACATCGAGCAAGACAAAATTAAACTACTTGACGGATGGTATGCTCATCAGAGAATTGATGCTCGATCCCACGCTATCTAAATACTCGACAATCGTCATCGATGAAGCACATGAAAGAACGGTTCTCACGGACTTGATTCTTGGATTCTTGAAACAACTCATGTTGAACAAGAAGCGGAAGGATTTGAAAGTGATTGTCATGTCAGCCACATTGAATGCTGATCTTTTCAGCCGGTTCTTTGACCATGCCCCCATTTTGTACATAGAGGGTAAGATGTACCCAGTTTCTAGACACTACTTGAGTGAATCTTCTGAGGATGTTGTTGACACGATGATTAAGACTGTGGTTCAGTTGAATATGTCAGAGCAAGAAGGCGATGTCTTATGCTTCTTACCTGGTCAAGAAGAGATTGATAATTGTGTGTCCATTCTCAACACATTATCCCCTGAACTCCCAAAGGAAGCTCCATTCATTGTGGCATTGCCTCTCTATGCCGCTTTGTCTCCGGGAAAACAGCTGAAGATTTTTGAGAAGCTTGGTCCAAGAAAGAGAAAGATTATTTTGGCTACCAACATAGCGGAAACATCCATTACTGTCAGTGGAGTGAAATACGTTATTGACTCTGGTCTTCGTAAAGTGAAGGTATGGAAGCACCAGCTTGGTCTCTCCTCATTACTCACAACTCCGATTTCTCAAGCCTCTGCAAAGCAAAGGGCAGGTAGAGCTGGAAGAGAAAGCGCTGGCAAAGTCTTCAGGCTCTATTCTGAAAAGTTGTTCCTAAACAAACTTCCGAAACAACAAGAATCTGAGATTTTGAGAAATGATATCATTTTACCTGTTTTGACTCTCAAAAAGATGGGGGTAGACGATCTTCTCAACTGGTCATGGCTTGAACACCCTGGAAGAGAAAGTATTCTTAGTGCGCTTAACACCCTATTCTCTCTTGGCGCCCTCAACAGCTCTGGAGTAGTCACGCCACTTGGTATCAAGATGGCTGTTTTGCCCTTGCCTCCAGCACTTTCTGCCGTATTGATAAGTGCCCTTGATATGGGTGTATTGCAAGAGGTCATCGATATTGTCTCGTGTCTCTCTGTCGATAATACTATCCTTAATGTGGGTGGAAATGGAGAGTTGAGGGATGAAGTGAACATGAAGAGAAGACAATACTGTCCAATAGGAATTCGTCTGGGGGACCTCATCTCTTTGAAAGAGTATTTCGACCACTTCAAGAAACTTGATGATCAAAACAGCACTGTCGAACTCAAGCTTTGGTGCAAAGAAATGTTTTTTAGTTACAAGGGCTTCAAAAATGTTATGAAAGTCAGAAAACAGTTGATCGACTACATGATAACGACCATAAAACAAGATGACTCATTGAATCAACATGAACGGGAGACTCAATTGAAAAACCTTCATATGCAGCTCAAAAGCGAAATCTATGATTCCGAAGATGAGGACGACTTTGATAAGCTTCTGCATCTGATGAATGTGGATAAAATTCTCAAGGCATTTTTAAAAGGATTCGCACTCAATACGGCGATAGGTATGCCAGATAGGTCCTTCAGGACATGTTCTACGGGACAGCTTATCAGTATCCATCCATCTTCGAATCTTTTCGGAAAATCGAATATGGACGCAGTAATGTTTATCGAATATGTTTACACTGCGAAGGCCTACGGAAGAACATGTTCCAAAATTGAGTTGAGCTGGTTACAGGAAGTGGCTCCGCACTTACTTGGAGGATACAAAGTGAATATCAACGACTAGGGTCACAAAATTTAGAATTGGAATAATCCAGAATGCATGAGTTTAAATTCAATTTATACAAATAAATATTTATAGGTTATAATTTAACTACATTGTCCCAGCTTAGTTTGGGTTTTCGCGCGAACGAAACACCTAATCTATTCGTCTTAGCCTCATCTCAGGACAGCATCTCCGAGAATTTAACATCGCGATGGAAATAGAAAAGCCATTACCTCCTATATGGGCCTTGCGAGATTTTACCAGTGCTGAACATGAACTGAAAATAGCCAACAATAAACATGTGGCTAGGTACGGATATATCCTCTTAGCACTAACATGGACGTTATTTATTGTCACGGTTAACACACTCTTCAAGTGCTGGCTTTGGGTCATTCATCCGCTCAAATTACATGAAGAAACATTGGAGCTCTATGTTTCAATCAAACGATGGTGTGAACGAATAGACTACGTGGTCACAAGTCTTTGGTGTGTATACGTGATTGCGTGGTGGTGGGCTCTATTTTCATGGGTAGGAATCAAGCTTTTCCGCCACTCAAAAGGAATACAGATATGATATCAGCTATTGATCTAAGGCAGGTATTCTAACCGTTCTCACCTCTTGCTGCTGTCCACAGCGCATCACCAGTTTGCCGTCCCTGGGGTAAATTTTCACTTTCGGAATGAGCTACCTTGCTGTCATTTCGTTCTTTGGCCTGTGGCAAAAGAGTCTCATAGTACAACTTTAAATACTTTTCATCGACACTAGCATCAAGCAGCTGGAGTGCATCCCAATTCTGTGATAGCAATAGTGCGTTGTATGATTCCAAAAATCTCGCTATTGCCTGCTCATTTGCAACTGTGTTTTTCGGAATTGTCTTCCCACGTTCGGTGACATACTTCCCGCTTAGATCCACGACATAATCATGACTTATACCCAATACCCAACTCATTTTTTTGCCCCAGTTTCTGGAATAAAGTGAAGGCTCATCAAACACATCCTCGCAAGGGTCTAAGTGGACCCATCTCTTCATTTTGTGACTGTAATACTCGCACCACACATGATCCTCTGCATTCCAAATGTAGCGGGTTGGCACTTCGGGGCCCAAGATAGCTTTCAAAATCAACATGAAACAGTTCACCCATTCCCCACATCGTCCACGCCGCGTTTCCAACAACCTTGCAGGGTTGTTGATTCTTGGAAATTCTACTCTTTGGTTACAATCAATGCATGTGTATACCTCTATCACGGATATCTCATCTGGATTGATTTCAGGTGGGGCCTCCGAGCCTTTGGGCTGTATATTGTCACCATCTTTCTTGCATTTGGGGCACGCAGGTCTATTTACCCAGGAAAAGAAATCTGCTTTGAAGTATCTAAGCGTTTCAAGCACAACAAGATCTTCGTATCCCAATGCTGTGTTTACAGAAGACATTTCTCGCTGGTACACGCCAGCATATATCTTATCCAAGTCAATCAAATCAAGTGCTTTTTCCAAACTTTCCGAAATATCGTAGTGTTTCAAGTCGTGAGATATTCTTTGAATTGAACGAATAATTCGTGAGTCAGCTTGACTCTTCACGTAAATGCGTCTAGATCCCTTAGTTTTGGCTAGATCAAGCATACCTTTCGTATAGCTTATGAGAAGCAGATTCGCCAAATGTTTATAATCCAGGCAAACTCCCATTTCTGGATTGAGTCGAATTAGAAGAAGAATCCACGTGTATGTCTCGGGACTGTAGCTCAATTAAAGCAAGCAAGCCGCAGGATGACGGTTTCGTTGAGCGAATTGACGATAAAAAAATAACGACAACTGCAGGATTCGAACCTGCGCGGGCAAAGCCCAAAAGATTTCTAATCTTTCTCCTTAACCGCTCGGACAAGTTGCCTTTGATGCGGAGATTCCGTACCTGATTTATACTGAGTTAACATTAGAGGATTTTGCATATTACTTCGCAGCACTTTTACTCAAATTATTGATGATTTGCAGTATTTTCATCTAGTTCAGAAAAAATGTTGTGTTTAAAGTCTTCATCACGCGCCTTGTCTTGACTCCTGCGGAAAACTTTTCGGAGAACTTAACAAAATTAAATTGGTTCGTCACCACGATTTTCAAGGTCTACACTCAAAGGCGTGGCGAGTCGCAGGAAGTGGGCTCCTTAAGTCCGCTACAACCATCTGAGTTGAAGCAACTACTACAGGAGACCTATCCTAGGAGTCGATGACGTAATATCCAATATGTAAACAGATACGGGTCAAGATGACCGTCCAGGCTGTGATTAGCGAATTGAGACAGACCGAGTTTCGACACTTGGTACGTAGCTGGGAGCTTCTTGAAGGATCTGCCTATATATTAGTTGTATTTTTTTTCCCGTTAATCATATGAATATAAAAAAAACAATCATAAAACGGCCCCACAAAATTCAATGTCATCGAATAGTACTCCCTAGGTGACAGACATAATCAAATACCGAAAAAAAAGGAGACTATCAGATGTCAAAGTATTTAATCTTTTATTCTCGAAACGTATCAAGGTATTAGATGTCCCTAACGTCCTATTCCATTTCAAAGAATCTCCGAATTGCTTCAAGGATATTTCATAAAGGTCACGTGAGCGTGCATCTCGAATATTCATCGACACTGCCACGTCTTTATCCTTTGCAATCCGTTAATCGATGGTTAGGCATCTGCAGAAAAAACACAAAAATTCAAATTATCTTCGATCCGGGCCATCAGAACAGCAGGGTACCGGGTCGAAGAAAGATCTTTCCTCATCGGTAAAGAAGCCAAATCCGTTCACGGGCTCACCCCTTTATGATCTCTTGCAGGTTTTCGAGAGACCACAGGACCAATGGGTTGCACGATACATTTTAATTTTAAGTATTGTACTTTTGAAGGCATCTGTCGGACTAGGGCTGTTTTCAGGGCAAGGTGAATTGCCAATCAATGGGGATTTTGAGGCCCAGCGTCATTGGATGGAATTGACTATACATATCCCGCTTACTTCTTGGTATTTCTTCGATTTGCGATATTGGGGTCTTGACTATCCACCTCTTACTGCCTATCATCTGTGGGCTTTCGGAAAAATTGGCTCCTTTCTCAATCCAGAATGGTTCGTTTTGGGGCTTTCTAGGGGAAATGAAAGCGTCCTGCTTAAGACTTTTATGAGGCTTTCTTGTTTGCTCAGTGAATTGGTGTTCTATGTACCTGCTGTCATGCAACTCACCTCGTACTTGGGGGGCCGAAAAGAAAATTTGAGTCGAATTCATCAAATTGTCGTTCTTGCTTTGATCTTCTGTCAACCTTGCTTAATCCTAATCGACAATGGACATTTTCAGTACAACTCCGTGATGTTGGGGCTTTTTTTATTCTCTGTGATTGAGCTCTTAAAGGGGAACCTAGTTTTAGCATCTGTGTGGTTCATTTGCTCGATCTTGTTCAAGCAGATGGCGCTATACTACAGTCCTTTTATCTTTGTCTTTATTCTTTCCAGGCTCTTTACTTGCAAGAAAACAATTTCATCGACGATAGCAACCTTCCAGTTTGGAAAGCTATTTGTTGTTAGTGTTACAGTCGTTGTGACAATCACTGTCATTCTTTTCCCTTTTTTGATTGCAGCTCGTTCTGGAACTGAAGCTGCGGAGCAAGTATTGCAGATCTTAAAACGAATGTTTCCTTTTGAAAGAGGTCTCTTTGAAGACAAGGTTGCTAACTTCTGGTGTACTTCCAACATATTGATAAAATATGCCACCATATTTAATGGAGGTGAACTCAAAGCGATCTCTCTTATTTTGACCTTAACGGCTATTTTTCCCCCTTGTGCTATGATATTTTGGAAGAACATAAGAAGACTGTATCCCCCACCAGAGTTGGCGATTTATGGGTTCAGTGCCACTGCGTGGGCTTTCTTCCTCTTTCTGTTCCAGGTGCACGAGAAAACAGTCTTGGTTCCCTTAATTCCATCGACTTTATTGCTTCTCACCGATAATTCCTCATGCATCTCTGTCATTCAGTGGATTAACAACATTGCGGCGTTCAGTCTCTATCCACTTTTGAAAAAAGACGGACTAGTTCTTCAATATTTAGTGTGCACTCTCCTTGTTAATTGGCTACTTGGGGGGTTTCTGCGGAAAAATTGGAAATCCTTACTAATGCCTAATCTGCAAAGCCAGGCCTTAAAGTTTGTGATTATATTGTCGTACATGGCAGTGTTCGCTGTCCACGTCTTAGATTTCGTTATCACACCCCCGATGCAGTATCCTGATTTGTGGACCATTGCAAACACTACTGTGTCCTTTGGGTCTTTTTCTTGGTTTTATCTTTGGCTCTTATATAAGATATATCACCTTTGATCTCCATCAACAAATTGAACATCTGACCGGGGCCTCTTCTGATCATCAAAAAGACCCCACTCAGCCTCCCAGGTATCTGGTTCTTTATTAAACCGAATTTTCCATGGCTCGTTAAACGCCTCATAGTAAAACCAATCTTCTGTAGGGCTTTTTGCACTGTTTGAAATCCATGAGTGCATAAAAGTTTTATGGTCTGAAGGCGACGCCTTAGCCCGTTTAAACTCGCCACCTTGATATGGCCAACCAATTTCAGTGATTGCAAAATGAGTCTTTCCGTTGTAAAATTGTGTTTTTAATGCATTGAAGCGATTCATGCTCCATTTCGCAGATTCTGTAGATTGGATTCCTGCTAAGAAAGGTTGGATTGTAAATCCCACTATATCACAAGAGTCGACTAAATTTTGAGTCACCGATGAAGGAAACTCAGATATACCAACTGGGATATGGATTTTCTTTTCATCCAAGTATGATTTCACGTCTTTAATGTATGAAATCATGGCTATCTCACTGATGTCCCCTCGACGAAGCGCCTCATTTCCAATGTAGATTGATTGTATAATTGTCGTATCCGAATTGAGTAGAATTTCTTTTGCCTTATCGACCTGTTCTTTGTTCCTGATCTCATCATTACTGAGCCATATCCCCATTGATATCTTCATATCAAGCCTAAGTATATCAATGGCTTTCAAGAGGTGTTCCATCTGATTGCATTGAGTGCCATATGTCCGAATCTTCAGTGTTACGGTGGAAATCAAAGAAAGATCTCGAATTGCATCTTCTTTGGAAAACAGACAGAAAGGCTCGTAGGCTCCTTTCGGAGAATAATTAATCCCCATTAAATACTTGCGTTTTTTTGGGGTATTGAGTAGACTGAGCTGAGACTCGGAAGTTGACACCAACTTTAACCTTAATTCGTTCGAAAGCTCTTTTTTTCTCTCGTCTGTTAAAGAATTGAAAAAGTTACGAAAAGAAATTGGAGATCCAAAAATGGCGAAGTATAGAGATATTACTAGAGACAAGCAAAGAATCACAATCCAAAACTTGGTGGGTGAGAGTGCACTAATCTTTCGCAAGCTTTCTCCCTTATCTTCGTTTTCAGTGCAAGCCCTTGAGCTCATTCGATCTGAGATTTGTGACTGGACATTTTCCATTTGGGGATTTGAGGGTAAGTCCATTGAATTTTGCGGAAAGGGCAATTTAGGTGATTCTAACTGATGAAAATTTCCGCTCTCCGTATGTAAAAACGCTTCCTTTCTTTGATTTTGTGGAAGCAGCTCGTCTGATTCTTGGCTCTGCAAGGAAGCCAAAACGGCGAGAGGGATTGACTCTCGAAATTGAGCACTGTCTAATGAAGTGTGATCCAGAAAATCATCTTCAATTGCCACAGACAGTCTGGTATACCAATCTGACACCGTCCGCATTTCGGGCATCTCGCATAATTTATTGATGCCTCTTTCATATTCATTGCAGTCAGCCCCATGACTTTGTAAACTTTTAGTGATTTCTATTGAACATGTACCCTTTAAAAATTCATGAGCTCGCCTCGAATCTGTTGACTGGAGGTTTGCAGCATTGAGTCTGGCCAGCTCCGTCGAAATTTTTTTGTTATTTTTGAAAGAATCCATTGAACAAAATTGTTGATATTTCCGAAGTGCAAAACGGGTGCAAATTAGTGTTGTGCAGAAGTGTGGGTTTATCCGCGAGAAAATTTCAATTCGCGTTCAAAATCAAGCAATTAAATAATTGTAAGATTGAGAAAGGAGCTGTTTAAAATGCATTCAGCAACTTCATAGTTCCAAAATCAAATTTTTTGGTCAGATGTGGGGCTCATGTGGTCGAAATAAACAAAAGAACTAATAATTGGGGAATTTTACCCTGAGATAAGGAGATTGATAAAGTCTTATAATCATGAAGCCCTAAAATCACAGGTTATCGCTTTTGTCCCTACTGGGCTTTGTTTTTGAAAGAAACCTAAAGCACGGCGTGCCCCTAAAACGGTCGACGGCGTTATTCTTGACGTTCCGTGTTTTGCCATAAAGTTTGTATGGTCTTTCCTCTATTTGTCAACGAAAACACTTGTATGGTCCTATGGTATTACTATTATTTCGATATTGAAATAGTATACACTAACAGACAGTCCTTTCAAATAGTGCTTCCAGTTCATCTTTGTGAATGTTAGTGTTCCGCCTCACGATCGCCGATACCATGTCGTCTCATGCACTCTTGCATGCGATACCTATTTTCTGCTTGCAAGTTGCATCGCGCCGCCAATGCACTACAGTCAAGTACTTCCAAATAATCGTTTATTTTCTATGGATGATCTATTCGAAGACAAACTTCTGCTTCTTCGGCTATATTACCCAGCAGTAGCACAAGAAATTTTGAAAGATTTCCTCACAAACTGCGACGGGGATCTTGACGCGACGCGTTCATTGATTGATGGCAAACCGAGGCCGAAAAAGAGACAGAGTTCTGCCCAAGCTGCACTCACTAAATTCACCCAGAAGAGGCCAAAGCCCAATTCCAAAAATGTTTTTGAAAGTGACGCCACCTCTCACAGCCCAAAAACTGCTCCTGCTGCACATTCAGGAGATCGGCAGAACGTAAGAAATGTCCTGCCAATCATCACGCTCAATACGCCTCTGGATGTTGATGAACATCTTTCTCCTTACGCGTCTCTTCACTTGAATTTTCTTCCAGAATCAATCAGCAATCGACTTGTGCACGATCTCGTAGAAAAACAGGAGGCTTTCCGCAGTAACAAGTTTCATTTGTTTGGAAATCAATGTGAACTGAACAGTTCTACGGGTGTTTTTGCTCGGCCAGCTGCTCCATATTCTCAGTTGGTATTCAATGGTCTCAAAATGCCGAAACCATTTCCTTACTCCAAGAGTATGGAAGAGGTATCAGAGTGCGTTGAAACCTTTTTGAACGAAAAAGTAATACCACAGTCTCAGAGGCTCAAATGGCAGCTGAATGAACCCTGGACAAATGATTTCTCAGTGGTTAATTGCTATGAGAAACTCCAGAACAATATGGATTGGCACTCCGATCGCCTTTCCCATATCGGCCCTCATAATTACGTTGCATCGATATCCTTGGGCACTACAAGAATGTTTCGGTTACGGAACACATACAAAGAGCGTGCCCCCATATACCAGATACCTCTTCCGCACAATAGTCTTTTCATTATGAGACCAGGATGCCAAGAGGAATTTAAGCACTGTGTGAGCCCCATGCTGAAGGCCATCGATGTACATCCAGTGCTTGGCACAACACGATTTGGAATCACTGCCAGGTGTTATACAACATTCTTGATCGAAAACCTGCCAAGATGTAAGTGTGACACAAAAATGGTATTACGACGTTCGCATAAGTCTCTCGTCAATAGAGGTAAATATTTCTGGCTGTGTGAAAATGTTTACCAAAATAAAGGGTGCAATTCATTCTATTGGTGTGATTTTACTAATGTGGAGGGTAATTACACGGCCAAAGATGATAGTAATATATCAATCTGGATAGCACCAGAAGACACGGACAAGCTAAACTATGATAAAAACTTTTCAATAAATACGGAAACATGAAGGGCTATTTGAATTTTGAGTTTTTGTTTCTTGTTATCCACAATAATCTCTCCCGGGAATCAAGAGATTTAACATTCAGAAAACTGGGTCAACATTCGTGCCCTAGGTTCTTTTTTTTTTGGTACATTCATCCGATTGAAGGAATAAGACTTACAATAATATACAGTAAACCTTCAATAAGCTCTCAGATACGTACCTAGTGTCGAAACACAACCCGTTCTCTTTCGTTAATCATGGCCTGCATGATCCGCTTTGTACGCATCCGTTCACATCACTTCGAATTCTAGAATAAAAAGTCTACTGTAGTAGTCGCCTCAACCCAGATCATTGAGGAGGACTTGAGAAGCTCGCTACAGTTTGACTCGCCACGTCTTTGAGCATGTACCTTGAAGATCGTGTTGACAAAGACACTTTATCGAGTATTGATTTGGGGGTATTCAAGAGCCTTGATACATGTGTGTATCAGCATTTTGGCTTATCTCCAAAAATATTAAAGAAACGACAACTGCAGGATTCGAACCTGCGCGGGCAAAGCCCAAAAGATTTCTAATCTTTCTCCTTAACCGCTCGGACAAGTTGCCTCCGATGATGCTTAAGGGTACAGATGTAACTATATTTTCAAGCTTACACAGCAACAATTTAACCCACTCTGTTATAAGAATCTCGTGATAATCATACACTATTGGTCTTCACACTTAAGGTATCTTCAACCAATCCGCGGTGTATGCAGGGAATAAAGACCTCGCAACGGAGGCTACGGCCTTATCGAACTACTGACCCAACTTAAAGGGCATCGGGCAATGGTGTTGACGGATACCCTCCAAAACAACGATAGCTGGTACAATCAGTACCTTAGAATACGAATGCTTCACCACATGAACAAAATCGTATCGAACGACGAACAAAAAAAAAGAACAAGCCAGGCTAAGACATATAGCCACCTCCGAATGGTATAACTTCTTGCTTGACAAAACGGGTCAATTCTTCACACACTTGGAGTGGACCTTCACGAAAAACGAAGTCGCCTATATCGAAGCGTAGAAAGAAGTGGTTTCTAGGACAAGGACCATACTGATACCAGGCGAAAGCTCAAAGTACAATCAAGAGCAGATCAAACAAATGCTAGCAAAAACTCCATGCCTCGACAAAGCAGAGAAAAAAGCCATTGGTAAGGAGACGTTCAAATTCTTGAGTCGCAAAAAGCAAGAAAAGCAACTCCCGATAATGCCACAACGCTTTGTTCGCTTATGTCCCGCGGTCCGTCCGATTAAAAAGTGGAAACACTTTTGGAAAGCCTTGTATAAGGCAGAATGGATAAAGCGATAAGATCTTTCGTCCATCCATCACTTTATTTACGGATCATATGTCCCGCGCAGAACCCTCCCGAGCGACACGGCAGATTTTCAATGCCATCTTTGCACAGAACAAATCTACAACAACGGAGACGCCACCGATGCTTTCCTAAGCCATATCTACAACAACTGCGAAACATCCAAATACTGGTGGCAAGAGCTAAAATTTACCAAGCCCATGAGCTTGATCTCAATGTGGCCCCAACCGACAGCTCATTGGAGAACTTAACAAAATTAAATTGTTCGTCACCACGATCTTCAAGGTCTACACCAGAAGGCGTGGAGAGTCGCAGGAAGTGGGCTCCTTAAGTCCGCTACAACCATCTGAGTTGAAGCTACTACTACGACAGGAGACCTACTTAGGAGCCGATGACGTAATACCCAATACGTAAACAGATACGGGCCATGATGACCGTCCAGGCCGTGACTAACGGAAGAGGACGGGCCGAGCTAAGACACTTGGTACGTAACTGGCAGCTGGTTAAAGGTTTTTTATATATATTAGTTATATAGTTTTGCTCCTTTAATCAGATGAATCTACCAAAACAAATTGCCATAAAAATCAAGGTGAATTTGAAAAAAACAAATAGCTCTAACAGCCACTGCAGCCGCTCTAGTAAGATCGGCCACTGCTAGAGGTCTATGTCAGTATACAATAAAGTAAGAGCTATTACAAATAACAGATTCATTTTAAGACTTGCAGTCTAGGTCGCGATTTATTAAAGAGTTCGGACCCGATTTTGACAATAGTCCCCTATTTGAGAGCTGGCTGAAGATTTCAATCCCCGTGATAGTTAATTTAATTTGAAAATGTGGACAGCACATCAGCTTGGTCTTCAAGATATTCTGTGTTCTATTTTTCATTCACAATTCATCTGATTTATTCAATTATACGTTCTCCAATTTTAGTCTCCAGTTTGATGGACCCACTTACCTTAATATCATCTATGCAGCACTTTTTAAACAACAATACTTAAAAGAAAGGGCATCTTTTTGGAAAAATTACACTTATTTAAAAAGCATCTTATCAACTTTCTTTTCAAAGGCTAAGAAATTTCTTTTGTTCCATTTCTTTTTGATGAATATTGGAGCTAAAGGAGAGACCTGCGTTATCTGGATGGCTTGGAACCGCAGACGAAGCTGTTCTGCGTATGATGGATATATGCAGTATATTGATTGTGGAGAACCATTGGCACACTTGTTCAGTCACTCAACAAAAGAACTGCAGAACTGAGTACTAAATATGGCATTCCGGTGTCAAAAATGCCAAACGGAGATTAAGCTTGACGCTTCATTTGAAAGCATGTCGAAATCCCAGGCAAAACTTCTAGTATCTAAGGTTCCCACGCCCTCATTGCGCACTTCTGTCCAACCTACCAAATTCATTCACCCAGATAGAATAGAAAAGTACCGCCAGGCTCTTATGTATGGAGACGATAAGGCTTCAATTTCTGAAGACTATAAAAGCCTAGAGCCCGTCAAGCCAGGAGAACTAGGCCAGTCTTTTGTGTACATCTCTGATTCTGAGGATGTCGATACTAAATATCAGGACGACGATTTCAGACCCTGTGACAATGTAGGAGAACAGCTACCTGATTTTTCCAAAATCAAAACGTTGAACCAGGTCTTCGAGATTCTTCTGGCCAATCAAGATGTTGGTCACCCAATGTGCTCTGAGTGTTCCGACCTCTTGACAGAAAACTATAAACTCAAATTTGATCAGAGTCAGAAAGAAAAAGAATACTATAGATCTTTTCTTAAAAAGCTTAAAGATCGTGAATCTGACTCTGTGGATATGGAAGAGAGCTTGGGTGATCAATTGAATACTGCAGCCAGTGACTTGAAGAGGCTAGAGCTTATGGAGCAGGATAGACTTAGTGAGTTGGAATCGTTGGAAGCACGACACCATGAGCTCAATCAGCAGCTAGATTCCCTTAATACGAAACTGGAAATTTCTGGAAAAGTTCAGTTGGATGAATTATTTCGATTGAAAAACACACTTAACTTGAATCTTCAGGAGAAACAGACCAAGCTAGATCAAGCAAAGGCTCTATATCAAAAACATCTCAATCACTTGGATGAGCTTCGAAAGATCAACATCTATAAAGAATTATTTGATATTCTGTTCGAGGGAGACTACGGTTTGATAAATGGATTCCGGCTTGGGTACAAAGTTCCATGGCCTGAGTGTAATGTCGCTCTCGGCCAAATAGTTCGGATGCTCAAATTTTTAAAAGAACGATTAGGTATTATACTCGAGCAATACAAGCTCGTACCAATGGGATCGAAGTCATACATTTTGAAGCAGCAAAAAAGTCAATCAGAGCCAGAATTCAACCCGAATACAGCCTCATTTTTACAGTTGTATTCTTCAAACGAGTTCACGTTGGGAAAGCTCTTTAATTTCAACAAGCTTGATGTGTCAATGATGGCACTTCTAGATATCATCGCTCAGTTCGAAGCCCAGCTCATGAATACTGACAACGAGCTTTCCCTTCCATATAAAGCTTCGCTGAAAAATGGTACTTTAGGAGGTAAAAGTATCAGAGTGACATCAAATGGCCAATGGACTGATTCTTGTAGATACCTTCTAGTCAATCTCAATTGGGTCCTCAGTTACGCCAGTGCGCGGCAGGAAGAATAACCCGCATCCATTAAAGAGTTGAAAGATGAATAATCAGGAGCTACGCGGTCCATTCATTGGTGCATGTATATTTTCGAGTTGCTGATTTCTTCAAGGACAAGGCGTTGATGCGATATATTCGAGCAATTTCTAGCGGGACCTTGCATGCGGGCAGAAATGCACTCGCGGCTCATGAGCGTCGCTCAAGATATGTGTATGAACCCTAACATGTACTAAATAAAGACAATTGCCCAGAGATTAGAAAGTATCTATTTATTAAGGGAAAGGGCCTTATGTCAAACCACGTTATTCAATTCGTCAATGCAATTTTGGTTGTTCAATTCTTGTAAATAACTTTTGTTTGAATCTTTCCGCAAAAATTGTGTAATGGGCTGCAAAAGTGAGAATAAATTTGTTCTTAGATAAACATCTCTTTTTCTGCATCTTTTCACATTCACCTTGAGCTGCTAGCAAATATATGCAATTTAGCTAGAGATAACAAGCATCTAACCCGGATGAAAGAGCGTGTAAATTTACTGAGTGACCTTGATGTTGCCATTGATAACTCTTTTCTTACCTCAGAGCCCGACAATAATGTACCATTGAGCACATGGCCGAAATTTCCGAGATAATAGGAAAACAACTCACCCACAAAAAACACAACGCCACGCCCAAAAAAAAGAAGGGCCACGAAGAATACATGGAACAGCAAGCTTGGGTTCATAGCGTCTTTTCTAGGGAAGTTTCGGTGTGCCAACTTTTGGGGCCTTCGTCACCAATGCTGGTATTTCAGTGTCAGGCCACACGTCCCAGTTCAAAAGAATTTCTTAAAAAAGAAAAACAAACAACATGCAAGAAAAAAACCAAGGGGTCAACATTTATACGAAGGGAAAAGGTTAAAAAAGAGAAGCGACAGCGAAGGTCTAAACAGGGATGCTGGACATGTCGGCTACGTCATAAAGCTTGTCCTGAAGATGGTGATCCATGTGGAGCGTGTGCCCGTTTAGGATTGGAGTGCGATGTTTC